GGCATTAAACTTCTGCATATTCCCTCCTCCCCCCACCCCTCTTTTGGAGTGTAAGGTGGTGGGGGATGAAGGGGGAAACAATTTTCCTTTTTAAATGGAAAGTGTACTTTACAATCCTAAAACATAAGCTTCTTAGTAATTCAGTTTAGTAATGACCTATCAGATGAATTACAATGTAGGTAGTTGGTGGGTCTTCTGACATGCCCCAGAGTCATTACAAAAAAGATATTCTGAAATAAAATGGCACAGCAACTGAATGGAGGTGAGCATAAAATAAATTGAAATACTTCAAGATTTAAGAATGTGCTTGCAGGCATTTCAAGGAAATGAGTAGTTCCTTTGAATTAAGTGGACCCAGAATGAACCCCACGATTCCATGTCAGTCTTTTTACCTTAAAATGTAAATTTGTTTTGGTAAAGCTCTGCTGTGCTATGCAATATATTTAAAATACAAATATCCAATAATAGCTACAGAGACTTCTGCCAGTCTTGCATGATAGAGATACAAATGTTGGCGATACCGCGCAGTTTAGTGGCAGCCTCTATAGCTGCTGAATGTCTTGGTGTTATCAGGGTCTTAGAGCTCCATCTAGGGATGAGAAAGCATTAAGACAACATTGAGTATAACGCTGTGCTGTACCAGCATACTATGTAAATCAAGAACCATTTCAGTGATTCCACATAAACGTGCAATCTCTTCCACATGGAAATTGTTAAATCCTTATTCAGTAGCACGATCACAGGGAGTAAAATGGCTTGAAAATAGTAACTAATGATTGAAACGTAAAATGTATTTTAGTTAAAGCTGTGAGTATATCCTCAGGATTATTGGTGGAAGCATTATACTAGCTCAGCCTGAGAGCTTTTTGACAATAGAATATACAGTGTGAGAGGAAGTAAAAGTGGAGTTAACATATTTTCCTTGGCAATTTGGTTGGGTCAGTGTTGCATGTGCAACCAGCTATTACGCATCAGGCTGCATGTGGTGACTACAGGCATAGGACTATGCCTTTGCTTTCAGCTTATCTAATGCCCACTTGGTCACCTGGGTTTCAGTAACAGCTCACGTGCTGCCTTAACTGCCAAGTGAAATTGTGTTGGTTTAAATACCCTTTACGGGCACAAGAAACAAAGGAAATAGTCAAATGAATACATTTGAACTAAAATACAGATTTTGGTAGTCAGAAAGTATTCTGAAACAGATAGAGATGTACAGTAAAAATAAACCAAAAGTATTTTCTTCAAAATTCTATGGTGTTTTTTTATATAAGACAAACTTTTGATTTTTTAAGAACAATTTTTAGACAATTTACTCTGCGTATTGGTTGGAAAAGTATGTAGAGGTAAACTATTCCTCATGATCATGCAGGCTAAATAAACCCTTCCACTTGCGCGGTGATACATCTAAAAACAGATCTTTGCTGTCAGGAGGTGACGTTTACAACAGGCTCTGTTAAGAGTTTGCAGTGTATGCTTCCTTTGAAGGTATACATCTTCAAGCACCCTTTTCTATCCACTTGGTTGTATGGGTTGACCCTTCATCTTCAATGTAACACTTCGTTGCCAAGTAATCATTCCAGGTGTAGCATGTGGAAAGTCAGCCTGAAAACAGCTACTCCTTTGAACTGCTCAAGACATGCATGTTCAATGCAAAGAGTGAGAATTCCCTCTACCGTCCTAGATGGCGCTGACTGCCACCTCAGGTGTGGACAGAGACATCTGCAGTCTGGACTGTAGCTTAAACTGCAGCTCAGCACTGCTCACTGCACTTGCTTAGTACTTTCTTGCTCTCCCTGAAATGACTGATCTGTCTAATCACTGTCCAGCAAAGCCCTGCCACCTGCAGGGGCCATCTTTGTGCATGTGGTGTTGTGGTCAGCTAAATTTTCTTTCTGGGGCCCTCTAGCACTTTGTCACAGCAAAGAGCTGGGATCATGAAGGGGAGAGAAGACAAATGGTAAAGGAGTGAGCTTAGAGTGAGACATTTTCTTGCAAGAACACTAGTTACAGAAATTATTAATTTTGTAAAGCAGAGTATTTTGGTGTTTCAAACATGTTTTCCAGAGCTGTCTTTTGAAGGGCAGGAAACATCAAGTGAGAAAAATCTGCTTCCCAGTGAGCTCCTATTTAGGAGTTGATTGTCCTGATTGTGTTGTAGAGAAAACTTGAAGCACATGCTAATCGAATCCCTTGACAAGGATAGGTATTTCAGGAATGATCCCACTGCTGGTTTTGGGGTTCAGTAACTGGAGGGGAGGAAGCCTTCAAGGTGAAACATCTGAAAACAAAATAAGCAATCTAAAATTAAATATTTTGGAGAAATAGTTACTTTGAATTACCTTTTGATGAGCCATTACTGGTAGTTCTCTCAAATAACATTCCTTTCTTCCTGTTCAGGATCTGATGAAGACTCTGAAGAAAAACAAGACAGTGAAAAACCAGTTGTATAGCAAATATGGAAAAGCAGGTAAGTTCCTCTGCATAGAACCAGAATAATCTTGAAGATATTTATTTCTTCTTAGCTCCTTCCCAAATAATTTGAATGGTGAGCTAATTCTTAGGAGTTTATCTTTGAGGCTCTTCTGCCTTTGACTTCTGAGTTGGGTTAAGCCCCAGTCCCAGAGGGCCAAGGTACCTGTTCCAACATACAGTGAAAAAGGGATGAAAGGTTTTGTGGAATGAAAATCCTCCAACGTTTCTTCTCTTGCTTCCTGGAAGGAAAGTGATGGACTGGAAGTGTAAAAGGTCCTTGTTTGGAAGAAATGAGAGGAATTTCTTTGGAGATGAGAATGCAGGAGGTGTAGGAAGTGTTTAGGTCTAGGACAGATACATGAATCTGGAAGATCGCACGGACAGAACGACTTGATATTTCTCTTCCGCAGTCTGTTTAAAAATACAAGTGGGTTGCGTAATACCAGCTGTGTCTTCAGATTTGTGCAGTGCACTTTGGTTAAATGAGAAATGACTTCTCTATTTTAGAAATTAATTTTATTTCAGAATTATTTTCCTGTATGCTTTCATTTTGCCACAAATGGCAATGCTCAAGCTAAAGATATTTAATATTCTTGAGCAGCTGAAGCTTCTGATTTGGAATTGTCTAGTGCCCTTTTGGAGTAGCAGGCAGCTTCTTCTTTTGAGCCTCCCTGTCTTCAGTAACTGTTGTCTTGACTCATCTTAATCTTGATTTGTATCATCTGTTACAGAAAGAAAATTCCTGAGAAAAGTTGATGGGATTTGGAAGCTGTGGCAGCAGTCTGTAGTTGGCTAGCTGGTGGAGCTGCTGAAGGAGAATTTATTCCTTAGAAAGCAAAGGGAATGGTTCCCATGTACTGTAATACCTCACAAAGATGTACCTTGTGACATATGTATATTAGATTGCCTCCTGGGTGGTATGAAAATATTTGTCCATGATGTATTATTCAGTGATTCCTGAAGTAGATCTTCTAATAACTAGATAATTTACTGGAAAGTGTTGTCTTTGTGTACCTAATCAAGAGACTGGTAATATAATGAAGTAAAACTTCTCTATGGTGGAAGTATATTTAACAGTTGGGACTCACTAGGTAAAATTATTTTATGTTTTTGAGAATTTGTCATTAGTCTTATGTTTACTTTTTTTTTTAAACTCTGTGCATTTTCTTTTTAATGGTATGTTCACTTTCTAAAATAAAAATGTGAAACACAGGTAATGCACTGATGTTTTGTTGCTTTATCAGCAGATAAATCAGCATATACCACTCCTTTGTTTCTTGAGGGCTAATGGGGATTCTGGGTTGCCTAGTTTTTGTACAGAATGTGTTCATAGCTGCCTGTAGGGATGTAGCCTTAGTGCTTAGCAGAACAGCATTTCTTTGACAGTTGCGTATGTGGTATCAAAACGACGCAGGGAGCTTTCTGAAATAATTTAGTTCCTGCTCCTGTCTGGTGGTGGTTGTTATGCCAGTTCAGGGAGGGAGGTGGGTTGAGCCTTTGTGAACTGTAGAAAAGGGAAGCTTTAATCAATTGTTACATATAGGTGTGTAGGAATGTGTTTGTTTTTTTTTCAGATACAAATTTTAAGTGTTAATCAATCAAATTTTTTGTTGATCAAAAAAAATGTTGGTTAACACCTAATTTCTCCCAAAAGGGGATTATAAGTTTTGTCACTTTCTTTGTAAAGCCATTAGTTCTTATGATACTATAAGCATGCAGATAGCGATCTGCACAGCAAATAGCAGGTACCACAGTGTTCCTCGCATGTTTACCACAGATGAACGCACTTCACTGCTCTGTAATACTTTGGTAGCTACCTTTAAACACATTATTTGAGAATATCTTCACACCTATCTTATTTCACTTTAGGTTGCTACCAAGCTTTAACAATTAAAAACATTACCTTTTTTTTTCCCCAAATAACGGTTCTGCGACTGTGTATGACTAAAAAATGATGTATCCCATCTTCCTTCACATGGGAGATCATTATGCCTTGAAGGCATTAGGTAGTTAAATTAGCTTCAGTGTGCTGTTTCTCAAATTCTCCAATGTGACTGTTGAATTAGTCCCAAATTTTTTAATTCTCTTGGCTGCATGATTTCAGAATGTTCAAGATCTGTTTGAAAGGACACAGGTAGTAACTCATTAGAAGAAACAAGCAGAAGTTGTCACTTGAAAGTGTTGGAATGTTCCTAATCAAATATTAATCTCAATAAGAATGCAGCTGGGCTAGCTGGCAGTTCCAACATTATAAATAACCTAGATGTGACTTTAATAACTTCCTCAATTGCAGTATGTCATTTTATACCAGCTGTCCCCAGAAAATGCTACTTGCTTTTATTTGTAGCACAAATGAAATTATTCAGGGACAGTATGATACTGGCTGTCAGGGTAGATTTCTCAAAAGTTGACATTTTTGCTGATGTGAGCTGTGCTCAGAAAAGCAATGAGCTAATAAGCAGAATACAGAGTTGTGTGATGTATTTTAACTAACCTAATGAAGAAGTGTTTTCAGGTTAGTTTTTAACTAACCTGAAGAAGTGTTTTTGTATGATTGTTGTTTTTCTGCAAGTTGATCTGAGCAATAAACAGCAAGCAAGAAAGATCACGCTGACCTTTTCTAATTTGAAAAGGTGAATCTGAACTGTTGTAAAGGCAGCAAATGTGGCTGTGTGCTGTTTGTAATTTATTTAATTTTTTGGGGGGAAGGCCTGAAAACAAAGTTTGGACTGGGTGTTGTTTCAAGAGGCAGTTGTCAACAAAGAATCTAAAAGGAAGAAAATAAGAACCCCAACAAACTATTAACAGAATTGGTACTGTTATTTGGTTGTCAATTTCTACTCCATAACAGGCTTTGGAATGTTTTGCATTATTGCAAGCAGCACTGCAAAATACATCCTGCATTTTTCTCCTGTTTAGAAGACAAGGTGGCTTTAGGTAATATAGTTTTGTAAAGCTCTGAACTATAGAAAAAGAGCAGTTTCAACCATAATGCAGTTTAGATGTTAGGGAGCTCGTGGATTTAGGGGAAAAAATTGCTCTTCCTCTTTGAGAAATGCTACTGGAAGTAACAAATCCTCCTACTTTAAACTCAAGATCACTTAACTTGATTCATCTTGATTATATTCTATTGCTGGACTGTTTAATATTGACACTCAAACCATAAGTGAGGATTTAACTGAAACATTTTAGTGAAAATATTTCTTTATTCTTTGATAAGTTGAAGGAAAATGTTTGCTATCATTTGTATGATATTAAACACCTTCCTCAGCTGAGATTTTATCTGTTAAATAAAATAAAACATGTACAAGTCTATACAAATAACTACTTGTTCAGCATCTCTCAAAAACTTTATACAGGTCAGGCAAGTTAGCAAGCTGCAAGATGTTGCCATCATCTGTGAAGTGTTTAGGAGGTAAAAGGTAAGTCCTAAAAGCTTTGTAAACAACGTGTTCCACAGTCCATTTCCATGGTGGTGAAACAGAATCAGACTCCTCATTCTGAAATACAGAAAAAGTAGAAACAAGCTGAAGCTTTTACTGAAGGAGAGCATTTCAACTTTATCAGACTACAGAGACTAAAATTCCACTAGTGTTAAATTCCACTAGTGTTAAAGTTAACTGTACAGCATGAACTCTTAGTTCTGAAAAGTCTATTTGAGTCATGCCACTTGCAGAATGAGCTAGCTGAACTGAATGATGAAGCAGGTACTTAAAATAGTCTGCTTATGTTTATATGAATCCCTCTATAGAAAACTATTGCAGCTGAACAAGATAAAAAGACATCCTAAACTCTGAGGCCAAGGCCTGCTGCAATATTAAGTACAGTGCACAGCCTGCCTGCTGTTAAAAGGTTCTGACAGGAGACGTAGTTCAGAAAACCTCAAGCCCCACTCTTTCATTCAGATTCTTGCTGCACTGCTACTTGATTTACTTTGTTGAAAGGAGAGTTGGCATTACAAGTCTATAGTTAAGGGAATTCATGTCTTAACTCTGTTCGTTTAAGTAGTTACATACTACAGTACCTGGGAGAGGGTCAGAGTGGCTTCCTCTATTAAATACTGCTTTCTAATGGAGTAAAACAGAGAGAGTTCTTTACTCAGGCTTTCAAAGCACTCCTTTTCCTCATCCCAGTTTACCTGTTTCAAGAAAGAGAAATTATTTAATAGAGCCTGAATAAGCAGCCAGAGACCTAACAAAAATTCCTAAGGTGGAAAAGTCATAATATTTTGACCATTTTTGTGCTGCTAAGGTGGAGGCACTGAACAAAAAGGGGTAGAACTGGAGGCATTCAATTAACAGATACAAATACAGAGGTGCAGTACAATTAATCAATAACCATAGCAAAAGTGTCTGGAGTATGTAACAGTGCAGTTAATCAACTCTAGGCTCTCCTTTGCAGCTTCTGATAAGGACTTTGATTCATTCCAGTGTTTCTTAAGTGGAAAAAGTCATTTGTGAATGAATTGTTGAATATTTACCTCTGTGGCCAGACGAAGGATAAACATAGGTAGTCCTTCCAAAAGGGGAATATAGTTATCTATCAGAAGTGGCAAGCCAATCAGATTTCCTTCCTGCAAGGCAATATTGCTGCTTCAGTAAGAAAAATAACTGTTCTTTCTTGCAGTTAATGAACCCAAACTGTTACATGTTGGAGGACTGCTGAGCCTTAACAGCAGCTGAAGTTAAAAAGTTTTAAAGCCTAGGTTCTGCCTAAGTTATAGGCAGAAGGTCAGTGGTGGCATTTAACTTACACTGCCTGAATTTAGACCTTTTACCACAGGGAGACTTCAACTCAGCTTTCTCTTCAACCTCTAATCCCTGACTACACCAGTCCCATTTCTGAGAACTCATATGAGGTGCCTGAGTTGTGGCACCTGCTGAAGCTGTTCCGTTTTGTATGGAATAGGAGTACCCAAAACAAGAACCATGAAGAGCAAATGTGATCCTGTAGATTGGAGCTAGTTAAGCCACACACCTTGCTGGACAGGAGACATACAGACTACTTAGTGAGGAGATGACTCATTTGATAACTAATTAATTAAGCTTTGCATAGTCCCCCTCTAAAAGCAGCGTAAGTCCTGAGCCTTTTTTTAAATGAAAGGGGTAAACCACCTAAACCTTAGTGGAGTTGTCTTTCAGCAAGTACAGCAAGCAAACTGTTGTGGTTATCAGTTACCAAACAGTAGCACCATGTAGAACAAAGAGCAATAGTAGCAGTCATATACCTTGTCAATTTCAAGAGAGAAATAGTCTTTCAGCATTTCAGCCTTCTTTTTCAGAAACTCAACTATGTACTCAGCAAGACCTTCTTTTGGGCCATCTTCTTCTGTCCAGCCACTCTCAGGGTCCTCTAAAGCAAGCATTGCAAGCTCATATAAAGGAGCTGCCTCCTAAAAATGGAGGAAGCAGAAGTGTTGTTAGTGATTCCACCAGGAAAGGCTGTAGCTTTTTCCTTCACAAAAAATCTAACTTTATTATACAGCTTATGGGATGCAGAGCAGACAGTTCTGCTAATCAAGCAATTAAGCTGATTTCTGCTACAAGTCTCTGCAGCCCACAATCTTGCCAAGTGTTGATATTTACAGGATAAGCACTAGCATTCTACACTTTCTAATAAAGGTAGATTGAGTATTCTAATTTTGTCCAAATGTAACAAGCAATAGCAAAAAGCCCAGTCAATAGTCAGAAGCAACACTAGCAACAAGCCCCCAGGATCACAAGATACAGCTGTAGCTACAGAATGACTCAAGGTGTTTGCTATTTTGTATTACTGTGACAGCAATGGAGCATCACTCTTACAGGGTGCAAAATTGAACCTATAAACATATACATTACCTGAAAGGGCAGCCTCACTTTAGATAAGCATTTTTTATATAAAATAATATAAAATTATACTTACAGAGAGCCTTAAGACTCCAAAGTTTGCAAAGTCATAAATAAGTATCTGGTAGAAGAGTTCTTGGCTAAATTGAAGTTTAAAAAAAAATTAGTTACACAGACATGATCGAGCATCTCCAAGGTACCATAATTAAACGGGGAAAAGTAAAGGTCATCTTTGAAACAATAAATGACCATATCCTTTCATGTTAATAAAGATCTTACTTTTAACTCAACAGTTTAAGATTCATACCCCCCTCTCTAGATGTTTATAATTGTTTCTTAGTTTCTGACATCACCAACACTGATGCAGAGCTGTTATGTAAGCATGCGGCTGCTATCAGTTTGTTCCCAGATCCCTTATATTTCATGGTCTTTAATCCTTTGCTGTGCTGCAAGAAATACACAGGAACTTGGAAATTGATACAAGTCCATCTTTAATTTTGTAACAAGTAGGAGAATATCCTTGTGTCTGGCCCAGTAAGATCTCAGGTGAAAAGCTTTATGTTATGATCACATCCTGCAGCTTCTCTTAACCCAAGTGATCAAGTCACTGACTTGTCTCAAGCCTCTGCTCACTCATCTTTCCACTGTAGGTAACGAGTAGTTGCTGTAGACAAGCATAAAGCAAGTAAAATTTCTTTCCCTTACTCCAGTCTGTGAGCACAGAGTGCAGTGGCTGGCATTTAAGAGCTTCTCCAGCTTTTCACAGGCAGTCCAGACTTGTTTCTACTGTTTTGAACAGGCTGCTTAATCATGAGCCTCATGGCTTTCTGGATAGGCCATAAGAAAAAAATATTTTCTATCATTTCCTTCTTCCTTCTAATTAGCTTGGTAACAGGTAATCACTTGAACTGCAAGCAAGTGTGAGAGGTTCTTTACCTGAGTTTTGTTGTATTGAGAAGATACAGTTTTGTCTGATATTGCACCAGAGCCCACTGAGGGCTGACACAGCCAACAAATGAGTGATCACGTAGCATTTCCTGAAGACCTGAAACAAGGGGAAAAAGTAAAAAGGAGGTTAATGTTCTGTGTGCAACTCTGCCCTAATTTAGTCAGTTGAGTGATTTGTGACTAAAGTCTGCCTACTGTTCAGCTACTACTGCACTACAGTTCCTAATATACACATACTACCAATTCTAATTTATTTTAAAATCTTAAATCATTCCTTTGTATATGCATATATTCATAATATATTAAAGCACTCATGAGACAGTTTATAAAAATTCACATTTCTAGTTTAACTGTTAAGAAAAATCTCTCAATTTGATTTGAATAACCTGACTTTCTGAAGTTGTTTCCAGCCACAGGAGACTAGAATAGGAGCACAGACTTCTCTTAAAGAAAACTGTATAAGCAAGAGAAATTTGCAATAAAATCTCACAGAGATTATCAGACTAGGTTTGGGCAATGCAGTAGATTAGGCCCATAGTCAGTGTCATCTTCCCTCCATAAGTTTCCAGCCTCTTCTCTCTTATTTGAAAAAAGAAGAGTGCAGAGTCTGGATTCCTTGTTCATTTTACGCACTCTACCAAAAATGTCACTACAGCCCTTCATTATAGGAGCTCTGCACTGCCATCACACCATGTACAAAGCATTACACTAAGCAAATTGCATTGCAATGTTGTATTCTGCTGGAAAAGGTGACAAGAAGAGCATTTCTTACTCTGGTCTCTTGTGTTTCTCACATACATGAAGATGAGAACCTCAAGCAGCTGCACAAGTTGTGCTGTGTACTTCAGGGGATTTTTGAATATTTCATGGCACAGGAATAGCTACGTGATTTCAGTATTTAAACTGCAACAGCCTAATAGGGAATTACCAGCCTACTGCAGAACTTACTCTATAGCACGGGTACTACTTACTAGAAACCTTGATCTTTAAAAAAAAGAAAAACTTCTAAAGATTTTTAATCAGTTATTTATTTCAGAAGTCTGTTAGTCTAGCCATTTTAGCTGTGGAGCTTCTCCCCAGATTCACAATTCAGTGACAAAAAACCACAAGGTTCCTAACATCTAGACCAACTGAATAATACTGGAATATGACTCAATATGACTCTTAAAGCAACTGAAAGAGCAAAGAAACAACCCTAGGAAGAACTGCAAACATTTCACCTTTTCACCAAAAGAAGAGTATTTCACCAGCCTTTTTTTGAACTCCTCCCATAAGTGGGACAGATCCAAATAAAAATGACTAGCAAAAGCAGTAAATAAGAAAATATGACCATCAGGCCCGTCCCATAAAGTTTTCCTTGTGAATATTTCATAATCACACAATTAATCAAAATTTTTAATAACTATAAACAAGTATTTTTTTGAAAATTACAAAATACCATAGCTTTTCAAGCTGTGCCATAACTAATACCAAAAAAGTCACAAGTTAGAGTTTACAAACTATTTAGAATGAAGCATTTGCCTACTAGCAAGGTATGCTAGTTTTTAATAAGTCTTCCCAGTACGTCTCCTGCTTTTAGTAGCAGACTGTTCGGAGTTTGACACTTGACATTTAACAATTTTGTTTGTCAAAAGCTCAGTTAAAAACATGCCCATCAGCTCACTGTGTTGCTAACTATCTTCCCCTCAGTAGTCCAAGCAGGCATACTTAGTTGGTGAAATAAGCCAAAGAATCAAAGCCACCTGCTTACTTTCATGTGCTCGGCTGCTAATTTCCTCCTGAAGAGTCAACACACTGGTCAAATTGATAATCCTTCTTTTAGGGGTGCAGGCAGCAGTCATCTCCTTTCTGGAAACATCTTTTTCCATCTCTATGTCAGTGTCTTCCCGTGGTCTCTTTCTGCAATACAGAAACAAAAAGGAATTATATTCTATCCTCCTGTCACTGAAGCAAAACACAAACAGATGGTCTGCTGCATTCACACATTGTACATTACAAAAAAGGAAATGCAGGAAGTTTCCCAAAGCTTCCACAGTTTTTTGTTTTTTTTTTTTTTTTTGTGTGTTTTTTTTTTTTTTTTTTTACTTCCTATGCATAATTTGTTAGAAAAAGATGATTCATAAAGAATTTAAGACTTCAGTATTGGTCACACTGGATGTCTGTTAACCAACAAGCCAATGGGCCCTAAAGGACACATTATAAATGTTGACATTTCTAATGATGTCCCCCCCCCACTTCTCTGGCCTCTCATAACAGCTCCCTGCAGGGGCTGTAGAAGATGACAGTGCTTCTATCTTCACCAGGGTAGTGTCTGCATAATTCAGTGATGTGGTTTCTACCTTTCAGTCATACCACAAAGTGGTGTCCTCCAAACTGAGGAGGACCACTATGATCTTCCTCAAGTAAAGTCAAGGTCATCATTATTTTTATAGGTTCCTGCCTTCCAGCATGCACAGAAATCCAGTTAGAAAATTTATCACGAGCTACATAAGTTACAGTTCACAGGTTAAGTTGGATTTCTCATTGAAATAGCATGAGGAGTTCTCTAGGTAAAGAGAGAATTTCTAGGAAAAGGTTTCTTTCTTGGAAAAAAAAAAAATGTCCTAAGGTATCAGAAAACCCTCGCAAAACCATGAAATAACCAGGTAGGACTGCAAGACCTCAGGAAAGATGAGACTTACCGAGGAAGTGCTTTCTCAGGAAACAAGTGTCTACTCTTACTCAGCTCTTCAGGCATTGCCACGTCCTGCTGAACCTCAGCCGCTTCAAGGACATCAGCTATTTCAAGATCACTGGCATCTTCCATTTCAGCATCCTGCAGCCTGGCAGGACCCACTGGAGGCGCTGCATTAACCCCCACAGTCACTTCAGCAGGGCCTGTGCTTAGGGGGTTGTTCATGTGCTGAAGGAAAGCATCCAGTTTCTGCTCTCGGGAATCAGTGCGGACCATCTGGTGTGCATAGATTTTATCACTGCTTCCTTTTGTGGCTGCAGAAGGGTTTGCTGCTGATTTTACCACCTCACTGGAAGAACACTCAGCCCCTGGAAGCAATGTCTTCATTCAAACATGGGGAAGGAGACATCAACAATAGGTAAGTAAAAGCAGAGACCAACCATGCTCCTCACAGTGCCTTACTGCTCAAAGGTAACTTCCAAACCCCACAGACACCATGTCAGTTGCTTAAACAGGCCACCAGCTTTGCAGCGGTTTTCTGCATAATACGAGTGTCACCATCTTGGCAAGTACTGAAATCATTAGTTTGTATTTGAGACAAGTTTTAAAAACATTTAAAAATCACAAGGAAAACTTTTTAGAAGGTTACAGTTAGCATACTATATGTAAAAAGCAATTAGGAAAGATTTTTCCCGCTATTTTTCTGGTTAGGTTAAATCCAAAATGTCATCCAATACACAGAATAAACAATTTCCTCACACATCTTTCTCATAAAAAAGGGCAGAATAAGAAATTTAGTGCATGTGAAGGGTAATATACTTGTAAAAATCAAGAAGATTGAACAGATACTTGACAGAAAGTTATTTTAAATATTTCCATGCCCTTCTCCAGTAAGTTTACTGCCTCATTGTTAACACTGGTATATTAAAGAAGATCCATCCCTGGAACAGAGCAAAGATCTCACGCTACCAGTGTAACAGTGATGACTATCCACCACTGCCTAGCTTGTACTCCTGAAGAAGGTAAACAGATCCACTACTGTTAAAAGAGCGCAGAGCTGTAGTTACTTGAAACATGTATTCTCACCTGAGTGAAGTACATCCTTGAGGAATTAGAGCCCAGTAACTTGCTCTCTATGTGTTGCTGCACACGCTCTAGAATGCTGTCTTCATGAAGGAAGTGGACCTCATGTTTTGTAGGATGCACATTCACATCTACATTCTTGGGAGCTATTTCCAGGCTGGAAGATTTTAAAGGTAGTTAACCTAAAATTTTCCATGGATGGCAGAGAGCACACATTGGTTCAGTATAGAGACTGTCAGACTTGGGGCAAATTACTACATGCAAAGAAGCTAATAATAGTCCCCAAACCTACTAAAGTTACACTACAGTCAAATCTGGTATATTAAAAGAATAATTACTCTGAAGAACCCTATTCTGAACTCAAAGTCAGCTTGCACAGGCAAACTTAAATCGACGTCTCCACTGCACTACTAAAAACCGTTTCTGGAAATAGCTTTACTCACAGTGTCTCATGAGTTACTTGTTGATGCCCTGTCATTATCAATGACCCCAAACACTGCAATGCAAGAACTTTATTCCTAGAAAGCACCAGATATCATTAAGTTTCACTGGTGAATGACAAGATTTAGTTGACTAGCTCTTAAATCTTTCATACTCTCCAATTTTTAAAAGAGCAGTCTGGTTTTAGCTTTGTTTTTGTAAGTAATTACTTCCAGTAAGCAGCATGTAATTCACTTTTTTGTTACACTAACATACCAAGAAGAACAGTATCTATTAACAAGAGAGATACAAATATAATTCCTAGCAAGAAAAAAGTATGAATGGCATTTGGAAAATTACCTAAGTGGTCTTAAATGCACTGCTGTATTCCTAGTATAACTCATTTTCCTAAGCAAAGAGCATAATGTCAAAGGACTTAAGCTTAGTTAAGTTCACTGCTTATGAAAATTAAAGCCTGTCTTTAATTGTTTGTGCTGACTTTTTTTGGTAACATTGAAGATGCATGGTGAATTACCTCCTATCTAGCAATAACCTACCTCAGTACAATACTTAGCACTACCATCGGGAACACAAATGACCTAAACCTACTCACCCTAGCTCCATCCTGTAAGATAGTAGCAAAAGGCTACTTTTTCCCCATTACTTTACCTTAAGTACAGGAATGGATGCATACTTTTTGGCAGGTAAGCAGCATACACAGTCTCTATGGCTTTCCGCAAAGCTGTTGACTCTACCAGTCGATCTGAAAGAGAACAAAATGCTGTTTTCCAAAAATGCTAGTGAATAACTAAACCTTCAGAGCAATATCTTTATGCTTTGTATCTTTAAAAGGCACACATTTTATCCCTCTTTTTCCCTAGACCTCTCCAAGAGAAATACAGGTTTAGGCAGTATCATCTTAGTATTTGCTTTGTAATTAGAAGTATTTTTCACAAATACGAAAATAACCAGACTACCCTTTCAGTATTTCATACAGTCAAGGTTCACTGCATCCTGCGCTCATGTTGCTACAGAAGGAAGAGACCACTCTGTGTTAATGCGCAAGACACCCTCATTACCTTGGTATTTCACAGCCTTCAATATAGACCCAGTCTTACCTGCTCTCCAGTACTTACAGAGCAAAACCGGACCCACATTACACATAGAAAAACACCTTAAAATCTACAGTTAACTGTAATATTTATTCTTCAACATTTTCAAGAATTTTTATACTCAAAAGATTTTTGCAATTCTTCAGAAAATTTTGTTCTGATTAATACATAAGAAGCAATATGATTGTAAAACTTTTTTTAACTTACGGTTTATGAAGAGTAAAAATACAGATTTCTTCACAGAATAATTTGCATTTGTGATGTAGCCTTTCATTTTAAAGGCCAGATTTGCATCTTCACAGCCCACTTCTATCAATTCCCTATTGACAGTTTGACAGAAACACACACAAAGTTTCTCCTGTTAATGGAAGTTTCAAAGGGTACTCACAAGTAGCAGCACACTGTCCTATGCTCTACTTATGCCACAGTTACAGCAAGCTACAGTATGATTTGAGGGCTCCAACATTCTTTGCTGAGACACGAAATTATTTAACCACAAAAAAATAATGAAGTGCCAACTGCATTTTCTTTCTTTCTTTTATTGGTTTCTTTCTGCACCCTCGTATCTCTCCCTAAGAGAATGTAAAACAGTAATCCAGTTTGATTGGAGCCTGTAAAACTACCTAGACTACCTTTTTAATACCTATCACAATATCATAGCCATGTATTGACACTGCATTAACAATTTTCATAACAGATTTTATACTTTTCATGGTACGTTAGTTCGGGAAATCCAATTACATTTCAGTAGCTTCTAGCAGCATATTGTGCAAGCTGCTGAAGCTCATGTTAAGAAAGGCTTATGGGCTTTTTATTTCCCATTCAGACACCCTGTATACACAAGTGCCAATTTAATGCATGTAAACGCAATCTGAAATTGGGTAAAATAGGTTTCACTTGAAAAAGTAAGATCAAAACATGTTGAAATTGGCAACTTATTCAGGACTGTACAAAGAAAAAACTGTATCAAACAAGCATTTGTAAGTAGACAAAAAATGCATGGCAGAGAAATACTGTCTATCTTACTACTAAGCAGCCTCTCTAATGTGCTGTGTTTCCATGTATTACAAGTTAAATTCCTTAAATGTGAATTGTGATTTTAGTAACCAAATCAAACTGACACCTCGGTATTCATGGGAAGACCTCAGAGAAACTCATTCTACATGTCTGCACAATGAGTTCTTCTCAGCTGAAGATTTAATAAAGAGAATTTTTCCCAAAGTGGCAGATAAATTTTGAATAGATGCCCAGTTTTGTTTCCAACTTCTCTGACTGCTTTACTTAGCATCAACTGATACAGCTTTTGTCAAAACGTTAAACCTTAAGATTTTAGAAAAAAATGAGAAGACAAATGTATCAAAGAGACTGCAGTATGAAGAGATAAGATTTTCATGGTGTAGCAAGAAGATAGGAACTCGTAAATAACACAAGTACAGTTTGCTTTTTTAGATTAGCACACAAAATTACAACTAGGTTGTTCCCTTTCAGCACACTGAAGGAGTAACTTTACAGCTTCCCTATTTCCTTTGATATACTTAAAAAAAAAAAAAAAGTCACTGTCCGCAGTACAAAGGAGAGCTTTTTATTACTGCAGTCACACTTCCTTGTAATTCACTTTGAAGGCAGAAGTTTGCACAGCCTGTGTTCTTTACAAGAGAAGGCGGGAGGAGATTTGCTAGAAAGTCAAAACAGAACTCAACACCAACATACCTGCTAACAGCATTTCCAAAGATGGACCTAATGTTGTCCACTGTTGAGGCATTTGTTAAAGTTCTAACATCCGACACGGTATCACCTTGCTAATAGATCAGAAATAAGTATCAATCAGTTCACAGTTCTGTTTGAATAGAATAGCAATAACAATTCTAACAAAAAGGTACAATGTAATTATCATGTTTTCTATTATTTCCTTATTAATGTTCAGAAAAGTAACATGTTAAATGGCACAGGATCGCAGGATTTGTTAGCCTCAGACCTATACAGGCTAATACTCCATCTTTGAAAGTGAAGAATGTATGCAGCTCTGTACAAAAGTTCTGTTGCTTTAAAAAACTTGACCAGGTGTATATATGGTGAAGGTAAGGACTTTTTTTCACATACCTTTTTAACTGAAAAGCTGATACCTGAGTTATGGATGGCGTACCTGAAAAACAGGTAAGCATAAGACTGTGGTATGTGAAAAAGAATAAAATGTCACTACATGAATGCTGAAAAGCAGCTAGTAACATGGGCAAACAAAGTATTTCCTGCTATACAGTAATGTGATTTGAGCCAAAATAAGCTTTTGTAGACTTAACAGCTATAAAAACTGTTCTGTTTAACCCACCTGTGGTCACTTAAAAAAAAAACAAACATGATAAACTTAAATTATTTCTCAAAAAAAAAGTTGAAAAACAACCCAGACCTAATCCAGCTTTTATTGACTGTCTTGCTTAGTTCAGTTTCATTACATAGGTTTAACTAGAAGAACAGCAAAGCTCACTCAATATAGCAGAATTAACTCTAAATTCATACAGAGAAAGATCTGAGAAGTGGCTGGCCCATCTGGCCTCCCCTACCTGGAAAGTTCAGCTGCATATGAGTCCAAGTTTTGATACACTACAGCTGCATAACCTTGGCTTAAGCTTCTAGAGAAATCATTAAGTCATGAGAAAGAACCTTGCAAGATGAAAACGGTAAAAACGCAGAGGTTAGATTGCTGTAACCAGGACAGCTAGTAACTTCAGATCAGCCAATTCCAGAGTACTGGCACCTGATGCTTTACCTCCTGGCTGAAGTCTTCCTGGGCAGTAAAGATACTCTAAGTAGCTCATTCAGGGAGCACACTAGCACTTTTGCTACTCCTTACCATCTTTTGTCTTTCTCACTGGAAATGCAAAGCATTTTTTTTTTTTTTGTTAAATTGACTAAATTCTACTTGCAAAGCTTCTACATATGGCAAAAGATGCAAAAAAAAAAAAAAATGGGGACCTAGTAAGGGAATGTTATATCTAGTAGCATTTTTTTTGTTGTTGTTTTCTGTTAAAAAAAAAAAAGTGAAATTGCCATTCAGCCTTTTCTTTTTCAGCCAAACCTCAATACTCTTACATGTTTTTTACATTGATTCTTTTCATCCCAAGTTCATTGAGAGTTCACTCGTTTCAGTCTATCATCAATTGTTTGCTGGGATTCTTGGTAATAAGAGGCATGGAGTGAATATACTATTTTTCCTGTTTTTTTCTTTATCAAAGTGGACTGTTAACTGTTATCCAACACCATACGCTTAAAAAAAAGTGGAAAAACAACAACAAAAAATACCATACATGCATATACCAATACCTCTGAAAACAAGCAAGCAAAACAGTGCTCTCCACATCACTAGAAACTGGAGTTTCTTATTTCAGTTTACCTGCCAACAACTTCTAGTATTTTTGCATACTCTTCACTTGGATTTTTTAAAGCTTTCCTCCGTGTATTTATATTGTAAAAGAGATCTTCAACCTACAGAGAAGATTATCACAATTAAAAAACATTGAAGAAGTCTCCTCTCACTATATAATTAAGATAATTTTCGAATATATACTACAAAATTTTCTAAGAACATTTAAGTTTTTGAAGAATCCGCATTTGATTTTTTTCCTTACCTGCTTAGGTTTACCTAACAAGTTTAAACTCTAGAGAAATACATAGCTTTATATATTTTAGTACATTCGTTTTTTGTTTTGTTTTTAAAAAAAAACACCACCACCTGTACAAGTATTCACTTTTCAGTGAAAATTATATTCCTTCCATTGCTGACAACAATGGATTCCCTAATTAAATTGTTATCATGAACCACAAATAAACTTTAAAACAGCTGTTGCAATCAGGGCTATTAATGTTATTAAAACAACAACTTAAGTTGTTAATTTTCACTATTTATTGAAACAGCATGCAAGTTATTTTTCTTTTCTGTAGTGAGAAAAGCAGAATTTTGAAGTTTACTCTATGTTATCCTGTATAAAAACACAAACGTAAATCTACAGCTGATTCACACGCAAAGCCTGGAGGGCGCGTATTCCCACTGCAAGGCAAGCACACACCTGCAGACCCTTTGGCCGGGCTGGCTTCTACCTCCCACCCTAAACCTTGCAACACACATTGCTCTTTCTATTTTGAGCTCCCTGCTTTTCTTTATCACAGCCTTCTGTCTCATCCTGATCACATGCTAACATCTGCAGTCACATCATCTCACCACAAGACCAACTGAGGATCTGCCTGCCTGTCTCTCCCCAACTTTCCACTTTTGTGCAATATGCCCCACTTCTTCCCTTGCAATGCAACACATACCAGTAAGTGGTACAAACAAAGACCAGGGAACAGCAGGATAACATACAAAAAAACCTTACCATGATCTGTGTCCCTTGGTTTCCAGCACAGGGTTTTGGAGGGGCTTTAATTTTTCCATCACTGTAAGAAGCTCTAGGCAGAAAATAAAAATAAGTTGTCAGACAGTTGCCAGGATTGGGTGGAAGACAACAGAAACCAATCACCACACTTCTCCCAGAAAGAACTTGGATTGCTGTGAATTGGCTGCAGCTTCTTCCTTTCTGCTAGCAGAAAACTGGCTGTATTGACCTCAGGGCCCATCAAGGCCGCAGGAGAGTGGGAGTAACAGCAGAGAATGTGTAGTAGATAACAGAATAAGTACTTTGAGATTGTACTACTCAAGCTGTTCCTGTAATTGTAGGATTATTATATTGTAATAGTAGGATAATTGCAGCTTTCTTTAATAACTAGACCTGCATTAATAATAATTCTTCCACTAGACTTCACACTTCAGTTATACTAATAATAAATTACTGACTTTATACATAAGATGTGTTTCCTTTTGGGCCAATAACAGGATTTTGACCATAAAAGATTTCTGATCCATTTAGCTCTTTCTGAAATTCTGCATCTGCGTGACTTCCTAAGGACACATTTCTTTTGACCTCTTACATACCCTACATAATTAATAAAAGAAAGACCATCATCATACAGTCTTTTGAAAAAAAAGTCAAGATGTAAACTTTTTTCCTTCTTTTTCATAAAAATAGCTGAGACACTAATAAGCTTATTTTTGCTTATGTTTAGAGCTCAAGTCTTCAGGAGGATATTCAAAACCCTTTTTGGATAGCATCATGAAACAAAATGTTTCTGTGTTCAGAGACCTATGAAATTTGCAAGACTTGCAGGCTGTGTACATACATTTTATCCTGAAATGTGAAAGATAAAAGTTAACCCTACACTGCCTGCTGAAGTAGAATTCCTTTTAAAACTTCCCCCATGCACGTTTAAATTATATTGTTTAGGTAAAGCCTACCCTTACAGTCTGCAATAAAAATCATTCAAACTGTGTTTTCTTATATTCTGGGCCCTGTTTGGAACTGTCCTAGAAACAAAGCATTCAGTGTCCCCATTCCCACCAATAAGAGCACTGAAAAGAACATGAAACACATCTGTTTGTTATTATCTACAGCAGAAGTTACCTGGATCATAACTAGCATACCTGTATGCACACTTTGCATCAGCTGTTTTAGTTGTTACCGTAACATGGGCAACATGACTGATGCTAGCCAATGCCTAGAGAAAGAAAAAGCATCTTTGTAAACCTTGCTCTAGATGTCACTGATAGCTGAAGAAGCATACAAGCTCCAAAGAGCACCACAAAATTCTCATATACCATCTGCAAATAATTAATAAAAGCCCCTGTAAAAAAGTCACTGGGGTCAGTAAAGCCTTTATGACTTTCAGTACCTATAAAACCAGACTTTATCCAGAACTTTCTTTTGGCCTTAAGTACTGCATTTAGCAAAAAGTCTGTCATCATTGATTTACCATCCAGTCAAAACTTCCATTGCCTTTCACCTATACGTTCCTGAAGCAACGCTTGAAAAGACAGGTATTGTTTTACTTAAATAACCTCTTACTCCAGAAAGCAAAAAAGAATATATACCTCTCACTAGGAATCCATATATTCTTAAAAGACACATAAATATATTTTGAACTACATTCAGAAGGCAGATTCTCAGAAATCAGCATAGTTTTGTGAATGAGCAATTATGTGAATTCTGCACTACAGAAAGGCATCAATAAACAATTTCAAAACCTTGCTGAAGAGCTTACCTCACCCCTGAAACCGTATGTAGAAATACTAGACAAGTCTTCAAATTTTTGTAGTTTACTCGTAGTAAATCTCTCACATACAACGTTGAGATCTTCTTTCTATATAACAGGGATAAGAAAATAATAACAGCTATATTCTGTTCCCACTCTTTTCAAGATCAGAAACATTTATAGATCTACGTAAGTGTTAAGAGGTTATACAAGACATCAGCACAGAGCTGTTGGTACTCACTCTGATACCACAGCCGTTATCTTGGACTTGGATGAGCTTCAGACCACCTTCTTTAACTACTACCTGGATATTCGTAGATTTAGCATCCAAGCTGTGGAAAGCGAGAAAGCACAGTATAGAACAGCCATTCTAGAGAATAAATAGCTATCGAAAGTGGAATTTTAAATTGTTTTTATATAACTGATGTTTCTACTCTAGTTTTCAGACACATTGGAACTTCTGTTCCAAAGATGCGCTTGCCGCCTTCTTCCTTTTTCTTCTAGCAGCCATATGAACGATTCTAACCCACTATTCACAGCTCAGACACGGTTTCAGAAAGCCCAGAGAGCCAGGAGGGTGTCCAGCCCCGGAACGACCCCTTCTCCCACCGCTCAGCTGCTGCCCTCCACACGCCCGGCTCCTTCGACTAGCCTCAGCGCCCGGGCTGCAGCCCGAACCCGGAGAGTCCGCCCCTTCTGAGACACCGCAAGCGCCTCACCAGTTCTCTATCATCTCCTTGATGGCATTCGCCGGCCTCTGGATGACCTCGCCGGCCGCGATGCGGTTCACCACAGCTTCATCCAGCCGCCGGATCACGCCGGCCATCGCCGCCGCGACAGGAGCGGAGCCCGGCCCGCCACGAGAGGGGGAGGCAAGAAAATGGCGGCCGCCTCAGGGGCTTGGGACGTTGGAGGGAAACAGTCGCCCCCACGCCCGTTTGCGCCAATAGGCGGCGCGCCCCACAATTGGGTGAGGCAAGTGTCCATCACTCGGCCGCCCTCCCGCCCCGCGCGGCGATTGGCGGAGGGCTGGGGGACGGCCTCGTGGTGGCGGGGAGGGGAGGTCCGTCCTCACCTGTCTTCCTGTCTGGGATCATCGTTAATTGTAACGTGCTAACAGCGATCTGTAAAACAGTTTTCACTTTACAGAAAGAAAAAAATAAAAAATAAAAAAACATCCAGAGGAGTAAACTGAGACCAGTCCCCCCCTGCTCCTGACACCTGGCAATATGGTTGGCATAACCAACGCCATTTCATCACAGAATCATCTAGGTTGGAAGAGACCTCAAGATCACACAGTCCAACCTCTGACCTAACACTAACCAGTCCTCCACTAAACCATATCCCTAAGCTCTACATCTAAATGTCTTTTAAAGACCTCCAGGGATGGTGACTCCACCACTTCCCTGGGCAGCCCATTCCAATGCCTAACAACCCTCTCAGTAAAGAAGTTCTTCCTAACATCCAACCTAAACCTCCTCTGGTGCAACTCTAGCCCATTCCCCCTCGTCCTGTCATCAGGCATGTGGGAGAATAGCCCAACCTCCACCTCGCTTCGCTACAGCCTCCTCTAAGGTACCTGTAGAGAGCAATAAGGTCACCCCTGAGCCTCCTTTTCTCCAGACTGAACAATCCCAGCTCCTTCAGCCGCTCCTCATAGGACTTGTTCTCCAGACCCCTCACCAGCTTCATCGCCCTTTTCTAGACTCGCTCAAGCACCTCGATGTCCTTCTTGTAGCGAGGGGCCCAAAACAGAACACAGTAGTCGAGGTGCGGCCTCATCAGAGCCGAGTACAGGGGGACAATCACTTCCCTAGCCCTGCTGGCCACACTGTTTCTTATACAAGCCAGGATGCTGTTGGCCTTCTTGGCCACCTGAGCACACTGCTGGCTCATATTCAGCCAACTATCAACCAATACTCCCAAGTCCTTCTCTGCCAGGCAGCTTTCTAATCACTCATCTCCCAGCCTGTAGCTCTGCTTGGGGTTGTTGTGCCCCAGGTGCAGGACCCGGCACTTAGCCTCGTTGAACTTCATACAGTTAAATTCATGAAGCATGCAGCTGCTATCTGCCGGCAGGCTGATCACAAGTCACCCCTTCCACCTCTCTGCATGATTTTTGGAAGCACATGTGCCCACCAGCACTGTGAAAGCCCTGGGCATGGAGTCTCTAAGATATGGTGACACCCGTTACAAAGCAAGGGAGCAAAGCAGCATTTGAGATACCACCCGTCAAACCCAGCAGCTATCAGTGGAACTTAGGTCAGAATTGCTGCTGGGCAGCAAAACCTGTGACCCCCATGGCCAGGGGCACTGCCAACATCATCTTGTTTCCTCTGAGGATTGAGTAACTCATGTAATTTTATATGTATTCTGAATTTAGATCATGATTATTAAGAATTTGACCCAAGTGGCAGAGTGTCTAGGTGATCAAAAATCTTACGTAATAAAAAAGCCATGGTGATTGCTAAAAAATCTATCTAATAATGTAGGTCTAATTATAACCGCAACTAAGTGGCGTCCACATTCTACTCAGTATCCCTAAAGAACCTGCTTTAATTCTTTTAGTCCCCATAGCACAGGTGATGGTACACCATCACAGGTGTCACTTCAAACAAGGGGTTTTACAAGGTACCACATGCCTTGGCCAAAGGCATGAAGAAGACACAGTTCCTGCAAGAAACATGTGAAGCATGAAGCAAAGCCATTTTTTCTGGGTGTTGAGGGTTAAGAGTGTGAAACATGGAGTGGCTGTCTCTTGCTGTAAGGTGTCTTGCCTTGCAAGGAGGCCGGTAGTCCTGGGAATGGGATGGAAATATCTGGAGAGAGTCAACAGACTCCAAGATTGAATTTGAGCCAGATTCAGAAAGCAGGGAGGTGGTAGAAGCCCAGCCCCTCGCAGAAATTCAGGAGCAGCAGCAGCTGGCAGGCAGAGGGGTGCATATCACACGCATCTGTATTCCAAAAGAATACAAGGAAACAGATGTGGAATGATATTGTGTGTCGGTGTCCCACAATCAGATGGGAACACAACATCAGAACTGTTTCGCCAATGGCAAAAGTTAGCACCTATAAAATAAAATAAAATAAAATAAAATAAAATAAAATAAAATAAAATAAAATAAAATAAAATAAAATTCCCCTCCACCCGATCTCAAGGCAAGGCACTACCTGGCAAGTGCCAAAACAGCAGAAAGGAAGGTCTGGTGGTTCCTCCCAAATTATCTACACTGTAGTCTCTTACCACAAGGAGGACCAACACCTCTGTGTTCCTTCAACTATAAAGTGTCAGTCTGGAGGGATTTTACCTGTGTTAGCTCTGGTGGATAATACTGGAGCTGAAGTTACTGTATTACATAGAGATTTTAATGGTAAAGAAGCCGCACCACAGAGCACAGAAATTCCCGCCCTCCTCCCCTCAGCCCCCAAGCTAAGGTTACTTTAACAGAAGGAAATACCACCCCATTTACCACAATTGTGTTAATTACAACAGTTGAAGAATATATTTTGGGTATTGATGTGTTAGCAGGATGAATTGTTGAAACAGTAAACGGTCACTTTTGCTTCGGGACATCGCAAGCGGGATTTACTATTCACTCTGTAACTGCTTTGTGTGAATTCCCAAAGTGGGATCCAGTTGTGCTGCCCGCACCTGCCAAGATAGCGACTATAAAAGTTCAGGCACTTTGACAAGTAGAAATTGTTAAAGAAACCGTGAATGCTTTTAGCAGAATTTAGATTGTAGAGAGCTGACCAAAGTCACACCCCCACTTGTAGTTATAGTACCAGACATGGTTACTCTCAGAAAAAATTACCAAAAATTCACAGCCCTGGAAGATGATGCTCTGGTTCCAGGAATTAGGTTATAGCAAACAGGTGTACAGGCATCTAGTCACTGGGTCTTGAATAGCATATGGATTACATTGGCCCCCAACCATCAAGGAACACACTTTAGTGGACACAATGTCCTAGACGGGGCTCAATGGCTAGATGGAGATTGGATATTCCAATTTACCTACCATCCCCAAGCTGATGGGTTGATTGAAAGAATGAATGGGATGCTGAGGTGCGGCATGGGTCAGGTTGGAGGATGGAAGCAGTTACCTCTGCATGGACCATAAGGCCAACGTTGTCATCCAGGGCAGTGCCTGACAGCAACTGTTGTGGAGAGACCTGCCTGTTTTTGGTGGTACAAACTGGAGTTTCAAGTTGAGCCACAGCTCTCCTTGGTCTCTCAGAAACCAGAAAGCAACAGGCAGTCCCTGGGCAGCATTCTCCTTACTGGCCCCATTGAGCGGCATCTCTACAGGACAGAGATTTCCCTTGCAGTAGGACACTCATCGATACTGGGAGCCCGGGAGGGAACAACAATACTAGCATTGCTCGAGTTTGCTGCTTGCCACATGTCTGTGTGCAAGCCCTAGCTTAGTTTCTTTCTTTCCATAGACAGGACCTTTCCTGAGTTTTCCAAGTTTTCCTTCTTTCCAGAGACAGGACCACAGGTGCTGTGGTTTTCTAGCTTCCCAGTGCAAATTCTAGCCCAATTAGCATTCCCTTCTTTCTGGAGACAGGGCCACAGGTGCACAGCAAAGGAGATGATACACTTCCAAAACTACTTCTGCTTTCAAACAGCATTATCGAATTGCAGTGCGGTAAGAATTTCAAAGCCCTCAACTTTGCCCAGGTTAGGAATGGTGCAGCATGTGCGAGCCTTGTTCTCACCAGGCTTGGGCTCAATGTGCATTCTGCTGGTTTTGCGGACAGCCCAGCTGGGCCACCCCACAAGGAAAGAACACACTGCTGTGTACAAGGGACCCCTGAGTTGTGTTTCGCCAGCTAGCCCAAAACGGCGAAGGCAAGTTCTTCTGTGCTGAGCTGCTCCTGAGGCACATGGCTCAGCAGAATCAGGTGTTTGGCAATAATTGGTCATTTTAGTTCACCTAGTTTATCTCCCACTAAAGCATGTGAGTAACGGAGGACCAGCAGTGGGGTAGGCTAGTCCCACAATTCCGTGTTTCCTTTTTGATGAGTGTGGTTTTTAATGTGTTTTAGCTTTAAAGAGCAAAGGGTTACTATGGGTCAGCCTGGAATCTTCCTTCAGCTCTTTTCCTCATTCTTGCTTTCATCCCTTATCTCCTTTGATTTTGCTTGTTTGAGGCTACCAGTCTTCTTGTTTTCTTCAGCTCAAGAAGGAACTCAGATATGCATCCAAAGACGCTCCTAGACAACCAGGGAGCACAGCAGGTCAGGAAAACAACCTTTTGCACTTCAGATGGCTCTCACCTCCAGGACACATCAAGAGGCACTTGGAGGGCCATAGTACAAGGGAGAAGTTACTCACGGATCATTTTGTTATCTCAGTGTCTTTAGAACTGCAAAAGTAAACAATGATTGAAAACAGGCACATTTCTGACTAGAAACTTTGCTTCTATCAAGCACTTAAATTGTCTGTTCTACTAGAACAAATAAAACACTTATGGTCTCTTTTGGTTTTGTTTTCCTGAAAAGGAGATTTTATTTTCACAGCAGTGTGTACATACAACATTTCTCAAAATACACAGATCTGAAAACAAGAGACTACATACACATCATTGATCAGTTTGCTGTGGCTTACTAATAGCTATAAGTTTTTTTTTCCAGTAAGTGGCGATACTGCATCATAGACTTCCTATGAATTGGACTGTTTGGTATAATTATGCAGTATAGTGTAGCTCATTAAAAAAAAAAAAAAGATGTACAATTTACTATTACTGTCACCTGAAGATTTTGAAGTATACATATATTTCCTGAAGTATTTTAAATAGAAAAAACACTATTTAAAGCAAGCATGGCAAATCATGAACCTCCGGGAAATACTTCAAAATACCTAACAACATCCTAATTTGACTGTTTTTAAACACATCTCTGAATTAAGTTTCCTGAACTAATCCCAACAGAAGCAACATAGCAGCATCTTTGTAAGTGAGGAAGCCAACTTCTCCCTTTTATTTAGAAGCAGAGCAGAGACTAAGAACAATAAAAGTTGCTTACATTTCGGTTATGTTTAAAAGTAAAATAGCATTACCATTTCTTGCTTCACCACAGATTAACAGGTGTCAGAATATGCTATATATAAATATCCTAATCCATGCAGCATTTATTAATCCACTACAGAAATATTCTCAACATAAATCTGTTGAAAATATAATTTAAATATAATGTTTTAGTAAAAAAAAAAAAAACAAAAAAAAAAACAGAACACCTCACCAGAAGATTCAGTTTGCTGATTGTTTGCAATGTACTAGAGCTCTTAATGAAGCCGCTCCAATTACATCAAATAATGTCGCACATTTTGCCCCCTGCCCCAAGAATCACAAAACAAAAACAAAACAAACAAACAAACAAACAAACGAAGAAAACAGGTTAAGAATAAATGGTGATCACTTCACGCCCACTGCCTCGGACTAGGAGAACTCTGTCCAGACCTTCTGTCAGTACTTCCAAAAACTCCATGTCTGAAGTATTGTTAAGTCAAAAGATCACAGAAAAGAAGCAAAACAGCTACTAATGACCCAAGATATCTGATGTACAATTAAAAAACAAGTTCATCAGGAAGCTTTCCTGTGTATCTCCCTTTATTGCCCAATTACGCTTGGGCACTTCCACCTGCTTACTCAGGAAGAAGAAGTGAAGACTATTTCTGGGGATTTCTACAAGAAAATGTGTTTTTCTGCCCTACTGACCTACAGAAAAGAGAAAATAGAAAGTTAAAAGAAAACTCAGCATTGAGGAATGTCTTGCATCAATTCAACTGACAAAATTTCTGTGGTTGACAGTGGTAGCACTATCAACACTTGATTTTTTTCTGTGAAATCGAAAGTAGAGAGTGGTACAACCAAAAAAATCAAACTTCCAATTTCAGAAGCTATAGAAGCAATATAGCAGAGGATACAGTTTTCATCCCCTTTTCTGTTTTTAGGAGGTCCAGGCATATTCAGGAGAACTAGTTGAGCATGTTGTGATTTATTAAGCACCACTCCATTGAGCTTCACAGCGGTGTGCATTCTTCTTACATTTGACTGATTCCTGTACACAAACAAATCTTTTTAGGTATTGCCACAATACTTACATATCTGTGCTTATAAATTAAAATGTACACATCTTATGCATTTGAATTTATAAGCATAATCTGTATGCATGTATAACAAGCTATTTTCTTGGACTTCACTTGTACATATTCAATATAAATTTGAGAAAATGAAATGCCTATGTTTTAAAGATTCTTTTTCTTCAAAAATAAAACCTAAAATTGCCTGAATATCATAATTAAGTGAATTGCCAAAATGCACAACTCTTTCAGTTGTCAGGTATCATTTACAAAGATGAATCAAAAGCTTAATTTCAGTGGAAATGAAATTTAGTCAAATAGACTTTCTCCTGTGGCAGGCACAGAGGCCTGTTTGCTGAAGTTGTGCCCAGATGGAGGCCTCCTGCAGCAGGTAGCGAAACTGCTGTCGGAAGTGAGAATCTGACTGCACAACATCAGGGAACCTGAGGAGTTGGGTGGTTCCATGTGCAGTCTGCATCAGAGCCACAATCAGAAACTGCCCCTGCAGGAATACACAGGAGGAAACAATGCTCAAAACAGAAAAATGAAGCTTGTTATGGTAAGGACCATCAGAAGGAAGAGACTTCCCCCACTGCCTGATATGCCCTTGCAGAACCAGTTTACTGCTCTGGGGACTACAGAGGAAGGACCTGTCATGTCAGGGTAGACACTGGTGTGGACTGAGCCAGTTCAGTCTATTCCCAACATAACGACCAGTCTAACCAAGAAAGAACAATGGGTGATAGTCATAGGCAACCCTCTTCTGCAGGGAATGGAAACACCCATTTGCCAACCTGACTTAACCTCAAGAGAGGTTTGTTGCATATGAGAGACTCATGCTGGGGATGTCACCAAGAGACTACCGAGCCTTGTACAGCCCACAGACTATCCACTGCTTTTATTTCATGTGGGTATCAGTGACTCTGTCGAGAGCAGTCCAAGGTGTATTATGAAAGATTACAGAGCCCTTGGAGCAGCTGTAGAGGTTCTTGGAGCACAGGTGGTTGTCTCTTCAATCCTTCTGCTGAGAGGAAAAGGTTTTGAAAGCAGCTGGTGCTACAGACGGGGATTTGTCTGTTTAGACCATGGGACTCTTTGAGAAACCTGGTCTAGGGATCACTGGGGACTGATGGGGCCCATCTGTCAGAGAAAGCAAAAAGTATCTTTGGTTACAGGCTTGTCAAGCTGGTGAAGAGAGCTTTAAGGTTGCTGGGAGAGAGGAACATTAGTCCTCTTCTATTGGTCAGCATCAGCAATGAACATTCAGAGATGGGAAACGGAACAGGTGTCAGTGGGAGAGCACCTGAAGGGGAGCACAAAGGAATTCCAATCACTTCATCCAATAAAACAGTTTCATCAGCCCAGTTTAAGTGCTTCTATTTCCCATGCTGCGTTTACTTAAACAAGGTAAACTTGAATTTTTCTTAAGTCTCAGGACTTTCATGTCTGGAGTGCTGTGATAGATGGTTACAGACTCTACAGGAGAGATATGTAGAGAAAGAGAGGAGGTAGGGTAGCCGTTTGCAGTAGGGAATGCTTTGACTGCATGGAGCTGAGTGATGGTGATGAAAGGGTTCAGTGTCTCTGGGTAAGAGCCAGGGAAAGGCCAATAAGGCTGATGTTATGGTGGGAGTCCATTACAGCGCACCCAATCAGGATGAAGAGGTAGATCAAAAATTCTATAAGCAACTAGAAGTCTCACAATCACTAGATCTTGCTCTAATGGAGATCTTCCCCAAAGTCTGCTGAAAATACAATACAGCAAAAGGGAGACAGTCTAAGATATTGCTGAAGTGTGTGGAGGATAAATCCCTGACAGAGGTGGTGAGGAAGTGAACTAGGGAAGGTGTCCCACTTGAGCTGCTGTTTGCAATCACAAAGGACTTTTGTGTGAGGTAGTGGTTGGAGGCCATCTTAGGCAAGCAGTCACAAAACAATAGAGCTTTTGATCCTTGGTGAAGTAAAGGAAGTGATTATCAAAACTTCTGCCCTGGATCTCCAGAGGGCAAACTCTGGCCTATTTTGATATCTGGTTGACAGAGTCCCTTATGGAGACAATTCTGAAAGGCAAAGGACCCAGGAAGACCTTCTTCAATAACAAAGTCTTAAAAGCACAGGAGCAGGCTGTCCCAATGCACCAGAAGTCAAGCCAGTGGTGGAGAAGATCAGTTTGGTTGGACAGGGAGCTTCTTCACTCAGGAAGAAAAAGAGAGTTCATGAGATCTGTAAGAAGGAGCAGGCAACTCAAAACTGCTGTCAAGATGTGCAGGCAGAAAATTAGAAGGGCCTAAGCCTAACTAGAACTCAAATGGGCTAGTGCAGTAAAAGAAAAATGTTTTTATAAATACATCGGCAGGAAAAAGGGAACTAAGGAGAAACTCCATCCTTTGTTGGATGTGAGGGGAAACATAGTGATGGAAGATGGAAGATAAAGCTGAGGTACTCAATGGTCTTTTTGCCTCAGTCTTTACTTAGTAAGACCTATTGTTCTCAGTGTACTCAGCCCCCTGAGTTGGAAGATGGTGACAGGGAGTGACTTGAAGCCCCTATAATCCAATGAGAAGCTGTACATGACCTCCCCCATGTTTTAAATGCTCATAAGTCTACAGGGCTGGACAGGATCCATCAAAGAGTACTGAAGAAGCAAGAAGACGTCCTCACCAAGCCGCTTTCAATAATTTACCAGCACTTCTGGCTAACCAGGAAGGTCCCAGATGACTTGAGATTAGCCAATGTAACTGTAATTCACAACAAGGACAGGAAGGAGAATCCAGGGAATTACAGACCTGTCAGTCTGACCTCAGTACCAGGAAGGTTATGTCATCCTGAATGTCATCACACATTCTGTGATCAGATCCAGCCAGCAGGTCCTGCTGCCTGACTAACTTGATCTCCTTCCGACAAGACGACCTGCTTATTACATGAGGGAAAGGCTGTGGATGCTGTCTACATGGATTTTAGTGAAGCATGTGACACTTGCCCACAATATCCTCCTGGAAAATCCAGCTGCTTATGGCTTGGACAAGTATATGGCTCAATGACTGAAGAACTGTCTGGATGTCAGGCTCAGAGTCACAGTGAATGGAGTTCAATTCACCTGACAGCTGGTCACCAGCTGTGTTCCCCAGGGCTCAGTACTGGGGCCAGTTTTGTTTAACATTTTGCTAAAAAAGATCTGGATGAGATCAAGTGGACCTTCAGTATGTTTGTTGACAGTACCAAGTAAGGCGGGACTGTTAATCTGCTTGAGAGTAGGAAGGCTCTGCAGGAGGATCTAGATAGGGTAGATCGACAGACAGAGTCTAATTGCATAATATTCAGCAAGGTTAAATGCCAGGTACTGCACTTAGGTCGTAATAATCCCTTTCTACAGTACAGGGTTGGGGAAGAGTAGCTGGAAAGTTGCCCAGTTGAAAAGGACTTAAAAGTGCTGCAACAACTAGCTGAACATTATCTGACAGTGTGCCCAAGTGGTCAACGAGGCCAATTGGCATCCTGCCCTGTATCAGAAACAGTGTGACCAGAAGGACTAGCGAAGTGGCTGTCCCTTTGTATGCGGCACAGATGAGACTGCACTTTGAATGCTGTGCTCATTTGCTCTCACCACAAGAGAAATATTGAGTTGCTCACGTGTGCAGAGATGAACAACGAAACTGGTGAAGGGACTAGAAGACATGGCTTAAGAGGAGTGGCTGTGGGAACTGGGATTGTTTAGGCTAGAGGACAAGAGGTTGAGGGAAGACATCATCACTCTTTAAAACCACCTGAAAGTAGGTTGTCAGTCTCTTCTCAGGCGGCAGTGACAGGGTGTAAGGAAACTGTCTCAAATTGAACCAGGGGAGGTTTAGATTGGATTTTAGGAAGAATTTCTTCACAGAGAGGATGGTCAAGTGTTGGAATGAACTGAGCCTAGGGAAGTGGTGGTTTTTCCATCCCTGGAGGTATTTAAGAGACGTGTGGATCTGGCACTAAGAAAGATGGTTTATCAATGGAACTCAGTAGGCCAGGCTGACAGTTTCACTTGATGATATCAAAAGTCTTTGCCAATGTAAATGATACTTTGATTCTACTCTATGATTTTTATATGCTAGTGCCATACCCAATTTATTATCTGAACTCACTATAGTTCTGTATGTGGATTGTGGAAGTGAGGCAGAACTGGCATTTCATGGACTGTGAAAGTTCTTTGTGATATAAATACTTGGACAAAAAGAATGGAACTTATCACACTGGGGGCTATTTTTCCAGACCAAATTTATATTCACTTTTTTTTTATTTTTTAATTTTAATCTTGTGGAGAAGAGTACTGTCAGATTTTGCATTCTTCTAGAAACTAAAGTACTTGCTGTGACTTACCTTGAAGGGAAAGTTGATGATATTTAGAAGAAAACATTAACAGATAATGAAGAAAACTATTTTTCAGTGATAAATGCTAAAACACAACATAAAAAACGATGAACAAAACAACATGCAAACTGCAAATCATGATTTAGGAACACGCAGACAGTATACACCACCACAAGAACTACGGAACGCAACCAAAATTGCTTAAGTGAAATGAAATTTAGAGACTTACAGATTTCCCCATTCTCTACATGGAAGGGAAGCAAACGTATAAAAAATTATTTTTATGCTATCAGGTACACGTTAATTCAATAATAGCAATGCATTGTGCTGGCACACCAAGTTCAAACCATAATTTCCACCCCAATCTTATACAGTAGTTTTTAAATAATACTACCTGAAGTCTACACCTTGTACAATTCTAAAGAAACAGGAAATCTTTCCAACATTTAAAAGAAAAAAAAAAAAAGTCTAAGAATTAGAGCACCTGTTTTTTTGTTCTGAGCTCCAGAAAGTGAGCAAGATGTTTGGAATTTGCAGAAGGCAAATTCTTTCGACAAAGCCTAGAGCAAATCCACAAAACAGTTTAGGATTTTAAGAAAGTACACCTAGAATTAGTGCCTAAATCTGTCTCTAAGTCCTAGATTTAGATTAGATGTCTCTAAGTCCTATGTTTTCTCTAGACATTAAATTTCCCTTGTGTCCTGGTTTCAGTTAGCACAGAATTAATTTTCTTCCTAGTAGCTGGTGGAATGCTGTGTTTTGGCTTAGGATGAGAAGAGTGCTGATAACACCCCGATGCTTTAATTGTTGCAGAGCAGTGCTTATACTAAGCCAAGGACATCTCAGCCTTTTGCTCTGTCCTGCCAACGGGCAGGCTGGGGGTGCAGTAAGAGCTGGGAGGGGACAGACCCAGGACAGGTGACCCAAACTAGCCAAAGGGGTATTCCATACCATCTGACGTCATGCTAAACAATATATAGGGGTGGCTAGCTGGGGGGAAGGGGCCGGACTGCTCGGGGTTAGGCTGGGCATCGGTCAGCGAGTGGTGAGCAATTGCATTGTGCATCACTTGTTTGTACATACTATTATTACTTTCCTATTATCACCATTGTATTATTATTGTTATTATTTTTATTATTATTTTGTTATTATTATTTTCCTGTCTTATTAAACTGTCTTTATCTCAACTCACGGGCTTCACTTTCCATTTCTCTCCCCCGTCCCAGAGAGGGAGGGGGGAGGGTGAGCGAACGGCTGCGTGGTGTTTAGCTGCCAGCCGGGTTAAACCACGACACCTTGCCATTAACATTTTTGATTTGAGCATGGGCAAAGAATAGACCAGACCATGCTTAGAATTCCTTTCCTTACAGAACTCAGAAAAGATGTGTGTATGCACTTGAATCACAAAACAAGAAGGAAGCAAATAAGCTGATATCCTTCTTTCATCAGTTTCGTGGGTCTACTACCTCAGGCCTGACAGTAGCTCTTACTGAGTAAGTGACTTATATTTTAACAGACATTTAGAGATAAAGCATAATTTCACCAGGAAATACTGAATATATCAAGACATACGTATAAAACAATATAGAACTTGTGCTTATATACTCATTTTAGAGGAAGAAGACCTAACAATTTTTTTCAAAAAAATCATGTAAATCTCTTTCAAGATTTTTAGTTTATCTGATTCTTTATACTTCTACCACCCCAGCAAAAAACAGTAAATTTAAGGGAAATGATATCCAGATGAAGAGAGGAAAATGAAAGTTACCATTAAGCATTAAACATCTGTGCTTTTTAGTACAATCCATAAGCTGAAAGTCTTAAAGTCTGTCATACTTGAGATTCATGCACAACATTATGAATATTTTTATATGTATATTAACAATGTCCATTACAGACATTCCACCCAGCCTGTCTCACAAAGATGGCATTTAAGTGAAGTGCATGGAAAGACCGTGTTTGTACTCAACTTTAAATAAACATGAATCTCTTAAATACAAACAAACAAACAAAACTATACAGCAGCAACAAACCAAACCAACCAACCAAAGTCCACCGAACAAACAAGAAAACCCTATACCCAAAACACAGAATCGAATAAAATCTCCAACTATCACACATGTACTTACGGCTTCATGTTGAAAATATCTTTGAAACCAGACACATTTGTGTCTTTGTTTTTATGCTTTTCAGCTACAAACTTTTCTTTGGTCCAGGTCATTTGCACTTTTTCTGGCACAGAAGCAGCCACACTTGCTTTGACAGCTGGAGTTGAGTGCGAGGCTGTGTTTCTGTCATGGATCAGTTGAGCCTGGAGACAGACAGGCAGACAGATAGACACACACACAAAAGAAACCAAACCAAAATTCAGCCAAATGATCATTTGTAGATTATAGATTATTAATACCTTGAAATTGAATTTTGCTGAAGTATAGCAAAAGAAAAATCAGAAAAAGACCCCTTATTTTGTGAACAAATATCAGAAAGTGTTTTGACATTGTCATGAAATGAAACTGCTTGTAAAAATCTAGTTATTTGTTTATATTTGTAGGACTACTTTTGGGCTGGGACATGATTCTTGTAGTGAACTAAAGTGAGTTAGAATCCAACCTGAGTTTAATCTTTATTAATACCAGGTTCTTAAGACAGTGAACAACATGTAGGACAGTGTATTCATTCTTCCTCAGGTTTCTATCAGATAAATTGCTATTTTTAATTTGCTCTGACAATGTTGTAAGCACTGCACTTGAAAGATTTTATGTGCCTTTATCTGAATTAGCAGCATGACCATTACACTTCTAAAACCACAACAGTGGATTTTAGAGTTTCCATGGTTGAAGTGAAGGCCAGCTATGTTCCATTTTGATGGAAGGAGCATAGATTATTTCTGCACACAAATGCATTTTACATAACAAAAGCCAATCACAGTCTTACCATGGAAGAGCCTTGTCTTCTGTTCTAATAGCAGTAACTCAGTAAATCAAACCATTAAGAATATAATGTTATTCCCTCATGTATAAACGCTTCTGAGATCTCCATTTCCCACTCCCCTTTGTCTTCTTGAGGAAAAAAAATAGAATATTTAATTCTTGTTTACTTTCCATCATAATACATTGTCCATAGGCTTTTGTATTTCCATCAAAAGTATCCCAAGTACAGTACCTTAGACTCTTATGATTGTAAATAAATAGGTATTGGTGGAAGGATGATTGTTTTTGTGGTTTTTGTTTGCTTGCTTCCTTGTTTTTAAAGTTTTAACAGTTAGGAACCACCTTCAGATACTTGTTAAATTGTGAATTGGATCCCCTATTCCATTCAAGAACCTCGATTATTCATGCTAGTGAGGGGCATTGCCCCTCTATACATGTGGTGATTCAGAAGAATTGATTTCACAGAATCACAGAATCACAGAATTTCTAGGTTGGAAGAGACCTCAAGATCATCGAGTCCAACCTCTAACCTAACACTAACAGTCCCCACTAAACCATATCCCTAAGCTCTACATCTAAACGTCTTTTGAAGACTTCCAGGGATGGTGACTCCACCACCTCCCTGGGCAGCCTGTTCCAATGCCTCACAACCCTTTCGGTAAAGAAGTTCTTCCTAACATCTAACCTAAAACTCCCCTGGCGCAACTTTAGCCCATTCCCCCTCGTCCTGTCACCAGGCACGTAGGAGAACAGGCCAACCCCATTTCATTTAGTCACAATCAGAGACATTAATAAAATTGAAGCAGATAAGAAAACCGCATTCATTCTCAGAACACTGATTCCCCCCAGTGGTTCACAGACTGTAGCTGTAGCTGTTTTAACTGCCTAAGTGCTCCTGTGTTTTTCCTAAATTATTTCTCCCATCCCTAGCCTAACCTTGAGGATTCTCAAATCCTGGAGCTCATTTTTCTGGTTCACATCTCTCTGTATGATGGTGTTCATATCTCCCCCAAAAAAGTAAATAATGAGTCAAGAGTATAAATCAGAAGTTACTGTGAATACAGTAGCTATTATGAATACGGAAGAAGTTAACAAAATACATGCAGCTACTATACCTGCTATACTGCAGTGTCCAATAAACTAAAACTTCAAACTAACGAATGTAAGATGAATTAATTTCAGTTATGCTTTAGGGGAAGCTAGTTCTCAATTTTTAGAAAGACAGTGAGGCCAAAACAAATTCTGAACCTATAGTATATTTTGATAAAAATGCAGAGACAAAAAGGTACATTTTTGTTATTGCTACTTTGATAACAAATTAAATCCATGTAATAAAAGGCATGATTCCATACTTCAAGAAAAAAGGGAAACACAAAGGAATACTGCACTTCTACAAACTAGGCTATGCATCTTTACAGATAAGCAACACTTCAAGTGCACACTAACAGCACTGATAACACCAGTCAACTTCCTTTCAAGCTCAGTAAGCAGAAAAATAGTAATGACTTACAAAAGCCCTATCTATAGTTTTTGAGAAGCTTCAGCACTTCAGTAAGGGAACTAAAAAGGAAAAGCAATGCTTTGAAAGCATGAAACGTTCTTATTAATCAAACATCCACTATAAAAATGTATAAGAGAGAGAAGGCAAATAAATATTGTTGCTTCTAACTCTTAAGAAAACCAATTGCTCCCAGATAATACATGCAATTTTTTAATCGAAACTGTGACAAAATAGGATGCAATTCATGTCACAAACATCATCTAGAGAAAAAAAAAACATAGCATGATTAAGACTATACTAAAATTAAAATTTATGAAATGCTGTTTTGGTAACAATCAAGATGTTCGTTTCTAGTTCAGTTTGCAATAGTGGCACTAAGTGTTGCAATGGGAAAGACCTATACAGCCAGTACTATGTCCAGCTACCTCCTCCTCTCCATAGTCATTAGTCATCAGTGCCTGTACATCTTGGCCAATGGACTGTAGACTAGAGTAGCTTTTTCTTCTGATTGAGCCTCGAGACTCATCAGTGATGCTCTGAATCTGGGACAAAAAGGTTACCAATGACAAAAATAGTCTAAAGAAAAAGAACAGACAATTGTATTATTCAAAATAAAAAATGTCCTCATTTAAACAGATGAGATATGGTCTCATCGGTTATTATACACTTGGTTTGTTTTCACAGATGTGGCACTTGTTTATATATGTATATATTGTGGAGGTCTGTACCTAACTGCTAACTGTTTCAAAAAAAGTCTCTTTACAGAGATTTGTTAAATCATGAATTGAAACATTATGGGAACCTCAAATACTCACGTGTTCATGAGGGTCATGTCCCTTCCTATGTGTGTTGGCTCATATGAATTGATTTCATGCAGTCATAATCGCAAGTATGGACAACTGTAGATTAATTCCCCAGGGATTTACAAACTATAGCTGTGCTCCTCATCTACATGTGTCCACATTTCTGTCAATCTTACAATCTATACAAGAGTACTTATGTGGAACAACCCAACACCAAGTAGTGTTGGGATGAACGACTGCCATATCAAAACTTGAACAAAATTGCTGCCTGCCCCAACAGTTAGAACTAACCAGAGGAAAAAGCCAACTACAATCAAGCAGATCAGCAAGGAAGTGAATCTATCTCTACATTTCTTTTCCATATCACAGAATCACAGAATGTTAGGGATTGGAAGGGATCTTGAAAGATCATCTAGTCCAATCCCCTGAAATTTGCAGCATTATTGACAAAGTCAAGTAAATAAGCATTTAGCAGATGCATCTAAATCTGCAGAAAAAAGAAGAATCTAATGTCTCCTGTGCACCATTTCTGCAAGAAAACCCAGCCATCACATGGTTAAGATCAAGCAAATTTCACTTAAAAAAAAGTGAGAGAAGAAGGGAGGACAATTCCTTAGGTATATGAGCAGGCTTATGAAGGAAAAATGAAAAGAACAATGTACAAAAACAAATTATCTCGATGAAGGTTTGAAGAAGTACAAGCACAGAAGAGGTTTTTTTGTTTTGTTTTGCTTTTTACTAAAAAGATTTTAGGTAGATTCAGACCAAAAGGAAACTGCTATGACACAGATGAAAAAGAAATTAAAATGTACAGCTGCACATTTTTATAGCAATACAGTGTAACTTCAGGAAATCCTACAAAAATGAAAAGGATAACTAAGGACAAAAACAAAGGAACTACACAGGCATGAAAGATTAATGTCAAAAAAGCTTAGGTGTAAAATGAGTTACAATTCTCGTTAGACAAAATACACCAAGACAAATATTCTAGTTATTTCATGAATGAGCAGTTAAACACTGTAGAGATCTCTCATTTGGCATGGGAGGGAAATCACTGCAAATGATAGAACAGCCAAATTAATAACTTTTACAGCACTAAAATGTGTTGGTAATAATAGGATAGTTAACAGAATAAATGAGTGGAGAGAAACACTAACCAAAAGTGAAAAAGATCATTTTAAATAAATTTACAAATATTCAGGAAAACATAGCTGCATAAAATTTGTTATTACAATGTACAAAATACCATGGAGGACTAACAAGAGTAGGGGAGCAGCAAATAGCATCCTCATGTGGAAGAAAATACGGGCTCAGAGGATTACAAGCTAGTCAGCCTAATTTTGTCTTTTGGTGCCACAAAAAACACAAAATATAAAAAGAAAAAAAAATACACACACAGACAAAAACCCACAAAAACAAACAAAGCTACCAGGAAAACTACATGTATACTTATTCAAATACATAGGGATTTTTTTTTCCTCAGATTATTTTATTCAAGTAAGTGAAACCTGCTGCAGAGAAAGTAACACACAGTACAGTTATAAAAGTTTTTGACAAGTCAGAAACTGATAAGAAATCACAATTAAGAAACACGATTTTCAGATTTTTGAAAGAGTATCTTACCAAGCTGAAATTCCTACCTCTCTTTCCCTTTCATTCTTTGATAGTTGCATCTGTTTTAGCATCTGGGATCGCTGTTCCATCATAAGTGTCTTTTCATATGTAAATGCAGAAATGTCATTTTCAAACTGCAAAAATGATTGGCATTAGAAACATCAGAAGAGGAGTACCACTCAAAAAATGACCAACATTTAGACACTTGTACCCCATTTATTATTGCATTCATTGAGCCCTAGATTCATTTATGGCATTAGAGAAATCCCAAACGTATATCTTATTGACAATTTCTGCTGTTTGAAGATGAAGTGTTAAGAATAAAGACAATCTCCTACTATAAACTGCCATACTATATCAACAGCAATGTAATATTAGCTAAATTTTAGGTACTTGGGACAGACTTTCCATTGTTCTGTTCCAACAAGGCTGCAAAAGTGAGGAAAGGTCAAAGGCATTTGTTCAAACTGTCTGCATTGCTAACCCCTGAGCATGTGAGGGTTATTATTATCTAAAGACACTCCGTGTCTTTAGAAACAGTCTAGAGTCACAACATAACACATTACCCTTTCTCCAGTGAGAACTGTTCACTATAAAAGCACTTATGAAGAAACTCTAGTATATATTCTCACATGAGCTCAAAGCTAAAATAAACTCATACAACCCCAACCACTTATCTGTGCTGCCACTGGTATTTAAACTATCTCAACATTTGGGAGATTCTCAGGCTTAAATATGGCCCACATAAGAAATGAATAAACTGTGCTTCCTATGCTGACTTCGGCTTTCAATGCAACCAAGGCCTTTCTTATGGTATGCTGTCCATCTTCTTTCACCTGTGTATGGCACAGCATTTTTTTTTCTAAGTTATTTATGCTAATTTAAGTGATTCTTAAAACAGTCTAAATCTGCTTTATGTCATGACAAATATTGAGAGGTCAGCTATTTCAAAAGATTCTAAGAATACAAGATCTTGAAAGGAACAACCCATTCCTATGCTCCTTCGTACCACTTCAGAATGAGTGGAGAAGAGATTTCTGGTCTTAGGTCTGAAAGTGAAATTATGCTTTTCCTTAGTTGCCAGATGGGTATGTACAGTTTTATCCCTTTCTTTTTAGCAGTTTACACTGGTGTTTAAAAAAGAACAAAATACAAAATTTACTTTGTCTGAATTTGAATCATGAATTTGTAGCTACATTGTCTTGCTGTTCAGTGCCAAAGAGACTGACAATGCCAAAAACAACAGACAGTTTCATGGGGGGCTGAAGATTCCTTATTCCAGAGACATATTTTTACAACAGTTAGAGAGATGGACATATTAGTCATTTCTCATGCTGGATGCCAGGGATTATTAGACTAAGCACAGTTGGTCTTTTTTACCAGTGATCACTCCCTAAAAATCTTTTCAGTGTTGTATTTATGTTAACACGTTAGTTTCAAAAAGACTAAATCCAGTTTCCTAAGTTTAGTCTCAATTTCAGTGAAAAAAAAATGCAGTAACATACCATTTCAACAACTTCCACTTCAGCATTCAGGCGAAGATGGTACAAGAACATCTGAAGATCCTTCTTCATTTGAATGCTATTATCATCCATTTGAGCAACAGTGAAGATACGCATTTTACATTTTCTCCAAACCTATCCAAAAATGCATTATTTATAAGTATTCGTAATACAGTGATTGCTATCTCCAAGTATAATTCTTTCACAGCGAACAGTATTTCATTAGAAACATTTAGAACTATTTATTACAAAATGAAATCCCAGCCATTGTCCTTGCCTTGTGCTGTCGAAGGAGAAAAGGCAGTAACATCAGCATACCACCATCATGAACAATCCACCACACATCTATGTTTCCTTCAGTAAAACGTTCTTGATTTGTTGGAAACAAATCGATGTTCTTTGCCACCAATAAAGCCTGCTGAGCTGCTGTTGTTTCTCGTACAGTGTCTGCAAGGGAAAATAAGACATTTGATCAAGAACTTCTAGCTTTCGTTCCCAATGTTTTATATGTATTTTTTTTTTTATTGTCGTTGTTGATGTTTGTTTTAAATTTAAGAGCTTAAATCCTCTCAGATTCTGCCTTGGTGAAAGAGGACATTCTGGGTTTAGTGAATAATCTGCCTAAGAGGACAAGAGAAGCCATGGTTGAAGAGACTGAGTATTGAGAGTACCCACTCCACATGAAGTTAGAAGTGGGGAAATACCAAGTGTCCACTGGATATTCAGCCTCACATTTTTCCCCACACAGCAAATACAACAGCTATATAGTTGTATTACAACTACAGTAAGAGTCAATAAACACATACCAACAAAATTTTTCCAAGAGAAATGATTTTCTGTCCGCTTCCATGACTGTGGCCATGCCATCAAGACTGTATTGTGTTTCATTCCTCCTAGACCAGCTGACTGAATCAAATGTGATATTCCATCTCTGAAACTAGGAGATACCACAATCTGGCAAAATCCTTTAGTCTTTTCTACTCCCATTAAGGCCTTAACATTCTGTGTGAAAGGAAGATTACACATGAAGTACAGTCAACAACACTGATAATAAATACTATAAGGAATAACAGTACTACATAAGAGAAAAACATTAGACACAATGTACAACCAACATCAAGGAGCCACTCCAATTCCCCAATAGTGATTTCCAACCTAAATATGATTTCATGGTGCTACAATTCTATGGTAACTAAATCCCAAAATAACCCCTGAAAAGACACCAGAGGTTTTTCATTTGTTTAGTTATTCAGCCTTTTACTTCCAAAGAAGAATCAACATGATATGAGTAAAATCGCATTAAGTAAAGATAATAAAAGCTACTCCAAGTGAAGTCAAAACTTTATTCACTGAGAAAACACTGTCTCTATGGAATGGCAAGTCCTTCTTTTGGAATTGGAAGGGTATGGAAAATGGGATGACAAAGATTTTAGAACTCATTAAGAAAGAGGCACATTCTCTATTTATCTGCTCCAAACATGGTAAAACACACAGTCAGAATCACTGGCTGCGTAATGATAAAATAAGCAGACTAGATTCAGTTCCCACACTCCTCAATTTCAATATGGCTCCCCTTTATTTAAACATCAGCATAAAGTCACATAACCTAATAATTTAAAAGTAGCATCCCACATGGCATCAAGGTTTTCCAGACAACACCAAGTTGGGGGAAGTGTCAATCCGCCAGAGGGTAGGAATGCCCTGCAGAGGGACATGGACAGGATGGGTCCATGGGCAGAGGCCAATGGGATGAGGTTCAACATGGCTAAGTGCTGGGTCCTGCACTTTGGCCACAACAAACCCATGCAGCACTACAGGCAGAGTGGCTGGAAAGCTGTGCGGAGGAAAAGGATCTGGGGGTGTTGGTCAATGCTCACCTGAACACAAGCCAGCCGTGTGCCCAGGTGGCCAAGAAAGACAACAGCATGCTGGCTTGTATCAGGAACAGCTTAGCCAGCAGGAACAGGAAGGTGATCGTCCCCCTGTACTCTGCTCTGGTGAGGCCGCACCTCGAGTACTGTGTTCAGTTTGGGGCCTTTCAGTACAAGGACATGGAGGCCCTGGAGCATGTCCAGAGAAGGGCTATGAAGCTGGTGAAGGGTCTGGAACACAAGTCCTATGAGGAGTGGCTGAGGGAACTGGGGTTGTTTAGTCTGGAGAAGAGGAGGCTCAGGGGAGACCTCATTGCTCTCTACAACTACCTGAAAGGAAGCTGTGGGGAGCTGGGGGTCAGCCTCTTCTCACAGGTAGCTAGTGATAGGACTAGAGGGAATGGCCTCAAGTTGCCCCAGGGGAGGTTTAGGTTGGAAATTAGGAGACATTTCTTCTCAGAACAAGCAGTCAGGCATTGGAACACGTTGCCTAGGGAGGTGGTGGAGTCACCATCCCTGGCGGTGTTTAAGGAAAGGTTGGACCTGGTGCTTAGGGAGGGACATAGTTTAGTGGGTGACATTGGTACTAAAGGGGTGTTTGGACCAGATGATCCTGGAGGTGTTTTCCAACCTTAATGATTCAATGATTCTAAGGTTGACAAGGGAACATCAGATTTGGCATTTCCTATGTTTTGATAGCATGACTTTGAAAATCCTATCATCACCAATCACCTACGTGGGAGATAAACATTGTTTCTAATAAAAGCACCAATGCACCAAAATAAGTATTGACGGAAAGCACCAAAATATATATATATATATATTTTGTAATTTTTTGTTTGTTTTAGAAGAAAATTGTTTGGAATTTCAGAGGAATAGATGGTTTTGGACTCACAAAATAACCTTCAATAGCACATACAATAGCATTAATGCATTCCTGTTTTCTTCCGGATGAAGCAGCTTCTAACCGTGGACAGAGTCACTAGGTTTGCTCTTTGGCTTCATAGTTGTGTCAGAAACAAAGAAGGCTGAGGACTGAAGAACTGTAAATTATTCTCTGCATTTGGCCAGACAGTTTCAGAGGAGGTTTCTGGACAGTTCATGCTGCCCACAGTGTCCTTCAAAATGTTATCCCTACCTTGGTAGCATCTTGTTTCTACTTTCCTCTCAACAGAAGAGAATCCTCTGAATTCCTGCCCACTTTTTATTCCTTATAGTTGCAAGGTCATATCTCTGTCTCACTGTACATAAGTTCTCACTAGGTGCTCTTGTCTGCTGTTCCTTAAGCACATCTCCATCTCCCTCCTCATGATAACTGGAGGCCAGACAAAGAACTGTTGCATAAAAAGTAACACAATTCTCTGCTCTTAGGTTCTGTTACTGACCACACAACGACTTCCAATCAAAAAGTACTGTTGTAAGAGAAGCTCTATAAAACACCAGTAAGGAGACATTTGATTACAAAATGATTGCTACTAGCTTAGTGTGGTTTCACATAAGAAATTCTGTTCAGTATACCAGTATAGAAAAAAAAAAAAAAAAGTCTTCTGAGAACTTGGTATCAAAACTGACAAGTCCGTGTGTACAAACAATATCTGCAAGGGTGTGTGTGTGTATATATATATATATATATATATATATATATATATATATATATATATATCATTTTCAAGAGAAAAAGAAGAAATTTTAATTTTCCACAAATCTTCTAGAAAATGTATTTTCTAGCTGATGTTTTCCAAAACCACTGAGCCATTCAGACACTGTTTTAAAATTTGTCTTCATTTATGTTTTAAAAGCAACAGTATCCTTGATCTTGACAGTAGAGGGTCTGACTTGAGAACATAGAGATTAGGTCTCCCGTAAATTAATTCCCAGATCCATCTCTCAGAAATTCTTATCTATGCTAGAGGTGTCAGGTCCAAATAATTTAGTGGTTTAGGAGTCTTTACACAGATTTCAAGACGCCTTGGATCAAAACAGTAGACAGTTCAACTGTTGCTCATTTCAGTAATACTGCAGATATTACCCATTTTTGAAAGAGATAAAAGACTACATGGGGTTTTCTAAAAATATTTTGTTTCTCTGTAAAGTTAGTAGTAACACAGCTTTAGAACTCTATAAGCAACTGTGTATCTATACTACCACCATATACCAATACTGGAGCTACTGCAGTATACAAAGAAGTACACAGTTTGTTTAAGATGAAACAAAAATGTAAAATTGCTTTGCTTTGAAAATCAAATTTTTATGAACAGATATTCAGAACAAATAAGTCTATTAACTTGCATTTTTCATTCAGGGGACAGATTTAAAATTTAGAGTTCAGATATTTTCAAGTGCTTCCCACAAAAACATCTCCGTGTAAATCCAAATAGGTAGCACAGTCAAATACAGGTTGTCAGAAAACAAACAAACAAACAACAACAACAACAAAAATTCAAATTAAATTAAATTGCATTTGTAAATACAGTTAGATGTCATCATAAACTATATGACAACTTGCTATTTTTTTCCACCTCATCCCACCATCATTGGGCATATGGGGCAAATAGTAAAGAGAAAAAGAATGATGTTGCTTTATATTTAAGCAACCAACTAAGGTGCAGAAAAAGGTTGTTCCTAACTTTAGCTCTTCTAAGTATTTCTAGGACAATGTAGAAAGCAGTATAAGGTATACATCTAGAGGATGAAATTACGCCAAAATTGTGCTGACAGTCAGAACATTTTTTAAAACATTTTTTACAGCAGTTTCATTCAAAATATCAGATTCAACATTTAAATACTAATACAAGAGTTTGTAATACATCTTTTACATACCTCTTCAGCTTTCTGAGTTTCTGTACATTTATCCAAATAGGTTCCTTGAAGCACAGATCCCACAATAGTCAGCCCTTTACCAGCCTTCAACTGGGAGGTGAAAGAAAGCAATCTTGGATGTTTCACCAACTGTTCACAATCCAAATTTAACAAGACCAAAAGTTGAGGTCTGCCAAAAAAAATTACATAAGAGGACACACATACACATACATAAAAAGCAGGGAAGAACCGGAAAAATAGAATTAATAAGCAATAAAATGCAGATTCAATGGCAGACATTCAAACATTAAGCACAGAAATCATAATTAGCAGTAGCTACACCATTTCAGGTACATGTGCCACCATCCTCAACACCTTACCCTAAGAGAATAGGTTTACTAAGAAAATTGTTGAAACAGAACTATCACCCTTTGGAGGTTATATAGTCCAACCTGCAGCTTGAAGCAGTTAAATGTTGAATTGCACACCAGATTGTTTAGGCTTCAGTCCAGTTAGATCTTGAAAACCTCCAGGGACAGAAATTCTACCACCTCTGGGCAACACCTACCAATGCTTAACTGTCATAATTTTTATTTTTTTTCCTTTCCGTTTTAGCATTTTCTCTCATTCTCCCATCATATATTGCTGTAAAGAGTCTGTCTTTTCAACAGTCTCCTCTTAGGGACCGGATGTTTACTAGGTAGTTATACTAGCTTTTAGGTTCCCCTTAAGCCTTCTCCAAGCTGAATAAACCTCGCTCCCTCAGCCTTTCCCCACAGGAGACATGCTCCAGTGCCCCAGGCATCCTGGTGGTCCTCTGCTGAATGCACTGCTGCTTACTGATGTCTGTCTGGTAGTGGGGTGCCTAAAACTGAATTAAATACTCCGAAGATATTCTAATGAATGTTGTGTAAAGAGGAATATTTACTTCCCCTCAATAGGCTAGCTATGCTCCTGTTGCTGCAGTCCAGCAATGCCAAGGCCTACTGCTGGCTTACTATCCACTCAGAACAACAGGTTCTTTTCACTATCCTTATCCGCTACCATTGTACTGTGCTAGTTGTGGGGGGAGGACTGGGAGGGACCGTGGGTGGATGGCAACACTAGTCTGTCCCATGGAGTAGACTTTGCCTTTGTCCATGATGTTCATGTTGACTCATACCTCTACCTCTTTAGGTCCTTCCTAGAGAGTCATACTCTTGACTGCATTGACAGCACGAGTTTGGTTTCATCTGCATACTTAATGAGGTTGTACTCTGCTTCATTCAATACTCAATTTGCTTACTGTCCCCAAACAAAAGTTCTATAATTTTCCCGTCATTACTAAAAATTCAAAAGAACTACAAGAGAACTGGAGTGTATTTCCCTCCTCAGCACCAGCATAGCTTAAGATGGAACAAGAAGGTCTAGTTCTACAATTATGTTGACACAATAGCAGGATAAGTCATCTGTAGCTGGCTGCAGACATTTAACATTTACATTAAGTTATTTTAGTTGACATTTAAGTTAACGTTTACACTAACGTTTACAATAGATGTCAAGCTCATACACAATATAAAGGCTAGGAACAAGCAATGGCTCATGGATTCTTTAGTAACTGCTTGGGTTCTTCAGCCCCATAAGAAAAGGTAAAATAATGCAAATAATGCTGTCACACAGAAGAGCAGCAGAACATTGGTTGTACGTGTACCCAGGGATACAATCACATCTGTGATAAGTGGCAGTTTCTTTTTTGTATCTTTCACTGATCTCTGAGTTATTTTAATTTGCACTGCGTATATCAGAAGTGACAACATGTGAAAATACTTTTGTTTTGAAATATTTTTTTGTGTTGGCTTTGAAAAATTGATAGTTTACCAAGTAAAAGGAATAGACTATAAAAACAGTAATGGACACTTATCCCCATTTCAAACAAAGTACTCCAAAATGTGAGATTTTAATAAGATTTAAGCACTTTCAAAGACGTTGCTATTAAATTACATCTACCTTAATGTAACATAAGTATAAAAAACAAAAACAAAAACAAAAGCATATGTCCACAAATAAGGACTCCTCTGTGTATTTTTAAATAGAAATCTTACAGAGTTGCAGCACGTTTCTTTCGTTAGAGACAGTGGGACCAAAGCAAACTGTTCCTTTGAATCTGAAAATCTTGATAAAAAAACATTAAAACCCTTCTGCATTTTAGAAAACCACGTCATGGATTTCAGTTCAAATTTACACATTTCCCTACCAAGCTGATTACATGCTGACCACAAAAAACAATAGTAAATAGTAATACTGACCACAGTAAAACAATAGAATTGCAAAGCCATCATTTCCATGACCAAGTAAAAACTTTATTTTAAAGATGAATATCACTTTGGCCATTAGCTTTACCAGTAGTATTCCCAATCAATCTACATATTTCTAGAATGATGTGAACTTAGATGGCATAGACTTTTACCTCCAGTTCTTGGTGTGAGGAGGACCATCTTCAACACGAAGCAAAGCATAGCGAGCTGCATTCAAAGACAGTCCGCGTATTCCATCACCCCACTCTTTTTCTGCTCTTTGTGTTGCAGAAGACATTTAATTAAACAGGATGCAGTTTATTTACACAAATTAAGTACATTTTCTCAAGTGAGGGATAAAGAACATAAACAATCAAACTTGCCTTTTTTTTTTTACATGAATGCTTGAAAAAGACTTATCTCACAGACTTAAATCATGAATGAAGACTAACCAATAATCAATAATGAAGCAGTCTCAGGTTCTTTCAAGAGTTCTATTTATTAAGTATTTATTACTATTTATTGTGCTCTCTTTTATACTTCAAGATTTTTGTTTTAATCATGAGAACCTGTTAAATTGCTTGTAAGTGGTAGAACAAAAAAACAAAATTTCATTTCCTATGTATTAGGGTTACACCTCCACCCTACCCTCCTAAAGCTGTCTCTACTTTCTTTTCTTCCCAGCTTCTCACAGATGAACATGAAGCTTTATGCTTCTTCCCAGGGAGAGAGATTTGTCCGGACAGAAGTTTTTAGACTGTTTCAGAATGGGTTCTTGCTCACTCCTCAGACCAAATCTGCCTTTGCTTTTGTAGTGGGAGTGACTGAGTTTCTGCAAAAAAAGAATCTTTCTACAAGGTAGATGCAAGAGCTTATGGTCCAATGTTTGGAGAATCTGTATATGAATTTGGATATATACACACATATACATATATATACATCCAAAATATTTTATGTATGTATATACATACATATACGCACAAGCAGAATTCCTTTCATCTGATCTGACTTATTGGCTAAAACAAGCAAAAGAATTTCCTTGTAATGAAACCAATAGCAAGAGCTGTTATAATCCAGGAAGACTATATCCAAGAAAGCGTCTATCCTGGAAATGGAGGCATTAAAAGATGGAGAATCCGCAACATGGAACAATCTATATCTGTTGATCTACTGAACACTTGTGCTTAACTACTCATCAGAATAACTAGACTCATTTCAATTTTCTGGTCTTGCTCTTTTTTTTTTTTTTTTTTTTTTTTTTTTGAGATAGAATTGCATTGGATCTTTCCTTAGAAATGGAAAATGCACACACCAAAATCATAAATACAGAAATAAATACAAATAAATACAGAAATAAATACTAGAAGAGATTATTTAATGAACTGAGTATGCTCTTCAACTCTCTGTAGAGCATTTCTTACAGGTGTGGCTCTTAAAGTATATTGCAAATTAAATTCTAGCCTTCAGAAAATGGATCAGTGGGCACTCTGGATTTGTGCAATTGATTCTAAAAAGTGCTAAGTTTACATAAAAGAGTAGAGGTTTATGGCTTTGGCACAAGATAATATAATATTTTTGTAGTAGTTCCTGTTTGGTGTAAAAAGACAATATACCTGAAGTATCAAATATGACACCATATTTTTTGTTCAAATGAAAACTTCCTAGCCATATTAGTTCTTATTTTGATTAGTTATGCCTGCTGAGGACTTTGGAACAGAGCTTCCAGAGAAATTAGAACCGGCAAACTTGTAACCCTTAACAGAGATGGCTCTCACCTTGTTTCAGGGAACACTTCCTTCTGTTGCTTCAGTTGTATCTACTTTGTATAAAAAAGCTTTTTGCTGAATGTTAAATACATTAAATATAGAATACATAAGATATATGGTCTTACCCTCTATATTCTATGTATTTGTATATACATCCTGCAATTAACATGGCAACCAAAGCATAGTACCAGGAGCAAATGAACATCAAGGCAAGACATAAACTCATCCCCAGGAACGAAAGAGTCCTAGAAGAAACCATTTTTTCAATTATTAAATAGACATGCATATGTTCTACAAAGTAAATTTCTTACTTAAGTCAACTCCCAGAACGACCTCTCTATACCTTCAAAAAATTTCATAGCTAAATATATAAAATACATTGTCATAGCTTTAGTTTATAAAAATTACATTCTGAAGCCTATGTGAAATAAATGTAATTGAAGAACTAGATATAATAGAGTTACCAGTACTGCCAGTTCTGTAATTCTACCATTATTTCTAAGTAGGATCTGTTTCAAAACGTGCCATTGCTTACTGTTGATTTGAAGTTAAGCTTTAAGATTTCTCAAACAATACTGAAGAACATTATGCTAATTTCAGAAAAAAATAATTTAAATTAAATTTTACTAATGAATTGTATGTTCTACTTACAATGTGGCATGTCTCAGGTAAGGACACACACACATAGGAGAACAGATTACTGAAAACAATCTTTCAAAGGCTTTAAAGAGACTGAGCTGAAAAAGTCACAGAAACATTTCCAGATTAAAGTTTATATGCCTGTTTTGTACCTAATATCACACAGACAGATGTAGGTCACCTCAGAACAGGACCGTTTTGTGTCTATATTTAGTCAGATAATACACCATGAATTTCTTCACACCTGCCTTTCAACTCAGAGCTAGCTTTTACTAGATTGACAAAGAACATATAAAGAGACAACTTTTGTTTGGCTCATTTAGTTTACTTTTTTATTACCATGCAAGTATTGAGTACAAACACATCTGTTCAAAGAAATGCTTTCTAGCTGTTCTATCAGCCTAAATGTAGCCTGTCTACAAAAGCAACAGATGGTCTTTCATGCTTAATTTCACCTAAGAGTCTGCTTTTACACAAAAAAATTTTCCCAACCCAATTCTGACCAAGCATTTTGACACTCAGTTTGCCTGGCAGAAGCGATTATATAGACACACAGTGAGTCAATTGGCTCACTGGTTTCTCTGAGGGAGGGCACAGGTTGTAGAAGTGTTGTCGAATTATTACAAACTTTGCAGCTGCCATGTCAAAACTCTTTGCTTTTTATTCCTTACCATGGACCATCCTCCTCTTGCTACCCTTTATCTTATTCATCTGCTTTAGCTTTTTTTCTTTGGACCTCCTACTATTTCTTCCATAACCACATTATTTGGGAGAAGAGGGGCTTTGAAAGACAAAACAAAACAAACAAACAACCTCAACAAGACACAACACCCACATTTTCTTCTTGATGTTGCAAACAATATTTGCAATGATAAACTCCAGATACAGGCACTGAAATATTTGGAGGTTTAAGTGCCAAACTAATAAGTACCTACTGAGCATATTCGAAAAGATGTGTCAGGGATTTAATTGTGGCATTTCATTTCCACTCTAGCTTCTAAAGGAGAAAAAATAAACAACTCTTACATCCTAGAATCAGTCAAGTTTATCTCCTGAAGGATCTACTTTTTAAAGAATTTTGGCAGTAAAATTTCTCAGTAAAATTTCTCAATCAAATCACTGTGAATAAAAAATTATATGCATTTTTAACATCAACTCAAAATCAAAGAAAATCTTATTCTGAACTTGTTCTAAGTCACTTAAGAAAAATACTTTGTGTTCAACCTCACTGACTGTCAAGTATCCACTTTTCTTCAGTTTCTGAAGCAATGGCTAAAGCATAACATTATTAAAAAATACTGATTGGTTACATAGCAAACTGATACATATTATTCTTTTTTTCTGTACAAGTTTTTTTTTTTTTTGTATATGCGGATTATTTCTCTTTTTGCATAACAAAAATGAAAGTCAGCACTCCTGAAGATTTTCACCATTTCTTTATCTATATGTGAAAGATGATACTCCATTACATCTTCATTCTTGCATACTAACTTATTGAAGTCAGAAAGGATATTTTGCTTAATTACAGCAATGCAATTAACAAATCAAGGCTGTATAAGCAGTTTTAATTCTTCTGAATGAAAGAATATCTCCTACCAATGGTAATACTTGAAACGAGGTCTCCAGTTGGGAGTCCGTAAAAGCGTCTGAACTGCACAAGCCAGATTTACAAACATATAGCACATCAGGAAAAACCTGTTAAGGTAAAACAAACAAACAAAACTATTTTCCAACAAGAATGAACTAGACAGACTTGTGTTAAAAGGCTAAGTCTAAACACAGTCCAAAGAAAGTGCAGAAACTTCTCTACTGTGTTCACAATAGCCACACAAGATGTAGATTAAATTAATGCTTTGTCTGTGTTTTGGTGGGGTAGAGTTAATATTCTTCCTAGTAGCTGTTATGGTGCTATGTTTTGAATTTAGGATGAGAATAATGTTGACAGCACACCCATGTTTTAGCTGCTGTAGAGCAGTGTTTACAGTAAGTCAAGGACTTTTCAGCTTTTTATAGTGCTCTGCCAGCAAGGAAGCTGCAGGTGCACAAGAGGCTGGGAGGGGACAGAACAAAGACAGCTGACCCAAACTGGCCAAAGGGATATTCCATACAATTGACATCATGCTGAACAATGAAACTGGGAGAATTGGCTAACTGGGGGGGAAAGAAGCACTGTTGCTTGGGCACTGGCTGGGCATTAGTCATTGGGTGCTGAGCAACTGCACTGTGCATCACATGCTTTGTTTGTTCTTCCCACCCGACCCTCCACCCCCCATTAAACTGTCCTATCTCCTGCTGTATATCTTATATCTTAGCTCTTGTGTTTTTCAATTTACTTTCTCATCCCACTGGGTGGGACAGGGAGGAAATGGCTGTGTGGTGTTCAGCTGCCTGCTGGGTTAAACACCAACATGCTGGTAGAATGTCATGTCTCAAAACGTGATGTTAGATTAATTTTCAGTCTCAAACAAAGATTTCACAGAAAACACAGCTAACATCTGGCAATAATGGTGTATTGGTTTTGGCTGGGATAGGGTGATGGTTGGACCAGATGATCTTGGAGGTCTTTTCCAACCCTCATGACTCTGTGATTCAGTATTAATTTTTTTTCATATTAATTTGTATGGTGTTATGTTTTGGATTTGTAACCAAAACAGCACTTATAACACACTGACGTTTTAGCTATCACTGAGCAGTGCTTGTACAGCATCAAGTCCTTCCCTGTTTCTCACACTGCCCTGCCAGCAAGTAAGCTGGATGTGTGCAAAAATTTCGGAGGGACGCATCTGGGATAGTGGTCCCCAGAGGATCAAAGGGATATTTCATTCCATATGAAGTCATGCTTAGCAATAAAAGCTGAGGGAAAGGAGGAGGAAGGGGAGGTTGTCTAGAGTTACAGCATTTGTATTCTCAAGTAACTGTTATGAGTGACAAAGCCTTGACTTTTCTCAAAATGGCTAAATCTTTGCTTACTGATAGGAAGCAGTGAATTCCTTATTTTGCTTTGCTTGCCCATGCAGCTTTTGCTTTAGCTATTAAGCTGTTTTTATTTCAACACATTATTTTTCTCACTTTTACCCTTCTGATTCTCTTCCCTCATCTCACTGTGAGGGGAGTGCACAAGTGGCTGTGCAGTGCTTAGCTGCCTACTGAGGTCAACCCAAAACACATGGAATAAACTTCCAAGACAATGTCAGTAAAATAAATTTCAGTTCATACCCTAAAACGCAAAACTGTTTAAATAGGGAGAATTTTTATTTAACTTCTTTTTTAACATGTTTGTTTGTTTTTTAAGTTAAATGCTTTTGCTAGCATTCAGGAACTCTGGTCAAGAAAAGTTTCTTGTGCCTTGAAATTAATTCTAACCAAAACATTTTTTTAATTTCAGATTACCTCAAGGATCAAATAGAAATGTAACTTGTTGGAAGACAAAGTCTAGAATGCATTATTTCAAGGAGAAGAAAAAAAAAAAAAAAAAAAAAAACACATTATCTAGTTAATTTAAAAGTAAAGTACTATTTAACTTAAAAGAACATGAAATAACAAATTCATACTTACATTGAAAGAATTGGTGCTACACTGTCCAAAGAGGCTATCAGAATTCCTATTTCACAAATACCAGCAGTGAGGAGCAGAGCCCACGTTGGTTCTCCGTTTGCTTTTCCATGACCAAATACCTAGTTCAATTCAAGTATACAGTAAAACTGGGGAAAGGTGTGTTTTATACTGTTGTGAAACATATTGCAGATTGTGATCTAACTAACTTGAACCTAAAACAGTAATTAGTTACAAAGGAAAACAAGAAAATCTATACCATAAAACAAAACAAAAATGTATGCTTTCCAATGTTGCAATCTTTACTAAAATAAATAACGACTACATTACATTAAAGTGCTACTGCAGCTGCTGTTGAAATAAACTTAACTAACTTGAAATCTGAATGCATCAGAGAGTAATGCTTAGTCTATAAAAAGCTAACAGTTGAAAGCATTATTTTCTGTAATATACAAAATAGACATCAAGTCTGTATTTACAAACATAAATATTGATCCTTATTATTGATTATTCCTAGGACTTAGGAAAGCCCAGGATTCTGCACAAAGCCCTACGAAAAATCATCTAGCACATGGTAATTTCCTTTGTTGTGAGAGCCATCCAGCTATACTGGATAATAGATGGTGAAATGCCTCACCTAAAGTTAGAGCTACCTTCAGTCTCCTCCATACTCCCCCCTGCAATTATAAGCATTAAAGCCTCACTCTCATTTTCCATAACTGCTTCCTTTCCAAATGTGTAGGTGCTTCACCTCATTCCTTCTTCATCCTGACTTCTCCTCTTTCCTTAGCTTCCTCCCATTGATCAGTCTACGTTCCTTTATATTATGAAATGTCATTTTTTCTGCTCATGTTTTAAAAGAAGTTTTTTTGCTTCTTTCTTAAACATCATGGTCTTGCTCCTGTATTCATCTCCTCTCATTTCTCTTACTGTCCATGAAAAGGCTGTATGACTCCAAAACTGTAAGTGCCTTCCAAGTCTAAAATCTCTCTTCAAACATTTTTTTTAATTTGTATTTTAAAAAATGCATGACATATGGAGTCATAGAATGGAATTAGATTCTTACATCTTTCTTGACTTCAGCCTACAAAAATGAATAAAAATGAGAACTGTATCTCTATGACATTATAAGTTAAGTATCATGCATCTCAATCATAAAATTTAATTAACTTATTTCAAATTACAAATTGTCAGCACAATCTGGACTCAAAAAAAGTTTAGTTGCATCTTAGCTTTTTCATTTCCATTAATAAAAATATTTTTAATTTTGACTCTCTAACACTTATATGTGAGGACAAAAAGAATTCAATTGCACAGAAAAAGACACGTTCAAACTTTGGCCTGAAAAAACAATGTATTACTGCACAAGAGTACAAATGAGCTCCAAAACGTTTCCTCACAGTTCTGGAGGAATAACAAAAATAATGCCTCATATTTTGTTAACAAAAGATAAACCACATTTGAAATATAAAGAAAAAATATTATCTCACTTGGATAAATGGTACAATGCCATCTCTTGCAATGGCCTGCAACAGACGGGGTGCACCAGTGAGACTCTGTAGACCAGCACCGCATGTTGAAAAGAATGAACCGATCACAATAACCCATGGAGAAGGCCAGGCCAGTGTACCAACCACTAGATTTCCATTAACTGCTTCTCCAAACCTTAGGGAAGCGAAGAACAAAACAAAACAGTGAACAAATACACACATAAACCATAAAACTCTACAAGAATTTATTCTGTAGCTTCTAAACTCATAGCTTAATCTTCGTCGGACAACATCATTTTTCAGCAATAAACACCACATCACATCATGCACTATAGGATTTCCCAAACAACCAATTTATCGTGCTGAATTTAAAAAAAAAAAAAAAAAAGATTGATTTTAGGTACTGCCTTTTAAGCAGACAAGTGACAACTATCAGATATCTTGGCAAACTTTAAAGAATTAACAACAGAAAAAGTATTTACATATGCATCCTTTAGATCCTTGTGAATACCAGGAACTAGATTTCAGAAGTCTGCATTATACATGTGTGTGATATAGGTGTACCGCAGGGCATAAAGAGATTTGTTAAAATAACGTATTAGCCTTTCTAATATATAGCATGACACTGACATATGGACAACGAAATACAGAGGAACTGTTTACATTGTCATGCTAACTAATGCAAGTTCAATGAACAACTATGACAAACAAGGCTGGGAGGGCATAGAAATAAAAGAAAGAAGTGCTTTCATAACACAGCACTGAGTATCCAATCCAAACATAATTGACTTTATGTTCATTTATGGACTTCTTAGATAAAGCATGAAAAAGTACTCTTTCCTCCCCCCATGGTAGTATATAATTTCTTTATATTTTCATTTTCTAAAAAACACCAGAGAAAATAAAAGGGTACAGGCTAAGAAAAATTATATGCTTCATCTCTTTTTGGACTGGCTATTGACAACGCCAAGGTAAATCAGATTAATATAACAAGCCAGTGTTCAAGTTCTTGCGTATGCTTAAGCTTGAATGCTAATACTAGAATAGAAGTACTATCTTCATTACAGGAGAAGACAGAGGAAAAAAACACTACTTATGTAGGAGGAAAATCAAACAAAAAACAAAAACACACTATGCTTCTCTGATGACATATATCTGCTTCTTAATGCTGGCATTGGAGTTTGGCTTCCATTAAAGCAAAGAGTAGGTACAACTTGAAAAGATTAAAGACAAACACTAGAAATGTACAAGCTTTTTTTTTTTTTCCCCATGGCAGATATTATGGCAATCCATGATGAAAACAAAACAAAAAACAGACAAATCCCCCTATGTTTTACTATTATGTTAACTTATTGTATTAGCTTTGATTGGAATCCAGATTTTAACTTACACTTTTCCTTCTAGACTAAAAGAAATAAATAGTCTAAGCATTATCTCTTTCAGCATCAAAATGATATCCCAATGCCCCTGTTTTGTCAACCAAAGCAAATCTGTGCATTGGCCAGTATAAAAAGAGACTCAAACAGGAAGGGAAAAGTCTGCTAGCACATTCCCCACAGCATCTTCTTCAACTCAATCTCTCACCAGAGAAATTTATCAAGACCTGGAGGTGCTCATCTCTATTAATTTCATGCCATTCATGCTTCAAAAAGTGAACTTCAGAAAATAACACGGATGACAACTAATCTGCATAAGAATCATGCAGCCAGTAGAAACTATAGGCCTGATGGTGCATTGCAGTCTTTCTGATGAACTCTGCTTGTCATGCAACTGTCAAAAATTTTTCTGCCTGCATTCTTCAGGAACGTATTACCTCTCACTAAGTAATATCATTCTGGAGTAAGGGGAATGATATTACTTAGTGAGAGGTAATACGTTCCTGAAGAACTTACTCCACCTCAATAAAAATACTAACTATGCTTTTTCTCTCAAGACCATTTTATTAGGAACAGTTCCACTTCACAAACATTTATCTCAGATTCTTCTTCTACTTTTTTGCAGTGATACAGTCCATTAACATTTCCAGTTTTTGCAGCCATCTCAGCTCAAGAGATAGTCTTTCCCTACAGTTTTACCTAAGTGTAAGAAAAATATTCCACATGGATGTTTCCCAGAAGAGCCATTAGTGAAAATAAGTCTGATTAACATAACCCGTTTTCATACGTGCTCCTGATAAAAGTACAAGTTGAATGCAACTTACTTATCTCTTAATATCACACCTTCTATACAAGCACCAAACAGCACTATGCAAGAGAGATCTGTTATTGAGACTGAAGGAAGATTATACTGTAAATGAAATAATTATAGAGAGAAAATGATTTCCTACCCAGGGATGAAATTAAAATGTCTATGACAAACTTTTTTTTTTATTATTCTCCCATACTACAACTTTTTAGTTTATGTTCCCTACAACTGCATTTGATCCACAATTGATTTGGAAAATATTTTAAGCAAGCAGTTCATGCATCATGCAACAAGATATTTTCTCATACAAAGATATTTGTGTCTTCTAGTTATTGAACAACTAACAATTTGTTTTGCTGTTAGTTTGCCTTAAGACTTTCAGTAGTTATGCTGGGTATAATGACAAAGCAATCTGCCAACTGAAATATGCTAAAATGTCTATGTCACTTAACTGAAACCATAAATTGTAACTTGGAGCTTAAAACGTTAGTAGAAGATAGGAGATACATACATACACATACATATATGTATACATCTACATACACATACACACAATATATATATTTGTGTGTGAATAGATATTTAAAATTTCAGTTTAGATTTCATTATTTTTATATTCAGGCAACTCAAATGAATTTTTATTGAAATTCTATAATGTACCATACCTATAGAAAGTCCACTAGAAAAAAAAAAAAAAACACAGTACAAAGGATACAAATAAAAGAAGTAGTTGAAATAGCTAAAATAGTTCCAGTAGGAATAGATTTCTGAGCATCCTTAAGATCGCCAGATCTGTTTGAACCTGCCATAATACCTGGAGAAAAAAAAAAAAGGTCACAAAAACATGGAATATTAATTTCATTTAAATAACCAATACCTGCCTGACCTGGACAGGATGGGTTGATGGGCAGATGCCAATGGGATGAGGTTCAACATGACTAAATGCTGGGTCCTGCACTCTGGCCACAACAAACCCATGCAGCACTACAGGCAGAGTGGCTGGAAAGCTGTGCGGAGGAAAAGGATCTGGAGGTGTTGGTCAATGCTTGCCTGAACACGAGCCAGCTGTGTGCCCAGGGTACAACAGAAGGACAACAGCATGCTGGCTTGTATCAGGAACAGCGTAGCCAGCAGGAACAGGAAGGTGATCATCCCCCTGTACTCTGCCCTGGTGAGGCTGCACCCCAAGTGCTGTGTTCAGTTTTGGACCCCTCACTACAAGAAGGACATGGAGGCCCTGGAACATGTCCAGAGAAGGGCTACAAAGCTGGTGAAGGGTCTGGAGCACAGGTCTTAAGAGGAGTGGCTAAGGGAACTGGGGGTGTTCAGTCTGGAGAAGAGGAGGCTCAGGGGAGACCTTATCGATCCCTACAGCTACCTGAAAGGAAGCTGTGGGGAGCTGGGGGTTGGCCTCTTCTCACAGGTAACTTAGTGATAGGACTAGAGGGAATGGCCTCAAGTTGCACCAGGGGAGGTTTAGGTTGGAAATTAGAAGACCTGCACTTCATTCAGAAATTTGTGTTACCACCCATCATGAAATTCCAGAAAGCTCAGAAAAAAGTCAATCATTTTTAGAATGGGGAAATATACAAGAGTAGCAAAATGTAGGGGATGGATGTTTTAAACTAATAAGGGTTTAGAAATTTGAACCAGCATGACCAAATGTAATAACTTTCTACTAAACAGACTACACATTAACATATGTAAGCAAATCAATTAATAATAAAAACAGAAACAAAAGGAAAGGAGCAGGCATGAAGTACAGAGGAATGGTCAGGGGATCACAAGCATACATTAGTGTTTGAACCTAAATACAGAACAAAAATCACTTTCCAAAACACTGTAAAAGAGTGGAAAAAAATCATGCACTATTTCTGCCATCATTCCTAGAATTGCCCTGATCACTGTTAGAGGCAAAAATCAGATGCTAAGGTCAAGAATCCAGTGCAAAAGCACCGACAAACACTACACAGTGAAATCATAAGCACAGGCTGGCATACAGTAAGATTTTGATCTTACTTTTTTAAGATTAAAGAGACAAGGGTGAAGAAGAGGGATGGGAAACAGGAAAGAACCTGAAGTATAGAAATAAGAACAGTAAGAGGACAAGCATATGAAGGGACATCTCCATTTGGTATTCTTCTAGCAAATAATGTTGCAACTTTGCATCAGAATTCTGTTCTCTTAGTTGATATTAAGTTGCTTGAGCTAGGATTTTTCAATAAAAATTATTTAGTTATTTCAGTCAAACAAGACCTGAGGGAAATGATATAAAACTAACCTAACTTTTAATCTTGATAAACAAAAAAGTCTCTGCTAGTTACAGTTGAAAAAAAAAATTGGAAGTTTAAACAAAGCTCATGCAGTTCATGGCTTGAATACCTGAAACACCTTAATACCCAACTGTTCTCTCTCATGCATATGAAGATAAACACATTATGAAGGTAAGAAATTTTCAACTCAGCTGCAGCTTACTCTGAATAAACATTTAGTAACACATGGAGCTTTCTTTTTATTTCCAGGTATAGAAATAAAAAAGTATATTTATTTTTTATTTCCAGGTACATAAACAGCACTTGAACTGATCCATTAAGTTCTATAAACTCCTAAAATAACCAGTAGCCAGCTATGTCTTTCCAGCACCAGAAAATCTGCTACTTAAAACTTGGACAGAGACTAGGAATATCGTGTCAGCAATAAACATTCACACAAAAATATTTTTTCAACTATGAAAACACGTCTTTACTCAAGGAAAATAGGTATATCTACCTGTTACAGACGGAAAATAAATCCCTACAAGCATTGTGAAGTAGGTCATGATGTCTGTAAAAACATAAGGGCGTCCACCAATTTTTACGTCTTCTGATCCAGAAACTGATGGCTGATTTTTTTTCTCAACTATTGATCCTTTTTCTGAATAGGCACTCCACAAATTATCTACAAGGGGAAAAACAATAGCAATTGTCAACTCTGTTTCATAATATGAAATACTGAGAATGAAATACTGTTATAAATTAGATGGCTTTTCTTACTCAAAAGTCATGATGCTTCCCAAAACTTCCTTATGAAATGAAGAACGCAGAATCAATAACATCAATATCCATTGTAACTTGTAGACATTTCCACTGTATGCCAGCAGTGGTGTATGGGATGTGCCATACAAGATTTTCTCTTCCATTAAAGAAAGATTTAGTTATAGAATTAAATTCTAATACTCTTCTAGAACATACACTTACATTGCACAAAAATATGGGTGTATTATCAATTATAGTAGTCAAAAAAAAAAGAAAAGTATAGCAGTGAAAAAAGAAATATTTGCAGATTCAGGCAATCTTAGCATACATTTCCATTTCTTGTTCTTAATTTTTGAGGAACAGGTAAAAAAATGCTTCTTGGCAGCATCTTGAGTTGAGACCTGCTATACAGTATAGTCTGGACAATAGTTCAAGACTTGGCTGCTCATGATTAAGGTATTCCAAATGGTCACTAACCAGACCCCAGAAGACAACAGACGATCAAAGGTGGTTTACTTTGTTGTTGTTTTTTTAAACAAAACCAAAACAATCCCCACTGCAACCCACCCCCTTAAAAATAAAAAATAAACAAGAACCACAGCTTTTGAGAGCTTACATTAGTAGAAATTCTAGTTATGCCACTTAAAATGATGGTAAGGACACCTAAACCTGACTCTTACTTTAAAATAAGATAGCGTTTCCTATCATATGCTAGGAGACAAAACAGATACTCTCTCTCCCTGTTAAAGAGAGATTGTATACAAAGGATTTTCCACCATGGAAATAAATACTTCCTATAGACTGCCAGGACAATAGATCTGGTGGCCAATTTTCAGTCATCCAGTGCAACTTTCAGGAGCTGAGCATAGCACTCTGAGCCTCCACAATAGCAACATGTTACTTTGAGCACAATACGAAGATTCAGAGTCAGAGTCAGAGGTAATCTCCTAAGTGGCCAAAGATAGAGTGGCTGTATGCAGATTTGGCAAATATTACAGAATCATGGAATTTCTAGGTTGGAAGAGACCTCCAAGATCATCGAGTCCAACCTCTGACCTAACGCTAACAGTCCCCACTAAACCATATCCCTAAGCTCTACATCTAAACTTCTTTTAAAGATTTCCAAGGATGGTGATCCACCATTTCCCTGGGCAGCCTGTTCCAACGTCTAACAACACTTTTGGTAAAAAAGTTCTTCCTAAGATCCAACCTAAAACTCCCCTGGTGCAACTTAAGCCCATTCCCCCTCGTCCTGTCACCAGGCACGTGGAAGAATAGACCAACCCCTCACTACAGCCTCCTCTAAGGTACCTGTAGAGAGCAATAAGGTTTCCACTGAGCCTCCTTTTCTCCAGGCTGAACAGCCCAGCTCCCTCAGCCGCTCCTCGTAGGACTTGTTCTCCAGGCCCCTCACCAGCTTTGTTGCCCTTCTCTGGACTCGCTCAAGCACCTCGATGTCCTTCTTGTAGCAAGGGGCCCAAAACTGAACACAGCATCACAGAATCACAGAATTTCTAGGTTGGAAGAGACCTCAAGATCATCGAGTCCAACCTCTGACCTAACGCTAACAGTCCCCACTAAACCATATCCCTAAGCTCTACATCTAAACGTCTTTTAAAGACTTCCAGGGATGGTGACTCCACCACTTCCCTGGGCAGCCTGTTCCAGTGTCTAACAACCCTTTCGGTAAAGAAGTTCTTCCTAACATCTAACCTAAAACTCCCCTGGCGCAACTCTAGCCCATTCCCCCTCGTCCTGTCACCAGGCACATGGGAGAATAGGCCAACCCCCACCTCGCTACAGCCTCCTCTAAGGTATCTGTAGAGAGCAATAAGGTCGCCCCTGAGCCTCCTCTTCTCCAGGCTGAACAAGCCTAGCTCCTTCAGCCACTCCTCGTAGGACTTGTTCTCCAGGCCCCTCACCAGCTTCGTCACCCTTCTCTGGACCCGCTCAAGCACCTCGATGTCCTTCTTGTAGCGAGGGGCCCAAAACTGAACACAGTACTCGAGGTGCGGCCTCACCAGAGCCGAGTACAGGGGGACGATCACCTCGCTAGCCCTGCTGGCCACACTGTTTCTTATACAAGCCAGGATGCTGTTGGCCTTCTTGGCCACCTGAGCACACTGCTGGCTCATATTCAGCTGACTGTCCACCATCACTCCCAGGTCCTTCTCTGCCAGGCAGCTCTCCAACCACTCATCTCCCAGTCTGTAGCTCTGCTTGGGGTTATTGCGCCCCAGGTGCAGGACCCGGCACTTGGCCTTGTTGAACTTCAGTCCATCAGTCCCGCCTATCCAGGTCCTCCTGCAGAGCCTTCCTACCCTCGAGCAGATCAACACACGCACCTAACTTGGTGTCATCTGCGAACTTACTGAGGGTGCACTCAATGCCCTCATCCAGATCATTGATGAAGATATTAAAGAGGACCGGCCCTAGCACCGAGCCCTGGGGAATGCCACTAGTGACTGGCCTCCAACTGAATTTGACTCCATTCACCACGACTCTTTGGGCCCGGCTATCCAGCCAATTTCTAACCCAATGAATCGTGCGCCAGTCCAAGCCACGAGCATCCAGTTTCTTGAGGAGAATGCTGTGGGAAACGGTGTCAAAAGCCTTGCTGGTAGACCAAGATAGACCACATCCACAGCCTTTCTCATCCACCAAGCGTGTCACTTTGTCATAGAAGGAGATCAGGTTTGTCAAGCAGGACCTGCCTTTCATAGACCCATGCTGACTGGACCTGATCGCCTGCTTGTCCTGCAAGTGCTGTGTGATGACTCTCAAGATAATCTGCTCCATGAGCTTCCCTGGCACTGAGGTCAAACTGACAGGCCTGTAGTTCCCCAGGTCTGCCCTCCGGCCCTTCTTGTAGATGGGCGTCGTGTTTGCTAGCCGCCAGTCAACTGGGACCTCCCCCGATAGCCAGGACTGCTGATAAATGATGGTAAGCGGCTTGGCCAGCTCCTCTGCCAGTTCTCTCAGTACCCTTGGGTGGATCCCATCTGGCCCCATCGACTTGTGCACATCCAAGTGCCGTATCAGGTCATCAACCAGATAGTGAGGGCCACATCCCGCTCCCCATCCCCTTCCACCAGCTCAGGGTACTGGGTATCCAGAGAACAACCGGTATTGCCGCTAAAGACTGAGGCAAAGAAGGCATTGAGCACCTCCGCCTTTTCCTCATCTCTTGTAACTAAGTTTCCCCCCGCATCCAGTAAAGGATGGAGATTCTCCTTAGTCCTCCTTTTTGTGTTGATGTATTTATAAAAACGTTTTTTGTTCTCTTTAATGGCAGTAGCCAGATTGAGCTCCAGATGAGCTTTGGCCTTTCTAATTTTGTCCCTGCACTGCCTCGCAACATCCTTACAGTCCTCCCTAGCGGCCTGCCCACTTTTCCAAAGATCATAAACCCTCTTTTTTCTCCTAAGCTCAAGCCACAATTCTCTGTTCAGCCAGGCCGGTCTTCTTCCCCACCAGCTCGTCTTTGGGCATGTGGGGACAGACCGCTCCTGCGCCATTAAGATTTCCCTCTTGAAGAGCGCCCAGCCTTCCTGGACTCCTCTGCCCTTCAGAACCGCCTCCCAAGGGACTCTACTAACCAGTGTCCTCAGCAGGTCAAAGTCAGCCCTCCAGAAGTCCAATACAGCGGTTTTACTGGTCCCCTTCCTGGCCTCGCCAAGAATAGAGAACTCCACCATTTCGTGGTCACTCTCCCCAAGACAGGTCCCAACAACCACATCCTCCACCAGTCCTTCTCTGTTTGTGAAGAGAAGGTCTAGCGGGGCGCCACCCCTGGTAGGCTCACTAACCAGCTGCGTCAGGAAGCTATCTTCCACGCTCTCCAGAAACCTCATAGGTTTCTCGAGAAACCTCGTAGGTTTCTGGAGAAAACCATTAGAACCATTAGAAAACTATTAGAACTATATTAGAATCATAAACAGAAGCATGCATGAGAGAACAATGAAAGAGTAGAATAAAGGTTAAAAAGAAAGGTAAATATGAATTGCTACAGTACAGCTATGTGTTCTTTCATTCAAATGAAGAAGAACAAATTGATGTAAAGATGAAGACTGAAGCCACAAAAGCAAAAGTTAAGGAAAACAAGAGAATTGTAAAATTCAGGAATTTCATCAAGTACTCGAACAGTGACATAAAATGAGACAAGATCTCTAAATTAATATCTACTCCCTCTGAAGTGTATAAAGGAAGTCCAGAAATCACTTTGTCATTGCCAATCAAAAGCACTAAACACTTAGATGACTCAACAGCAAGTTTCCTTTGTTCAGTGTGACACAGACATGACACTAGCCTGACCAGTCCAACAAACAGATTTGTATTTGTGGATGTGGACATGAGAGCACAAACAGGAAAAAAAAGCTTAGAGATTTTTAATGTATAAATCATTTTCTCCTTTCGTGAGATGTCTCACTGAGCTTTGTTACATTAAGTTCCTATACTCACTGTCCCCAAATTGATAAACCAAGTGGATTTGAAATTCTGGGTGAAGAAAAAGGGTTACTTTCTGAAAGATGTAAACTTACTGTATACAGATGTCCTGTAAATTGTGGGAGGACTTAGCACACACTTCCTGAGACATCCATCTACGATATCTGAGTATTCCCAGCTACAGCCATAGACACATGGGTATTATTGTCTTTGAATTTGGGTAATTATTCATTCACACTGCCTTTTTTTTTTTTTTCTCGAGTTTTAGGAACGGGGGAAGTAACAGCTTTTTAGAAAGAAAATTATATATTATGCAGGAAAGTCACCAGTGAATTTCCACAAGAAATCATACCACAATGTAACCCGTGCTTTGCAATGTACTGGACTAGAAAAATGAGTTAGTTGCAAGATGAGAAAGCTTACCAGTAACACTCAGTTATTCAAGGTGGTGGAAGCAAAAGCCAACTGCGAAGAACTACAGAAAAACCATACCACACTCAATGACAGAGCAGAAATAGGTGAGTTTCATCAACAGGTTAGCAATGAACATTGTTAAGTGTTTCTCTAACATTGAGCTTTCAGCAGACTCTGAATGGTTGTTAGAAGACTCGGCATTATATGACACTGGAAATATGAAATACACTTTTATATGGCAGTGCTGGTTCAAAAAAAAAAAGTAAACTACAAATGGATGAACAGAAGGAAGGAAAGAAAGAAGGCAGAAAAGAAGGATGGAAGGGAAGAAGGAAAGAAAGAAAGAAGGAAAGAGAAACAGACTGCTACAAAAGAGAAACAGTAGTTTGAAGTCCAAATTGTAGCAGAAGTTAGAACACAGGACTGTATCCTGAGCATGCAGGGGGAAGGTAAAGCAGCATCAGAAGAAATACTTCTTTAAATATTCAGGGGAAAAAAATGTATGTGGTAAATTATAAAATGCGCAGAATAATAAATCTCAAGTAACATTTCTTGTAACAGTCAAAAAAAGATTTACATTTTTGATTCTGAAGAAGTTGAATGATTTTATATACAAATACATTTACATACAAATGTCTCTTTTCCAAGTGTTATATTGAAAGCTAAAAAGACTTTTTTTTTAAAAAAAAACACAGAACTGACTTGCCATACAATGTTAGACAAACAGCAGACTTCAATTCTCAATTTAGCACTTGTAAATTGGAAAAAGTTCTTCCTCAGAAGAGTTTGAAATAACTATATCTGGTGTTAAAAAAAGAGTTAAACATTTCATTATTTTTTTTTTTAATGTAATAAACACTTTACTATTTTTTTGGATAGAACAACAGTTTTTGAAATATAAAACCTCAGTGATCCCAAATCAAAGCATTTGATACTAAGGTTCCAACACCAAATGGAAACGTTAAAGGAAGCAACACTCCAGGAAGCAGTCTTTCATGGAAACAGATTAGAGCAAAAGACTAGTGACAGGTAAGACCCCTACATTACTAAAAAGCTACAGGCGAAATCAGTATTCACTAAAAATTCAGTGCTTTCTGACTTACCAATTAAAACTCCACTCATTATTCCCGGAATCCCTTGAATTTCTGTAACATTATTGAGACTAAAGTAGTCATCACACGTAGCATTATGTAAAGAGCTATTGCAGAAGAGGCGCCACAAGGTTGTTGTCTTTGTTTCATTATTGCTTTCAGTAAATTTGGCACAGACATCAAAGCTGCGTTTTGACAATGTACGGTTTCCAAGAAGACAGATGCTACCAAAAACAAACAAACAAAAAAACCCACAGTGATCCTTCAGCATAGTGTTGTGCAATAAAATACATTTGTCCATAAAATTGCCTCAGAAACCCATTATTTACAATACCCGTCTAATGGGCTACACAACTTCTACTAAAGCAGTATATAGTCTCTGCATGTAAACCCATCATCAATAATCTTTAAAACACGAAGCAAACATTTCAACTTTAAGGCAGCTATTTTACTTTCTGATTTTTTCTTTGGAGAACAGAATCAATTTAAGCAGTTTTGCCACTAAACAGCAGGAGTGAACAAATCATGATCTCTATAAGAAACAAGAGAAATTTAGCAATTGGATTTTAAGAAAATGACAAGCCTGACAAAGAAAAACTAGAAGAAAGATTAAGCAAGTGACATGCATTTTCCAGCAAATAAATATTTTATGTTAAAAGTTAGTAAATGAGACAGGATGATCAATCAGCAAGATCTAAGGACTCTGAACTCCTACTTCAAATGCAAGTATCATACATGTTCTTCACAGAAAGCAATTAAAGAATTCAGAAAACTCAGAATGGTTTGCAAGAAGCAAATTCCTAACAAAGAACATCAAACATCTAGGAACAACCTGTTGATAAGTCTTTGTTAAGCTACACGAAAAAATGTTCTGGAAATATCTCCTCCATGCTTGTTTAATAAAGTGATACATAAAAATACAGAGAAATTGTCAGAACAGCCAGGAATCAGGTTAGGAAAGCTGAAGCCCTATTAGAATTAAATTTGCACAGGGACATCAAGGGCAACAAGAACGGAATACCAGAGATAAAAGGAAGATTAGGGAAAATGTGGGCCATCTCCAGAAGGAAATAGAAGAACTGGTTACCCTGAATACAGAGAAGGCTGAGGCATTCAACAGCTTTTTTGCCTCCGTCTTCACCAGCAAGAGCTCTAGCCATATAGCCCAAGTCCCAGAAGGCAAAGACAGGCACTGGGAGAATGAAGAACCACCCACTGTTGCAGAAGATCAGGCTCAAGACCATCTAAGGAACCTGAAGGTGCACAAGTCCATGGGACTTAATGTGATGCATCCAAGGGAACTGGTGGATGAAGCTGCTAAGCCACTGCCATCATATTCGAGAAGTTGTGGCACTCTGGTGAAGTTCCTGGTGACCGGAAGACAGGAAACAGCCCCCATTTCAAAAAACAGATAAAAGAAAGATCTGAGGAACTACAGGACAGTCAGTCTCACTTCTGTGCCTGCCAAGACCATGGGGGCAGATCCTCCTGGAAACTATGCTAAGGCACGAGGAAAACAAGGAGGTGACTGATGACAGCCAACATGGCTTCACTAAGGGCAGATCACGCCTTACAAATTTGGTGGCCTTCTATGACAGGGTTACAGCACCGGTGGATAAGGGAAGAGCAACTGATACCATCTAGCTGGACTCATGCAAAACATTTGACGCTGTCTGCCATGATATTCTTGTATCCGAACTGGAGAGACATGCATTTGACAGACAGACCACTCATTGATTAAGGAATTGGCTGGATGGTTGCACTCAACTAGCCAGTGAATAGCTCAATGTCCAAGTGGAGATAGTAACCAGTGGTGTTTCTCAGGGGTCGGTATTGGGACTGGCTCTTTTCAACAACTTTGTCCCTGACATGGACAGTGCGATTGAGTGCACCATCAGCAGATCACCAAGTTGTGTGGTGCGGTCACCATGCTGGAGGGAAGCAATGCCATCCAGAGGGACAAGTTTGACAGATGGGCCCATGGGAACATCAGAAGTTCATCAAGGCTGAGTGTAAGAGCCTGCATCTGGGTCAGGGTAATCCCCAGCACAAATGCAAGCTGGGTAGAGAATGGATTGAGAACAGCTCTGAGGGAGAAGGACCTGGGGGTGTTGGCTGATGAGAAGACAATGTGCACTTGCAGGTCAGAAATCTCACCTGCATCAAAAAGCCTGGGCTGCATCAAAATACGCATGGCCAGCAGATTGAGGGAAGTGATTCTCCTCTTCTCTGCTCTTGTGAGACCCTACTTGAGTACTGCATTCAGCTCTGGGGCCCCCAGTATAAGGACATGGATGTATTAGATCAAGTTGAGAGGAGGGCAACAAGCATGATCAAAGGGCTAGAACACCTCTTCTATGAGGACAGGCTGATGGAGTTGGGGTTGTCAGAATGCTCTGGGGAGGTCTTCCAGTACCTAAAAGGGGCCTAGAAGAAAGCAGGAAATTGTACCAAGGATTAATAGGAAAAAAAAAATAATGGTTTTAAACTAAAACAGTGTAGATTTAGATTAGATATTAGGAATAAATTATTTACTCAGGGAGTACAACAGGTTATCCAGAAAAGTTGTGGATGCCCCATCCCTGGAAATGTTGAAGGCCAGGTTGGATGGGGCTTGGAGCAACCTGGTCTAGTGGAAGGTGTCCCTGCTTGTGGCAGAGGGCTTGGAACTAGATGATTTTTAGGGTCCCTTCCAAACCAAACTATTCTATGATTTTATAACATCTGTAAAGATGGAAAAAGGAGCATCAAGTGAAGCATTCACGTCAGTCAGATAAGCAAAATTACACAGGTAGTACACATTGAGTATTTTTGAAGGAGCTCGGGAAGCTGGTAACAAACAGTAAAAACATTACATTTGCCATTAGAACAAGCAAAAAGCATATTGACAGAAAATATTTACTTAGTGTAACATCTTGTTTCTGATAGCAGTCAAGAGTAGATGCCTTGTGAAGGGTACAAGAACAAGGGAAGCTTACAGGACACTAGTACAGCTTCAAGGTATGGCATCACTTGGAAGTCAAGCAGATTTCATAGAGAACCTGCTGCTAAAAAGGATGATCTTGCCATTTTCCTCTTTTTGCTTGCTATGGTGTTTGATGAACTATTTATCCTATGGAAACTTCCTCCAGTTTGATTTAGCTGGAAGATCATGATGTAAATTAATGACATATACTATTTCAGCATCTGCACAATGGCTAAACCTAACAGAGACGAAGTGAGGTGATGGATAGCTAAGTGAAAGAGGAATCTGGTAAGCTAGCTGTCCAAATGTTAACAAGAGAAGCTAGACTTATTTTTTTTTTCCAGACCAACGCTAACTTGCTGCATGATGGTGAGTTTGGTGACCTGCTCACCATGAGATCAGCTTTAACATAATATGAAACCATGCTTGAATTTCTTATTTTAAGGCAGACTCACCAAAATGTGAACAATTGCATTTATAGGAAGATATAAACTTTTTTTTTTTTTTTAACAGTAATATATCACAGTAGCAGTTCCGAGAAAAACAGGAACAGGTTTTACCTGTTACAAAGACCTGTTCCCAGCTCTTTTCAATGCTACGTATCTATATGATCCCTCTTTTACCTATACGGAGGAATAAAAGATTTAAATACTTTCCTACTGGAAGTTCCAGTTTCTTAGAAATCCATGTTCACTTCAGAAAAGTGTCAATTTTGAACATACCTTTATTTTTCAGTAGAAAAGTTAGTATAATTTTACAGTACAAAAATACTGCTTTAACATTCAGTTTATGAAGCAACCATCAACACCTCAGAGTACTACAGAATCCAGAACAATCACATAGCACAGGATCAGTTCTACATAATAGATGGCAAGTCACTACAGTAGTTCCCAGGCTCTTCCACTAATTTCTTAAGTGGTACTATTGTTTACCCTCCATGCAGGAACAGATGCACAAAAATGTAACTTGCATACTGATAACTGGACACCAGAAAAAATTCTTAGCAAGCTGGCGACGTACAAAAAGATGTTGAGGAGCAATATGCCATGTGTGACAACAAAGCTAGATTTTAGTAACAAAAAGGTAGAAAAGTCTTCATATAAAGCAAATTAATTTAACACTGTAAACCTTCTATTTTGAATAGGGTAAAATGGAAGCTTTGAAAATTTCATCATCGTGACAAAGTTTGAAAGTATGTTACCTATGGTTCATAGTTACCTTTCTTTGAAGGTTTTACTTTATCCTATAGATTTAAGTTTTTCATTGATTAGATAAAACAGCTATATTTACTGTCAGCAAGACCACCTTCATGTTTAAGTGTGAATGGAATAATGGCCAGTAATATTAAGTACCAAAGAACCTTTTCCAGAGTATCAAGTCTGGTGAACAAAGATTCAAATATATAGTTCAGACAAGCAAACATATAAGTGCCTAATAAACATAATAATAATAATAATAATAAGATTATGAACATAAACATAAGAAACCTACGACTGAGGTCAATTGACATATACATATGTTTTAAATAATAACCTATACTACTTAATAACGTCACTTACGGAAAGTCAGGTGGGTCAAAAGCAGTCTTAATAACTCCAGCATATATGGCAATGATGGATAAAATCACACAGGCAAGGAAGACCAGTGCAAGCTTGTTAACATACTTGACTCCCACAAAAACTACTACAGCCATCAGAATGATAATACATGTTCCATAAACTCTCATGTTATTCAGCATAGCCTCTGTTTCTTCACCACCATCTTCTGCTTTAAATATAGCAGCACTTGGAGAAATGTAAGTCTGTAGGAAATATGGCAAATTATCATATATATTTTATTACTTCACAAACAAGTTCTATCAGATGACAAAAGTGTTTATCAAAGAGCAGAAACAAATATCTCACTTGATCTGGTATAATGAAATTGCAAAAAATTATTTTCAAGATTTTTACTGGTACAGAGACATTGTAGCAGACTCAATTTTAATATACAATGAGTTTTTAACTATATGCCCCTCCTCTTTTCTAACCCTATCTATTATGTAGATTACTTTGAAGAGCTGCATGCACTCAAAGTGACATTATCAGCAAACTGTAAAGTTGAATAATCAGTGATCTATGTAAGGGAAAAAGCAATGAGAGTAAGGGTGACAGAAGAGGATAAAACAGAGTGTATATGCTGAGAAAGAGGCACTGCTTTTGATCCAGCTTTTCTGCTAAGAACTTCTGCCTCTCATAAATTTGTGTCTCTGCCAGACAAGAAAACACGAAAAGGAATGGAGGAGGAGGAGCAGCATAACAAACATGTTTCAATACAATGGGTATGGATTCCATACAGAACCCATACTGTAGCCTAGCCTGACGGCTTTTCTTTCTCTTCTAATACCTTTACTTTGGATTTTTTTTTCTAAGTCTTACCACAATTAGCACAGTTTTCTTGCAGCTATATATGTGTACAGCACAGACACAGTTTGTGCGACCATTTTTATTTAGAATGCGTTAAGAAAAGGTGGCAACAAATATTGTATCTGGTACCTTTACTAAAAGGTCAGTTACTGAACTGTTTTGTTCCTAATTAAATGGGAAATAACTATCATCAGTCTTTAACATGTTTATGCATTGCTGATCAAAGTTTGTTGAACTTCTTCAAATAATCACAAGTATAGTAAGAATACTAACATACCAGATATATAGTATCAAAGCATTCAAAAACAAACTAGAATACAGTTTAGGCTTTATTATAACTTATTTATGATTACTGAATAATGTCTAAATACAGTAATCTCCCACAGTAGCCTGAATACAGCCTTACAAGACTTAATAGTACTTACCAATAAAATTTCAATGGTACCAAGAATGTACATCGCTCCTGCAAAGGTCGTACCCAAGTAGAAACAAAGTCCCACTGCTCCACCAAACTCTGGTCCTAAAGATCTTGAAATCATGTAGTAAGAACCTCCAGCTGTGAATTTAACCAAAAAGTTTCCAACCTTTCAGATTAGTGATGGCAATAGAGAACAAAAAAAAAAAGAGTAATTCAATCAACCTAGATACATATTTGGGAAAACTGCATGAACCTCCATTGAAGTATCCATACCAAACCTGTATTTAAAAACAAAAAAAAAAGCTAAAACTGGCAAATGCAGATGCTCATACTTTTTTCCTTTATTACACAAACAATTCAACATATATCAAATAGCAGCAATGGAAGTCTTACTGCATTTTACTATTTTCTTCACTGATCCCTATTGATACTCGGTTGTCATGATGATAGCTCTGGTGCTGGCTCAGCCCACAGTGCAGTGGTTGATCACAACAGTCAGAGCTGTATAACCACCAGCACAACCAAGAAAAGGCAACAGGTAATATCTTCCGAGGAATCTTCTGAGAGGTACAGAGGCACCCATTTAATGACCTGACACACGCTTAAGACATTTGTTGCCTACCAGGGGGTCACATTAGAGATGTTGTTGAGAGATTGCCAACCCTTGTGTAGCCTGCAGACTACTATCCTCTGCTGTCATTCAATGTAGGCATCAGTGACACTGTCAAGAGCATCCAGAGTGTTTCACGAAGGACTACAGAATCCTTGGAGCACCTGTAAGAGTCTCTGGAACAAAGGTGGCTTTCTCTTCAACCCTACCTGTCAAATGTAAAAAACTTACCACAGTTGCAGGACTGATGTTGTGGTCTAAAAGGCCAAATTTTGGTCATGTGACCCTTGGGACCCTTGGAAACACCTGATCTACTGGAGACTGGTGGGGTCCAACTGTTGGAGAGTTTCAAAAATATATCAGTATAAAGTATATTTAAAGCTTATCAGTGATAAAAGGAAGACTAGGGAAAATGTGGGCCATCTCCAGAAGGAAATAGAAGAACTGGTTACCCTGAATACAGAGAAGGCTGAGGCATTCAACAGCTTTTTTGCCTCCGTCTTCACCAGCAAGAGCTCTAGCCATATAGCCCAAGTCCCAGAAGGCAAAGACAGGCACTGGGAGAATGAAGAACCACCCACTGTTGCAGAAGATCAGGCTCAAGACCATCTAAGGAACCTGAAGGTGCACAAGTCCATGGGACTTAATGTGATGCATCCAAGGGTCCTGAGGGAACTGGTGGATGAAGCTGCTAAGCCACTGCCATCATATTCGAGAAGTTGTGGCACTCTGGTGAAGTTCCTGGTGACCGGAAGACAGGAAACAGCCCCCATTTCAAAAAACAGATAAAAGAAAGATCTGAGGAACTACAGGACAGTCAGTCTCACTTCTGTGCCTGCCAAGACCATGGGGGCAGATCCTCCTGGAAACTATGCTAAGGCACGAGGAAAACAAGGAGGTGACTGATGACAGCCAACATGGCTTCACTAAGGGCAGATCACGCCTTACAAATTTGGTGGCCTTCTATGACAGGGTTACAGCACCGGTGGATAAGGGAAGAGCAACTGATACCATCTAGCTGGACTCATGCAAAACATTTGACGCTGTCTGCCATGATATTCTTGTATCCGAACTGGAGAGACATGCATTTGACAGACAGACCACTCATTGATTATGGAATTGGCTGGATGGTTGCACTCAAAAGAGTTGCAGTCAATAGTTCTACGTCCAGGTTGGGACCAGTGATGATGGTGGTGGCAGCAAGGGGTTGGCAACAGGGATTTAATAGATGTATGCTGCTGTTGCACCAGGTGGCCAGGCACCTGTACAGCAAGGATAAAGGTGGTATTCTGCAGCATCTGGATAGGACTGTCTTGAGCGGCTGCAGCGATCATCTTGAGGTCCCAGGGAGAAGGATATCTACAACAAGGTTTATGATGCTGACTGTTACAACAGCTTTCTTCTGGAGCTGCAAAAATATCTTCCAAAGTAATTCCATATCTGGTCACCACCTACTGCACCAAATGATACGTATCTAAAACCAGAAGTTATGATGTATAAGTTTTACAAGCCTTGCATAATGGATGTAAAAATAGGGCAGAAAAATTATGATTTATATGCTTCAGCTGAGAAGATACAGCAGCAGGTCTGCAAGTACTCACTGATGGAAGAGCTTGGATTTTTGGTAGTGGACATGAGGGTTTACCACATCTGACAGCTATGAGACAGAAAATCAGCACTATGGAATGAGCTTGGCAAACGAAACAGTAAAGGATGGCATTTCAAAGTTTTTCTACAATTGGTATTGCTTGAAAAAGATGTGATCACTGCCAGCATTCAGAAGATCGACAAAATTTTGAGGTGATTTGAGGACCAGAAACAACTCAACTTGTTTTGCTCGTTACCAGTTGTTTACAAAGTTTCATGTCAGGCAACAACCATGCACTTCAGTAATGACACCTTGGCAGAAAAAAGGGGAGTGCCCAAAGGACTGTTATCAGGTGGAGACATACTTTAGTATAATAATATTCATAAGTAATTAATTCTACATAGAATTGAAAAATTGAGGTCTCTGTAAGGAAGGGCTTTTCCAAATTTTATGCACTTCATAAAAAGGCGTACTCTAAGAGGCAACACAGTCAGATCTCAATAAAAGTAGAAAACGTGGAGCAGGACAATTTATGGAAAAGCAGCACTTGCACAAACACAGGAGCACCTGAACTGAAGTGTTATACCCCAACTGGAAAAAGTTCTGTCCCATGCCAGCAGAGATCAAGGAAAGTACAAATATAGAAGTCCAAACAATAGATTTTGCTCACATGTCTCCTAGCAACAAAAAGGATGAGGGCTACATTTTTGATGTGTAAAATTTGATTACTGTACTTCAAAAATTTTTGGATAACTAAATTATTTGTTATGGTTTTTACTGAGGGCCAAAGATAACCAAGAGCAACAACATGATAAATTTCTGCACTTGTAATGCTGCATAGCTGGGTTTGTATTGTTCTACTATATTTTATTTGTCTTTGTACTTTTGGTAGAAGAGTTTAACTTTTTATAGTCTCACTCAGGAAAATAACTGGTTGTTAATTGGCGAGTACAAAAGGGTGAAGATCCCTGAGATAAGCAGGACAGGTAAATTAGTAGGATGAAGTGTATATGGTTGGCTTAAATCCAAGGAGTACTGTTGTACAATAAGCAGGGGTTGTGTTACTACCCATAACAACTTTAGATTAGAGAACATTTGCTCACTTAGCCTTGATACTGGGCCATATCTCCATTAAGAGGTTTTTAGAAAAGAGACTGAAAACTGTGAAGTACAGGACTGATGTCTTCAGTACGCTGCCTTCTTGCATTTACTGTATTTGAATAACTGGAGTTAACCTTACTTTGAGAGAAATCTCATTTAGATTCAGACATCTAACCTGGGAACCAGCATATCAAGAAGTGCTTCTCCATATAATGGGGTGATGTCATTGTTCTTCTAACACATTGGTGTGGGTGCTTCCCCTCTTGGTGGTTGTCCATAGCCAGATGTTCATTGCAGACAAGCTGCAATGTAATTTGTATTGAGATGCTACAAAAATGCTAGACTAAAATGTGGTAACAGGTTTTAACTGTACAACTGCTACAGAAACTATTTGCTTCTGAGAAAGAGTGAAAAAAAAACTTAGATGTTCTAGGAACTAATTCAGTATAGGAGATTAAGTCAATCTGTTAATGGAGTTTATAATGTTGCGACTAAGGGAAATGTTTCACTCCTTTGTTCTGAAGGCCATTCTCCAAAAAAAACAATGCTTTTAAAAGCAAGCTAACTGAATGGGGAGACAAAGAATTTTGAGTAAGCATACTGAGATTTCCTCAAGCTGCTTACAACTGGAATTTCTGCAAGAAGCATTTCAGATTTCCACTGTCATGGAGCACCAACTGGCAGCAAAGAGCAACACAGATGAAGGACCCTTTGCCGCAAAGATGTAGTTCAATCCAGCAGCAACCAGACACACCTCCAAGGATTCAGGGTCTGTGAACCTGGGATAAAGCTTTTTTTTTTTTTTTTTAATTAACACACTGGCAAGGTATATGATTTGAAAATTGTCACAGGCAAAATAAAGATTTTCATACGGAATACTTGAGATTGGGATGATGGTGTTGCTCCTCTGTATGTTGTATATGTGGCTTTCTTAATGTACATATATGTTGTGACTTTTGTATAGCTGACTAGAGTGAGATATATAAAGTAAGCTTTTAATGCTTTAAGCAAGCCCTATAAATAAAACTTTTCAGAATGGATTTGTTCATTAGAAATATACATCTTCTAAGTATAGACTTAATGTGACATTGTGGCCTTCCTCCTTTCTCTGTGTGATGTTAGAATCACAGAATCATTTAGGTTGGAAGAGACCTCCAAGATCACCTAGTCCAACCCCTGACCTAACACTAACAGTCCTCCACTAAACCATATCCCTAAGCTCTACATCTAAACGTCTTTTAAAGACCTCCAGGGATGGTGACTCCACCATGGGCAGCTCATTCCAACACCTCACAACCCTCTCAGTAAAGAAGTTCTTCCTAACATCCAACCTAAACCTCCCCTGGTGCAACTCTAGCCCATTCCCCCTCATCCTGTCACCAGGCACGTGGGAGAACAGACTAATCCCCATCTCGCTACAGCCTCCTCTAAGGTACCTGTAAAGAGCAATAAGGTCGCCCCTGAGCCTCCTTTTCTCTAGGCTGAACAAACCCAGCTCCCTCAGCCGCTCCTCGTAGGACTTGTTCTCCAGACCCCTCACCAGCTTTGTCGCCCTTCTCTGGACATGCTCAAGCACCTCGATGTCTTTCTCATAGTGAGGGCTCCAAAACTGAACACAGTAGTCGAGGTGCGGCCTCATCAGAGCTGAGTACAGGGGGACAATCACTTCCCTAGCCCTGCTGGCCACACTGCTTCTTATACAAGCCAGGATGCTGTTGGCCTTCTTGGCCACCTGAGCACACTGCTGGCTCATATTCAGCTGACTATCAACCAATACTCCCAGGTCCTTCTCTGCCAGGCAGCTTTCCAACCACTCATCTCCCAGCCTGTAGCTCTGCTTGGGGTTGTTGTGCCTGTAGTGTCTGTTTTCCCCTTAGAGACAGGTGGAACCCATCTGCAGTTGTCAGGCTGGGTGCTGAGTAAAATGCCCTGTGGTCAAAATAAAAAACACATTTCTGTGTCAGCGCCAGCCTCTGAGCCATGTGTTTAACAGGTGGGCTTTCCATATCCTCTCTGTACCCCTCCCTGCCACCGTAGGGATAAACGAAAACACCACCTGTACTCCCCCTCCATCCACTAACGGTCCCAGTCCCCTAAAGTCCCGTTTGATAGTCTTCAGGCTTCTCTCTTCAATGTCATCACTGCCAGCCTGGACTATTAAAAGAGGATAATAGTCAGAGGGGTGAACCAGGTTGGGAAGCTTTCTGGCAATGTCCCTAAGCCTGGCCCCAGGGCGGCAGCAGACTTCCCTACGGGTAGGGTCAGGCCGAAAAAATAGGTCCCTCTGTTCCCCTGAGAAGGGAGTTGCCTGAAATGATCACCCTTCCTTCTTTCTTAGTGGAAACAGTCTTGAGCCATGGAATTGACTTCCTCGCCCCAGGCATCCTCCTGGGTGGACTTTTGACCACATCCTCACCCACCGGTCTCAAGCTCCAGGCCATCAAACCTGTTGTGTATGGGTACCTGGGAAGGAGAGGCTGGTAGGAAGGGGGTTGCCTGTGATGTCGAGCAGGGACCTGTTTCCATTCCTCTTCTCCTAGGTCCCCTCCCTCTGCTCAACAGGGACAGGGCAAAGAGTCCACCACCATTTGGGGTGTCTCACCCTGGTGCCTTTCCTTCCGGCCCTGCAGGGAGTCGCTCCACAAGTCTATCTCCCGCTCACACTCCCTGATATCTCTCAATCTCTTGACCTCCTCCTTGAGCTCTCCCACCAGGCTCACCAGGCCATCCACTTGCTCGCACCTCACACACACGGTGTCTCTGCCGCCCTCAGATGGCAGCAACAGGCTCAGGTACTCCCTGCATCCAAAGACCTGAACTGCCACATTTTTGAGCGGGCACTCCATCTGGGTCACCACAGACCTTCTGGAAAGAGCTTTCTGCCTAGTGCAGACCATGGCAGTTTAGCTATAGGTAGAGAGCTGGTAGATGAGCTGTTCTTCTGAGCGGGGAGGGATGCTCCGCCCCACCTGAGCGAACTGCTGTGCCACACCCTGACTGATCCGCCATGCCCTTTTTGCCCATCCTGGTCACCGTGCTCCTTAGGGGCTGCCTTTGTACATCAGGGGAGCATGCGCTGCTGGCTCTGCTCACACTTCATCAGCCTCCCTCATGAGGGCTGCCGGGTCCTGGCAGATCCCTCGGCTGCCTCAAGTGGCCTCGATGCCAAAAAAAAGCCCTGCCCACCTCAATCCCCCTCTCCGCTGCAGAACGTGTCTGCCCCAGAGCCAATTGCCTCGGAGAGAGAGGCAGACGTGTTCTGCACACCATCTGTATATACATCTTTGCAAGTTCTCAATTTAGCATCTGTTTCCTATGTCAACAGAAAAACAGTATTTGTTCAAGAAGTGTTTGAAATAAAAGCTGAAATTTTAATTAAAAAGTTTACCTACTAGTCAAACTGAGGTGCAAAAACGAATTGCACAGGCAGTAGAAGCAGGTACATGTGGCTTGAGAAGATGCTGTCCAGATGTGCAGAGATGGGATCAGGAAACCCAAGGCACAAACGGGGCTTGGCAAGGGACACAAATTAAAACGAGAAGGGATTCTATAGGTGTGATGGTCAGAAAAGAAAGGCCATGAAGAATGTACCACTTCTTGACAAATGAGAAGGGAGACCTAGTAACAACAAATACGGAGAAGGCTGAGACAAAGAAGCTGTTGAGTACCTCAGTCCTCACTGCCAGTCAGGCTTCCCACATCTCTTGAATCCTGACTCTCTAGACAATGGCTATGTGAGCAAAGTCCCTCCCACCACAAGCAAAGTGCAGATTCAAGGCTACCTGATAAAACTGAACAGGTTTAAGTCCATGGGGTCCAATGACATGCCTCCCAGGATCCTGAGGGAATTGGCTGATATAGTTGTCAGGACACTCTCCAACTTATTTGAAAAGTCCTGGCAGTCAGGCAAAGTCCCTGGTGATTGGAAAAAAAGAATCATTGCTCCCATTTTTATAAAGGTTCAAAAAGAGGACCTGTGGAATTACAGACCAGTAAGCCCCACCTCTGTGCCTGGCAAGATCATGGTGCAGATCCTGCTGGAAGCAGCATCGAGGCACATCCAAGACAAGGAGGTGATCTGAGACAGACAGCCTGGCTTCACCAAGGGCAAATTGTGCCTGACCAGTCTGGTGCCTTTTACGAGGGAGTGACTGCTTCAGCTGACAAGGGAAGACCAACCAATGTCATCTACCTGGACTTACATAAGGCCTTCAACACATGACATCCTGATCTCCAAATTGGAAAGAGATGGATTTGAAGGGTAGACCATTCAGTGGATAAGGAATTGCCTCGATGGACACACACACACAGTGGTGGTCAACGGCTCTATTTCCAGGTGGAGGCTGGTGATGAATGCTGTCCCTCAGGGGTCTGTCTTGGGACTGGTACTGTTTAGTATCCTTATCAATGACACAGACAGTGGGATCAAGTACACCCTCAGCAAGTTTGCAGATGACACAAAGCTGAGCCACAGTTGATACAACAGGAGGAAGGAATGCCATCCAAATGGACCTCACAAGCTTGAGAATTGGGCCCATGTGAAACTAATGGGGTTCAACAAGTCCAAGTGCAAGGTGCTGCACCTGGGTTGGGGCAATCCCAGACAGGAGTACAGACTGGGTGAAGAGCAGCCTTGCAGAGAGAGACTTCGGGGTTCTGGCGGACAAAATGCTTGGCATGAGCCAGCAATGTGCACTTGCAGCCCAGAAGGCCAACTGCATCCTGGGCTGCATCTAAAGAGGAGTGGCCAGCAGCTTGAGGGGAGGGGGGGGGGTGATTGTTCCCCTCTACTCTGTCCTTCTGAGGCCCCACTTGGAGTACTTAAACCAGGTCTAGGGCCCACAGCCCAAGAAAGTTGTATATCTGTTACAGTGGGTCCAGATGAGGGCTACAAAGTTGATCAGAAGTTTGGAGTACCTCCCCTACAAAGAAAGGATTGAGGTGGGGATGTTCAGCCTGGAGAAGAGAAGACTCCAGGGAGACCTTGTTGCAGCCTTTCAATAGGTAAATGGAGCTTATAAAAAAGGTTACGTGAGCTTTTTACTCAGGCAGATAATGATAGAACAAGGAGGAATAATTTTAAACTAAAAGAGGAGAGATTTACATATTAAGGAGAAATTCTTCACTAAGAGGGTGGTGAAGCAGTGGAACAGGTTGCCCAGAGAAGCTGTGGATGCTCCATCCCTGGAAGTGCCAGGTTAGATGGGGCTTTGAGCAACCTGGTCTAGCGGGAGGTGTCCCTGCCCATGTCAGGAGGGTTGGAAGTAGATGATCTTTAAGGTCCCTTCTGACCCAAGCCATTCTACAATTCTATTTTATGATTGTGTTCTTCGTGGATCAGTACTGGGACTGGTACCATTTAACATTTTTGTCAGTGACACAGACAGTAGGATTGTGTGCACCCTCAGCAAATTTGCAGATGACACCAAGCTGTGTGGTGTGGTCGCCATGCTGAAAGGAAGAGGTGCCATCCAGATGGACCTAGCTTTGACAGGTGGCCCAAGACCAAGTGCAAGAACCTGCACCTGAGTCAGGGCAATCCCACACATAAATACAGGCTAGGTGGAGAATGAATTGAGAGCAGCTCTGAGGAGAAGGATTTGTGGTGTTGGTTAAGCTGGCTTTGTGTACTTACAGCCCAGAAAGCCAACCCTATGGCTACACTACATGAAGAAAAATATGACCAGCCAGTTGAGGGAGCTGATTTGTCCTCTCTGCTCTACAATTCTATGATTCTTGTAAGACCCTACCTAGAGTACTGAGTTCAGCTCCGGGGCCCCAACATAGGAAGGACATGGACCTGTGCAGCCCTTCTGCTGTGAAATCAGGCTGAGGGAGTTGGGGTTGTTTAGAATGTTCTCCAGTCTGACAGGTCTGGGGAGAACTTACAGCAGCCTTCAAGTACTTAAAAGGGGCCTACAAGAAGATGGGAAAAGACTTTATCAGGGATTGTAATGATAGGACAAGGAGTAATGGTTTTAAACTAAAAGAGGGTAGATTCACATTAGATATTAGGAATTCTTCATTATGAGGGTGGTGAGGCAGTGACACAGGTTATCCAGAGAAATTGTGGATGCCCCATCCCTGGAATTAAGGCCACATTGGATAGGGCTTTGAGCAACCTGGTCTTGTGGGAGGTGTCCCTGCCCACTGAAAGTAATAAGGAAAAAACATTTGCAAAGCAACATATTGATTTGCAATATTAAACAATTCTTTACCTGCGAGATCTCTCTTAAAAACAACCAACCAACCAAAAAAAACCCTCAAGCTTCAAAGAATTAGGAAAAAAATGGTAAAAGTTGACAGGACACTTTAAAAAAGGTTTACGCAACTAGGCTTTTGAAATTGAGTGCTAACATACCTCATCCCTGCTTCCTTCCGTTAGCCCCCGTTTCCATTCTTTCCCTAAAGAAGGAGTGTACCTATAGAGATAACTATATCTTTGGCTGGTTAAAGACCAACAAGATATTAGAAGTGGAGGCCTAGATCTATTAACCTTAGAAAACTTTGTAAAAGGTCTCTCCTCTGATATAGATGTCATCCTAGCATCAAGTTTTTGGTGAACACTCAGACAAGCTTAGGAAAAAGTTACAAACAACCCTGTATTTTAATCAAATTTCTCCTTATGAGGAGAAATTAATTCTCGTACATCAGAATCCAATGAGCAGTTTTGCTAAAAATGCATACATTTAGGGAAGCAAGACTGGTATCCCAAAAAATATAGAAAAAAGAAAATGCTCAATGGGAATAGCAGTACTTCTTCATGGCAGATAACATTTTAAAACAAACATAAGATGGAGAATTTATTCATTTTAAAAAGCAGATTCTTTGTTTACAGTTTTCAAACATTTCCATCCATAATGTTTTTAAAGCAAGATTCCTTACCACCTAAGATTTTGTATTCTAAAACATTTACCAATGAAGTAAGATTACTGGAAGTCTGGTACAACCACTGGAGAATAACATTGGAAGTTCATAAGTTAGTTTACCAATGAATGCTCAATAAAACCAGAAGGGATAGTGTGGCAACTATCTAATCAACCCTACAATACACTTCAGACTATCCTTGAATGAAGCAGGATACTTTATTCCAGAGTTAGAGCTCTTCCAAAGGGAAGAAAAGAGAAAGCTGAATATTAACGATGCTTACCAAGAACAAACCTTTCTCCTCCTCCCCCCAGAAGTGAATAATACATTAATTTTTGTGGAGGAATGGTTAAGTGAAGTAGGACATGTGGATGTTGAGCAGTTAGGAGGCAATGGGCTAGTGAAGTACCGTACTCAACTCATATGAGTCTGGGCATGCACGCAGCTGGCTGAGAGCCAATCAGGCTCAAGGACACGATGCCCTTGTGTGATTGGGAAAGTCCCTAAGGCGGGACGGTAGCTAAAAGAAGGAGGAACTAACTGAAAAGACTGGGAAGTGTTAGCCAATCCTGAGCTTAGTTTTTGCAATATGTATGAGTTGATTATGTTCGAACTAGATAAAAGGCGACTGAGCTATCCATTAAAGTTGAAGTTCACTGTTCACTCATATTGAGCGTCTGTGTCTTCCTTCCGTCGACAACAAATTTTTAGTTACATATGCACTGATACAGATATTAAGATAGATGCATTGCTAATAAAATTTTTGCTTTTTGATTTACAAACCAACAAAATCACTAAAACTGAAGAGAAAAAAAAACAGATGAAAACAAGTCTAGTGTAAGAACTATGAACACTCAGAAATGAAACAATCTTTTCAATAAACATTAGAAATACATGGGAAAGGGCAGAAGTTTTACTTACCTGGAAGGTGATTAGGATAACTACATTATAAAATATAAGTCCTTTAAAAAACTTACTGCATTTATATTTTACATACTATAGTGCATCTGAGAAATACAATTATTCTAGATTCTGCACAAATTGGAGTGTTTAATTTTGCCCAATAATTTATTCATCAGTTCTGGAACCCCTCACTAAACCAGAGAATCTCTGCAAGTGAGGATTAATTTATTTAAAATATGTACATAAAGCTTAAAACATAACTTTTGTTAGGTATACTGTTTAGAGTTCATAATGTTAATTGAAAATACCAGTATTCAGACATGTTGATAACTGAGAAGGATTAGAAGAGTTATAAAAGCTAACTTTGTGTCTAAATGTCTTTTTCATAATTGAAGAGGAACAAGCTTGTCTATTAAATTTATCCTGAAAAGGCTGAAGGTGACGACCATAACCCAGAATGCCTAGAAAAAGATTTCTGCCTGTAGACTGGCTGTTAGGCTGCTGTGCTTGCAGAAAACAATATAAGTAGTTCCAACATATAGAAAATTAATCATTTAGAGAAGTAATCAAGCAATGTAGGCAACTTCAGGCCAAAAAAGAGAGAAGCCTTATTTTTAAGGAGATCTGCTTTACCTTTATACAAGTCTCCTTTAGCTCAAATCATATCTTGTATTTTATTCAAACAATCTAATAATTGATGACAAAAATTCCATCTCGCCTTAAGTCATATAAATCATTACAAGAAAATAAATACTTGATGCAAAGCTCCAAACATTACTTCTCATTCCAGCTTTGACTACTCCTCCGACCATTCATTATTTAAGATAAAACTGTTGATTACCTGGAACGACACCGTTTGTTGCTATTGCACTCATTGAAATTGCAGTTAGCATAGTCTGTGGATAATGAAATAGAGAAAAAAAAATAACTTGAAAGTTTTTGAAAGACAAGACAAAATGATTTAAGTGTAATTAAGAATGTATTTATTTTTTTAATAAAACGTTACAACAACCAAAAGCAGTCATACCTTTAGTTAGGGATTTCCATGTAAATTGAATACTAAATTAACTACATCTTCCAGTAGAAGATTTAGATGCTTCAGACAGACTTCAAATATACTGGAAGAGTACAGCCACTGAATATACTTAAAATAAGAGATGTTTTCATTCCAATTAAATATAATTAAATTAAAATTCAATATTATTAACCAACTGGTCAAGGATCATTGCTACAACAATGTAATCTACTAGTGGCTTTACATCCCACAAAATGAATTTATGAACATGATACTAGTAGTTTATGTTTCAGTTGTTCTTAAGTAGTGAAAAATGAAACCATTCAGGACTCAATCTATATCATTAAACATTTGCTAAAGGCCGATTCAATAAAAATTCCTAAAATACCTCTAGCTAAAACTGAATGTGCTTGGCTCAAAGAAAACCCCATACAGGCTGAAATGGCATGACATTCAGTGCATATATTTAAATATAATAGAAAATAGTGTCATCTCAACTCATTCCATATCTCTCAATTGCACTGATATTTAAATCTCACAGAGATATTTAACTTCTATGGGGAAATCTTGCTCTGCTTACTTATGCAAAAGAAGGCAGCAGCATTCTGGTAACAGAATAAGTAAACCAATAATAAAGAAAAAAGGTTATCTTACACAAGCACAACACATGAACACGATGATGAAAGACTCGAGAACTCCAGCTGTTCCAACAATCCATGTCAAACGTAGGAACAGAATGACTCCTAAGATGTTTTGCAAGCAGGGCAGGTACACACCAATAAAAGTGCCCATTCGTGGAACCTGGAAACAGAGACCATAAATCCCTTTGCACTAAATAAAGTCCATAAGTACTTTCTCCTTCAAACACTTAACACAAGTGCTCCATGAACAAACACCAAATGAGATTGAGTGGTAGCTTCAGAATTTCCAGCTTCACAAACATTCACAGACTACTTGTTCAGAAAGATTCCTGAAAAAACAGAATTATTTGTGATAGCAAAACCTGCTTTTCCTCCAGAATTAGGATGAAATCTTCATAAGGGCAGATCTCCCTCTATCTCTTGATTACCAAACTTCACACAACTTCTTCCAAAATACCAGTTACAGGCTACTGGTGAGAGAATTTACTGGCATTATCAAGATACTGAATATACTCAGTAAAAAGTTGATCACTAATTGGCCTGCATCTAGCCCACAAAATTTTAGCTGTTCATTTTTTGTAAGTTGAAAACACAAAAAAAAAAAAAAAGGAGAGAAAGGAGAGAAGATGATACAACAAAACCAGAAGAAATACAGACCTAACTACACTTTATTTTTGCAAAAGCGTTTAAGAACTGCTGTTACATACACACTTCATGAAAGTCAGGCCTTTTCTGTTGAAGCACTCAACTTTGAAACAGTACACAGTAGGTCTCCAGGTAAAGAAGTTACTCTTAAATCAAATCTCAGGCTGTGGTAAAAGCAGTCAATTTAGATTAGCAAGCAAGCATTGCAGTAAGTTTCCAAGTACTTAAAAGGACACAATGTCACTCAGACTATAACCAATGCAATTAAAAAAAGTTAATGTCTTTGTGCAAAATCAGTATTACTATCTCAATTATCATGGAATGATAGAATAGCTAATGTTGAAAGAGACCTCCAAAGGTCATCTGATCGAATGTCACCTAAGACAGGTTGCCTGGGACCACTTAGAGACAGCTTTTCAAGATCTGCCAAGAGGGACACCCCACAACCACTCTGGGAGACCTGTGCCAGTGCTCTACCACCTGCACAGTAAAGAAGTGCTTCTTGACGTTAAGATAAAACCTCTTGTGTTCTAGTTTGTGACCACCACTGCTTCTTTTCCTGGCACTGAACATCACTGAAAATAGCATGGCTCTATCTTCATTGAGTCCTCCCTTCAGGTTTTTATATATGTTGATGAGATCCCTCCTAAGCTTCCTCTTCTCCAAGCTGAACACTTCCAACTCTCACTGTCCCTCCTCATGGGAGAGGTGCTTCAATCCCCTATCATGCTGTTCTTACTACTTAACTATCATGTAATTTCAAATACTAAAGTGGGAAAAAAAATAAAAAACACCACTCGTACAAATCACACTTTCAAGCCACTATTTGGTGGAATACAAGTAAGTACACTGTTCATTTGGCCAGTCACTTCCAGATGGACTAATATTGTGCTGCATTAACAAAAACTCTGCAGCAGTGGGCTGGAGGACCGGGATCACACTGAGAACAGTGTGAATTACCAGTATTGGTTCTCATGTATCAAACTACACAGCTTTAACTGTTCAGATATGTAACCTTGTTCTGCAAAATGTATATATCACCTTTCCTCAAAACAAAGTTGCCATTGAGCCACTTAGCTCAACTTTCCCAAGTTATTCTTTCCCCCTCTTTTAGGCATTGATGCTTCAGGGATATTTGTTGGGGGTGGGGGGAGTAGTCATGATGGAGTCATGCAGTCAACAGCTCTTGTTCTTACGGGGGACTTCAACTTTCCAGACATATGCTGGAAATACAATACAGCCCTGAGGAAGCAGTCCAGGAGGCTACCGGAGTGTGTGGCAGACAGCTTCCTGAATCAGCTGGTCAGTGAGCCTACTGGGGGGTGTCCCGCTAGACCTGCTGTTCACAGAGAAGGACTGGTGGGAGATGTGGTAGCTGGGAGCTGTCTTCGGCAGAGTGACCACGCACTGGTAGTCTATTCTTGGTCAAGTTGGGAGATGAGGGGGAACATTTGTCAATAAAACTTCTACCTTGGACTTCCAGAGGGCAGACTTTGAATTGTTCAGGACACTGGTAGGGAGGGTCCCTCGGGAGTCAGTCCTGATGGGCAAAGGTGTCCAGGAAGGATGGATGGTCCTCAAGAAGGAAGTCTTCAAGGTACAAGAGCAGGCTGCTCCCTCTGTGCCGAGCTGACGAGCTGACAGGAAAGATGACTGGCTTGGCTGAGCAGGGAACTTTTACTGAGTGTCTGGGAGAAAAACAGAGTTTGTGTCCAGTGGAAGAAGGGACAGGCAGCTCAGGGAGACTAGAAGAAAGTTGCCAGCATATGCAGAGAGAAAAATCAGGAAGGCTAAAGCTCAGCACAAGCTCAGCCTGGCCATTATGGTTAAGGATAACAACAAATGTTTTTATAAATATATTAATGGCAAGAGGAGGGCCAAGAGAGAATCTCCATCCTTTACAGGATGCATGGGGGGGGAACATGACTGGTGAGGATAAGCAAAGGGCTGAGGTTCTTAATGCCTTCTTTACATCTGCCTTTATTAGTCAGACCAGTCAGGGTACTCAGCGTCCTGAACTGGAAGCTTGGGACAGGGAGCAGAAGAAACCCCCTGCAGTTCAGGTGCAAACAGACCTGTTGCTCCACTGGGACTGTCACAAGTCCATGGGGCCAGATGGGATCCACCTGAGGGTGCTGAGGAAGTTGGCAGATGTGATTGCTGGGCTACTTTTCATCATCTATCGGTGGTCGTGGTCATCTAGAGAGATGCCAGATGACTGGAGAATTGCTAATGTGACACCCATCTTTAAGAAGGGTCATAAGGAGGACCTGGGGAACTACAGGCCTATCAGCCTGACCGCAGTGCCAGGAAAGGCGGTGGAACAGGTCATCTTGAATGCACACAGCATGTGCAGGACAACCAAGGGATCAGGCCCAGTCAGCATGGGTTCGTGAAAGGCAAGTCCTGCCCGACCAACCTCATTTGCCTCTATGACCGGGTGACCTGCCTGGTGTATGAGGGAAAGGCTGTTGATGTAGTCTGCCTGACTTCAGCAAGGCCTTTGACATGGTCTCCCACAGTATTCTCCTGGAGAAGCTGGCAGCCCATGGCCTGGATTGGTACACTCTTTACTGGGTTAAAAACTGGTTGGACAGCTGGGCCCAGGGAGTAGTAGTGAATGGAGTGAAATCCAGCTGGTGACCAGTCACAGGTGGTGTTCCCCAGGGGTCAATGTTGGGGCCCACCCTCTTCAATATCTTTATTGATGATTTGGTTGAGGGAATTGAGTGCACCCTCAGTAAGTTTGCAGACGACACCAAGTTGGGGAGGAAGTGTCAATTCACTGGAGGGTAGGGAGGCCCTGCTAGAGGGACTTGGACAGGATGGGTCGATGGGCAGAGGCCAATGGGATGAGGTTCAACATGGCTGAGTGCCGGGTCCTGCACTTTGGCCACAACTACCCCATGCAGCACTACAGGCTTGGGGCAGAGTGGCTGGAAAGCTGTGCAGAGGAAAAGGATCCGGGGGTGTTGGTCAACGCTCGCCTGAACAAGCCAACCATGTGCCCAGGTGTCCAAGAAAGACAACAGCATGCTGGCTTGTATCAGGAACAGCATAGCCAGCAGGAACAGGAAGGTGATCGTCCCCCCTGTACTCTGCTCTGGTGAGGCCGCACCTTGAGTACTGTGTTCAGCTTTGGGCCCCTCACTAGAAGGAAAACATCAAGGTCCTGGAGCATGCCCAGACAAGGGCTACGAAGCTGGTGAAGGGTCTGGAATGCAAGTCCTGTGAAGAACAGCTGAGGGAACTTGGGTTGTTTAGTCTGGAGAAGAGGAGGCTCAGGGGAGGCATTAGTGCTCTTTACAACTACCTGAAAGGAAGCTGTGGGGAGCTGGGGGTCGGCCTCTTCTTGCAGATAACTAGAGACAGGACTAGAGGGAATGGCCTCAAGTTGCACCAGGGGAGGTTTAGTTTGGAAATTAGTAGACATTTCTCCACAGAAAGAGTAGTCTGGTATTGGAATGGGTTGTCCAGGGAGGTGGGGAGTCACCGTCCCTGGGAGTATTCAAGGAAAGATTGGATGTGTTGCTTTGGAACATGGTTTAGTGGGTGACATTGGTACTAAGGGGATGGTTGGACCAGATGATCTTCGAGGTCTTTTCCAACTTAATGATTCTATAATTATATGATTCTATTCATTCTTATCCACTTTTACTTCTTCCTCCATAGCTCTGAATAAAAAACAAAGACAAAAAAAAAAACAACTCACTAGCAGTCCCCCCCAGTCATACTGAAATACAAGTAACTCAGTACTCTCCTTTTGCCGAGGTGATCGGCTCCGGGGCAGACGTGTTCTGCAGCGGAGCAGGGGATCGGGCCAGGCAGGGCTAATTTTTCCGGCATCGAGCCTACTTGAGGGAGCCGCCAGGACCCGGCAGCCCTCGTGAGGGAGGCTGATGAGGCGAAGGCGGAGCCAGCAGCGCCCCCTCCCCAGCCGTTCAAAAGCAGCCCCTAGGGAGCGCAGCGAACAGGACAGGCAAACAGGGCGTGGCGCGTTAGAAGGGAGTGGCGCGGCAGTTCGCGCAGGCAGGGCGCGCAGGAAGGGCAGAGCGCTCCCCCCGCCCATACGAACACCTCCTTAACGACAGCCGTTAGCTAGGTGATAATGGTCTCCACCAGGCACGGCGCGCTCTCCAGGAAGTCGGTACACACCCAGACCGACTACCCGTTAAAAAATGCAGCAGTTCAGGTCACCGGATGCAAGGAGTGTCAGAGCCTGTTGCTGCCATCGGCGGGAGGCAGAGAAACTGCATGCAGAGAAACTGCATGCGTGAGGTGCGAGCAGGTGGATGACCTGGTCCGCATGGTGGCGGAGCTCAAGGAGGAGGTGGAGAGGGTGAGGGATATCAGGGAGTGCGAGCGGGAGATAGACGTGTGGAGTAACTCCCTGCAGGGCCTCAAGGAGAGGTACCGGGGTGAGACACCCCAAATGGAGGTGGACCCCCTGCCCTGTTGCTGTCGGGCAGAGGGAGGGGATCTGGGAGTTGAGGAGGAATGGAAACAGGTCCCTGCTGGACATTGCAGGCAATGCCCTCCCCTTCTGGCCCCACCTTCCCAGGTGCCCTTACGCAACAGGTTTGAGGCCCTGGAGCTTGACAGACCAGTAGCTGAGGAAGAGGTAGCAAGTGTTCCCAGGAGGATGCCTAGGGCGAGGAGGTCGACTCCACGCCTCAAGACTGCCTCCATCAAGGAGGGTGATTGTTGTGGGAGACTCTATTCTTAGGGGAACAGAGGGCCCTATTTGTCAGCCTGACCCTACCCATAGTGAAGTCTGCTGCCGCCCTGGGGCCAGGGTCAGGGACGTTGCCAGGAAGCTTCCCAACCTGGTTTGCCCCTCTGATTATTATCTTCTTTTGATAGTCCAGGCAGGCAGTGACAACATTGAAGAGAGAAGCCTGAAGGCTATCAAAAGAGACTTTAGGGGGCTGAGACAGTTAGTGGATGGAGCGGGAGTGCAGGTGGTGTTTTCATCCATCCCTCTGGTGGCAGGGAGGGGTACAGAGAGGACACGGAAAGCCCACCTGTTAAACACGTGGCTCAGGGGCTGGTGCCAACGCAGAGATCTTGGGTTTTTCGACCATAGGGCACTTTACTCAGCACCTGGCCCGATGGCTGCAGACGGGTCCCTATCTTTTAGGGGAAAAAGGATTCTGGGCCAGGAGCTGGCATGGCTCATTGAGAGGGCTTTAAACTAGGTAAGAAGGGGGATGGGGCTGAAGCAAGGATTGTTAGAGCTGTGCCAGGGGGAACAATGGCAAGGCCGGAGGATAAGGTAATGGCCCAGCTGAAGTGCATCTACACCAATGCACGCAGCATGGGTAACAAACAGGAGGAGCTGGAAGCCATCGTGCAGCAGGCAGGCTACGACTTGGTTGCCATCACGGAGACGTGGTGGGACCAGTCTCATGACTGGAGTGCTGCAATGCCTGGCTATAAGCTCTTCAGAAGGGACAGGCAGCACAGAAGGGATGGTGGTGTGGCTCTCTATATTAGAGAGTCTTCCGATGTTGTAGAACTTGAGGCTGGGAATGACAAGGCCGAGTCCCTTTGGGTTAGGATCGGCTGGGACAAGAAGGCTAGTGTCCTGGTTGGGAACTGCTATAGACCGCCGAACCAGGATGAGGACACGGATGAGTTCTACAGGCAGCTGACAGAAGTTGTGAAATCTTCAGTGCTTGTACTCGTGGGTGACTTCAACTTCCCTGACATATCCTGGAAGCACAACACAGGCCAGAGAAAGCAGTCTAGGAGGTTTCTGGAGAGCGTGGAAGATAGCTTCCTGACGCAGCTGGTTAGCGAGCCTACCAGGGGTGGCGCCCCGCTAGACCTTCTCTTCACAAACAGAGAAGGACTGGTGGAGGATGTGGTTGTTGGGACCTGTCTTGGGCAGAGTGACCACGAAACGGTGGAGTTCACTATTTTTGGCGAGGCCAGGAAGGGGACCAGTAAAACCGTTGTATTGGACTTTCAGAGGGCTGACTTTGAGCTGCTAAGGACACTAGTTGGTGGAGTCCCTTGGGAGACGGTTCTGAAGGGCAGAGGAGTCCAGGAAGGCTGGGCGCTCTTCAAGAGGGAAATCTTAATGGCGCAGGAGCGGTCTGTCCCCACGTGCCCAAAGACGAGCTGGTGGGGAAGAAGACCGGCCTGGCTGAATAGAGAATTGTGGCTTGAGCTTAGGAGAAAAAAGAGGGTTTATGATCTTTGGAAAAGTGGGCAGGCCACTAGGGAGGACTGTAAGGATGTTGCGAGGCAGTGCAGGGACAAAATTAGAAAGGCCAAAGCTCATCTGGAGCTCAATCTGGCTACTGCCATTAAAGAGAACAAAAAACATTTTTATAAATACATCAACACAAAAAGGAGGACTAAGGAGAATCTCCATCCTTTACTGGATGCGGGGGGAAACTTAGTTACAAGAGATGAGGAAAAGGCGGAGGTGCTCAATGCCTTCTTTGCCTCAGTCTTTAGCGGCAATACCGGTTGTTCTCTGGATACCCAGTACCCTGAGCTGGTGGAAGGGGATGGGGAGCAGGATGTGGCCCTCACTATCCACGAAGAACTGGTTGGTGACCTGCTACGGCACTTGGATGTGCGCAAATCGATGGGGCCAGATGGGATCCACCCGAGGATACTGAGAGAACTGGTGGAGGAGCTGGCCAAGCCCCTATCCATCATTTATCAGCAGTCCTGGCTATCGGGGGAGGTCCCAGTTGACTGGCGGCTAGCAAACACGACGCCCATCTACAAGAAGGGCCGGAGGGCAGACCTGGGGAACTACAGGCCTGTCAGTTTGACCTCAGTGCCAGGGAGGCTCATGGAGCAGATTATCTTGAGTGTCATCACGCGGCACTTACAGGGCAACCAGGTGATCAGGTCAAGTCAGTATGGGTTTATGAAAGGCAGGTCCTGCTTGACGAACCTGATCTCCTTCTATGACAAAGTGACACGCTTGGTGGATGAGAAAGGCTGTGGATGTGGTCTACCTTGGTCTACCAGCAAGGCTTTTGACACCGTTTCCCACAGCATTCTCCTCAAGAAACTGGATGCTCGTGGCTTGGACTGGCACATGCTTGGTTGGGTTAGAAACTGGCTGGATAGCCGGGCCCAAAGAGTCGTGGTGAATGGAGTCAAATCCAGTTGGAGGCCAGTCACTAGTGGCGTTCCCCAGGGCTCAGTGCTGGGGCTGGTCCTCTTTAATATCTTCATCAATGATCTGGATGAGGGCATTGAGTGCACCCTCAGTAAGTTTGCAGATGACACCAAGCTATGCACATGTGTCGATCTGCTCGAGGGTAGGAAAGCTCTGCAGGAGGATCTGGATAGGCTGCACCGATGGGCTGAGGTCAACTGCATGAAGTTCAACAAGGCCAAGTGCCAGGTCCTCCACCTGGGGCGCAATAACCCCAAGCAGAGCTACAGGCTGGGAGATGAGTGGTTGGAGAGCTGCCTGGCAGAGAAGGACCTGGGAGTGATGGTGGACAGTCAGCTGAATATGAGCCAGCAGTGTGCTCAGGTGGCCAAGAAGGCCAACAGCATCCTGGCTTGCATAAGAAACAGTGTGGCCAGCAGGGCTAGCGAGGTGATCGTCCCCCTGTACTCGGCTCTGATGAGGCCGCACCTCGAGTACTGTGTTCAGTTTTGGAGCCCTCACTACAAGAAGGACACTGAGGTGCTTGAGCAAGTCCAGAGAAGGGCGACGAAGCCAGTGAGGGGTCTGGAGAACAAGTCCTACGAGGAGTGGCTGAAGGAGCTGGGCTTGTTCAGCCTGGAGAAAAGGAGGCTCAGGGGCGACCTTATTGCTCTTTACAGATACCTTAAAGGAGGCTGCAGTGAGGTGGGGTTTGGCCTGTTCTCCCATGTGCCTGGTGACAGGACGAGGGGGAATGGGCTAAAGTTGTGCCAGGGGAGTTTTAGGTTAGATGTTAGGAAGAACTTCTTTACCGAAAGGGTTGTTAGACGCTGGAACAGGCTGCCCAGGGAAGTGGTGGAGTCACCATCCCTGGAAGTCTTTAAAAGACGTTTAGATGTAGAGCTTAGGGATATGGTTTAGTGGGGACTGTTAGCGTTAGGTCAGAGGTTGGACTTGATGATCTTGAGGTCTCTTCCAACCTAGAAATTCTGTGTGATTCTTTTTCCTATACCTAGTTTTCATTCTGTGGTTCATTCTCCAAGCCCTGCTAATTCCACCTCATCATTCCTGCTTGAATAGAAGTTTGTGATTTGTCAGGCTGCATGTTTTTTATCCAGGCTTTCTCCTTCTGAACTGCTTCCAACCTTTCACAGAGGGATCAATCTAACTTTTTATTGCAGATTGACTAGGTTGCATATACTGCTTTCCTAGAGGTCTAGATAGGAATTTTGGGCATCCAGACAACCCTCAGAGATTTTAGCTGTCACTTTCAAGCAAATATGTTTAGAAATGTGTTAAAGAGAGCCTTTCCCTCCTCTGAACACAGATAATATAGAGCTACTCAAAAAACAAAACTGCTACCATATTAACAGAATTAAAAAGTGACTTTTTCCAAGTGTTCCTTCAATTTCAACCTGAGATAAAAAATAAATACATCATTAAACCAACAAAAAGGTGAAAAAATTCACATTGCATCCCCACCAAAGGTAGATAAAAATACTTATGTTCATGTAAGGATGGAAGGAAGAAGAAAAGAAGGGAAGAGGAAACAGGAATGCTTGCAGTGCTTGCTTTGAGTCCTAGTTTTACACATTTCATCTGGGACTTTTACAGCAAGTTCTTGCTAAAATATGATGCCAAGAACAACAAATTAAGGTGAGTCCTATTGTGAACAATTCAGTTTTAAGTACAGTATTATAAGTGTCCTATTTTCAGGCATCCTTTGTTGTTGTTTTTTTAAACATCGAAAAATATTCATGATAATCTAGCCACAAAAAGAGAAGTTTAAATACCTTGACTTCTTTTCGCTTGGTGTCTTCATCTGCTTCATGTTCCACCACACCTTGCGTCAGATTCGTATAGTTTGCTAGTTTATTAAGAAGAGATGACACCATGGGATTGCTATCCATTTCCTCCTGTAGGAATTTTAAGACAACTGTATTCATTAAAAAGTTTAAGTCACGATTTTATGACGCTACTTCAAACAAACTCAGCGGGCTAGCCCTGACTGACTCAAATCCAGAATCTAGCATGACAAAAGACTAGTCATCTGTCAATCAAAAGAAAGTTCTAAATCTTTTTAGAAGTTCAACGCTACAAGGCTATATTGCTTTTTTTAAAAAAAAATAAATAAGCAAACAATCTTACAATATGCAGCTTGTAAAGCTAGAATACAAGGGAAATCTAGAGAACAGCCATTATTCTAAAAATTATAGGGGACAATATTTATGGGATTGCACTAGCAGCATCAAGTTATTAGACACTAGCTGGATGTTAGAAAAAACACCTGAATAATTGCCTCTGATAATTCTCTCAAGCACCAAATATCTTCAGATTTGAGGACCTCTCAGGAACCACAATTCTTAAGGATCATTCCCAAACCTACAGTTGTAGGCTTTCAGATTTTTTTTTTTTTTTTTTATCTCAAAACATGCATACTACTTCCAAAGCATGCATTTGTTGAAAATACAGGCACATATATTCTTATGACACGTAATTAAACATACGTAACGTTACTTGACACAGCAGTCAGCCCATCTTTCTTCAGCCAAATATCTGCTACAAAACCAAAGCATGCTAAAAATAAAAATCCCAAAGAAGCACATATAATAAAACTATTCCAGGAAAACAGAACTAGGAAATTCAATCAAACATGCAAGATCAAACACTACAAGGTAGATGAGATTAGGATGGCAAACAGTAAGATATAAAAACTAAGGCATCTTTGCCTGAAGGCATTAAGTCATGATAATCACAGTCAACATACATTAACTTTTTTGTACTTTTGTATGAAAAAACAAGTCAACTGAAAACATGAGGCTAGGAAACATACAACAAAACACATGCTATGAAAAGATTGAACACTACATCAGCAATGGTGATGAAGTCACTAGAATGTTTTCAAGAAGACACTATAACAGCATGATCCATGATCTGAGATATGCAAAAGATAGTTTTCTTTATACCATCAGCTGAGGATTTAACATCAGGCAGTATTGAAAATAACTGATGCAAGCATATATTCAAAGTCGATTAGGGACAATGAAGAAAAAAGCAGCAAGTACAGAGATTTTATCAACACTGAGGAATACAGCGGCTTATTTGAACAGATAATTTGGGATATTAATGAGTTAAGAGTCTGAAGGAGAGAAATTCAGTGACTAAACTTGATCGTGGTTTCTGTCAAAAAACTATTTAAAAATTCTGTAAGTGACAAATAGACATTTAATGACTAACAACACTGATATCTAGCACAATCTTCTCTAAGATTTAGTGAAAAGTAGTAAAATCAAGCATTCTGGTTATACAGAAGAAGGGAACTGAAACATGTCTTCTGTGCAAAGATATTTAGAAGAAAGAAGGGAGGAGCATAAGAGGAAGACAAGAATGGTGGCTTGAATGCAACAGCAAGATGAGCAAGCAACGTAACAAAGACCTTGTTTATCAAAGCACCAAAGCAAGACCAGTAGATGCTACTGAAGTAAAACTTAAGCTAAACTTACTGAAAGTACCATTTCAACGTGAAAACAGCACTTAAGTGTACCATATCAATATACTTTTTTTGCCCTGTAAATGATTGTAATTACTCAGTGAATTAAACAGGCATTAAGCTTGCATTAAAAATCAGATGTTTATATTAGAAAGCATAAATACCTATGGTATGCTATACATTGTAACTGGACAATATATTTAAGTCATGGCCTATTGCAGCTTATAGCTTCGCTTCCTTAAAAAGTCTGTTTTTCCCCAGATCAACATAATATATTTCCCGATTCTTTTAATACTTGATAATGCTTTGTTAAAACTACTAGATTAAAACCTTCAGCAGTTATCAACAACTAATTCATAGACAACCAATTTTAAATGCAAGAAGGCTCATCTCTCCTCTTCATAGCAATGCATACCAACATTTACCAGTTTTGCATATATAAGCTAGAATATAGAAAAAAATGAGTTTTTTTTTTTTTATTACAGCATTCCAACCTGTTGAAATGTAATGTTTTTCCCACTAAATTTCCCACAGATTTTCCCCCACTATGCTAAATTTCAGAAAAAAGGGAGAGGGTTTTCCTTGTTTTCTATCTTACTACCACAACCTGAATTGAAGGTAACATATTTTCTTTTGTAATATTTTATAAAAAAAAAAAAAACTTACCTCAAAGAGAGCCATATTCTTTCCTTCATACTTATTTCCTCTGTCCATCTCCGCGTTATTAATAAATGGACTACTTTCCCTGGCAATCCCATCCCCTGCTGTAAAAGAAAACAACACAACAAGGTTTTAGCATAAAAGTGATGTTGAGAAGATACCATTTTAAGAATATTCCAGAAAACAAATGGAACTAGAGTCAAATTGCTGCTTCAAAAAGAGGACAATGACAAATTATCTATCTTGACAAGGAATCATCATTCTGAAAAATCTACAGATCACTTGATGTAGCTATATTGTTTTAAAAAGAAATAATTAGTTTTTGTTGCTGTTGTTTTTGTTTGCCCCCTTCCACTCCCCCCCCTTTTTTTTTCTTTTGAAGTCTTAGATTTCCAAAAATGAAAGGGTTCCCAAGGGTTAGTTCAAGAAGGTCTGAGTCAGTTGCAGAGACTGTGTCCACACCTAAGGAAATAAAATTTAAAACTTAATTTAATAGAGTAACCTTCGTAGAGTATTTTGTCTTTTAAACTTCTACATATTATCACCTCTCTAGTTTACTTAAAATCTCTCTTTAATAGAACTTGACATAAACCTTTGGGGGATGTAGGGGTATATTAAGCTAGCCTAACTTTTCCATACTTTATTGACTCCAATTAAAAAAAAAAAAAAGAAAAGAAAAACACTTCTGTAGTGTTGAGGCAGGAATTTATGCAAAAAGCTACAAAATAATTCTTTTTAGAAAAGCTGCAAAAGTTGTGGGGATCTAGGATTCTTGGGCTCTATATCTATGATTCTTCAATGAGACGCCATACTTATTCATTTCCTTACTGAAATATCAGTCTCACAAAGCTGTAGATCCCCTGACCTGCTCTAAAACACCTTCTTAAAAAAAAAAAAAAAAAAAAAAAAAAAAAAAAAAAAAAAACCTACAGCATCACTTCCCCTAGTTTCCAGTCCATACAATACAAGAGGAGTTACGTGCTTGTAACTGTCACAACACTGGAATTCAGAAATAGCCTCAAGTCCTTTGCTTGTGCTTTTTGGCCTTATATTTTGTTACAGCAACAACACTTACACAGTCTTTTCACCACATAATTAAAAAAAAAAAAAGCTGGAGAACAAACTGTTCTTTTCTGTGTATTCTCCACTCCATCCTTCCAGCACACTTTTTTTTCCCCACACAAAGTCCCAGAACAATGTTATTACTGAGACACCAGAAGGCAGTCTCAGCACTTCAAGTACTATCCCAGTTGTAATAAGAGAAAAATAGATCTCAGTCCTTCAAGCAGATGAGACAGAATATCCTTCAGGAATGTTGTCAACCAGTCTTCATAGCTCCCTTAGATTTACAGTATCACAATACTTACTAGTATCAAGAGAGATGCAAAAGATAGCTGTTATCCATTAGGCCTCTAGAATTTATTCTATGGTCCAGAGAAGATTCATCCACAATCTACTGTTCTTATCTAGGATTCTACCATGATGTCCAGCTTTTGTTTTTCTGTTTCTCTACTTAAGCTTGTATCATCTATCCCACTGCTTCAAGTCCTACAACCTAAATATTTCCCACTCCACTGACCAGCTACCAAGCTTGTGTGTAGGTTTGTTGTTTGGCTGTTGTTGTTGGGGAGGGGAGAATGAGGGGAGAAGCTTGTTTTGTGTAGTGTGCATTTTGTTGGTTTTTGTTTGCTTGCTTTTTACAGAGCATGGTAGAATGTGCCAGTTTAGTACATGATTATCAGAGAAATTGGCATTTATCAGCTCTGTTGGACTCCTAGAGAACAGTTCAGTTAGTATTGCTATAGCCAATAAAAAGCAACCGTTCCCACTCAGATACATGCTGATTTCTTACATCTTCACACTAAGGCATACAAGTACTAAAACTTCTTAGTTTCTTAACAGAATTACTGGAGCATTATTTTCTTTCAGCTGCATTCCTTGAAATGACTAATGTTATTTATGCTTAAGTTTTTTAAAAAAATATTTCTTCTACAGCCAATTCCCAAATTAAATAAACCTCTTCCATTGAATGAGATTTCTTAATATTTTTCTTGCTAAGCACTTCCATTAACTTTTCTTGTTCGGTAAGAGATGGTATCTGTACTTACTAGCTAAATATTAATACTTCCAAACCCTTTAGGAAGGAATAGTCTTCCAAAAAAAAAAAAAAAAACTGGGGAATTTCAAGTATTTTTTTATCTTCATGCAGTGTGTAAAGTCAGAGTTGCTACTCAGCAGCAATATTATTAGACTATACAAAGTATCAAAAGGGCAAGCTAATAATGTGAATCAGTATTCATAATTCTGTTACTAAGGAATATAGTTTTGTCTTACCAGTTCTGGAGATAAAATGAACACCTCAGCACTGCATTTTGAGTATTTAAAATTGTAGGTAAGTGAATAGTAAAGTCCTCTGTTATATGCTTGGGTTTCTTGGATTTGTTCCAGTAGGAAAGAGCTCATCATAGAGATCATCATCTCTAACAAACAAGTCCTGTCAAATGCACCTAGCAGACTTCAAATGTAAAAACAAAAACCTAGGGTTCATGCTCTTCATATTTTATTTTTTTTTTTAAACATTTCCAGCTGACACTGCAACTCTTTTAAAGCTTTCCAATATTACTCTTTGATATAGTCTGTCACCGCCAGGCTTTATAGAAATCTCGCAGTGTTTTTTTTTTTTTTTTTTTTTTTTTTTTTTTTAATACCCTGTACTCTCTTTTCATGTTTTGCCAATATTTATTTCATCATTTTCATTCTACTTGACATGGTCTTATTTGATCAGCATTATCTGTTTCAACAGTTTTCGTTGTTGGCTTTTTTTTTTTTTTGACAAAAGACTAACTGCAAAACTTTAACTGCAAAAAAAAAAAAGAGTAACTGCAAAAGTTTTTTTGACAAGTAGTCTCTTATTTCCAGTTTATTCACTATTCCTACGTTTATGAACAGCTTTTTACATGCTTTTCCCTTTGAAATTGCCTCAAACTCCCCTCTGGTGTGTGGAGGCAAGTTTTATATACAATAAAAATGATCGCTTCCAAAGTCTTAGATATTTGTCTAATGCGCGTATCTTCTGGAATCCAGTTAAAGCTTACGCAGTGTGACTAGTACCTCTTGACACTTCCAGTTAAAGCACTCAAAAATCTGCATTTAGCATTGTTTGATTTGTGAATGGAATTCAAATATGATGGTTTCCAGGCATCATCTTAAACCTGGACCAGACTAGCAGTTCATGTGAGGCAGTAATTAATCTTGGAACACCACTGGTATTAGAAGATCCATAAGAAAAGTAAAATAAAAAAAAAAAAAACAAAAAACAAAAAACATTTATCTGTTTCATATGGTTTGACATGTTTCCTGGTTTTTATGACACACCAAAAAATACTGTTGATGTGACACTCTATTCCACCTTACATAAGGTGTGCAACGCCTAAGCTTTAGAAATAACATACCCTCTGCTTCCCCCACCTCAGTTATATACTTTCTAAAAATTATCATCATTAATTTACTATGACAAGTTCACATACCATAGCACAGCTCCATGCTTTCTGATGGACCGGTAGGTAAACAAACTAAAGCCACAACTAATGTACCTTTACTGGAAGTCTACATGGTATTTGTTTGTTTATTTATGGGACATGCAAAGGCTATTCCTCCTAATTTTTACATCCACCTGTAGTGGGTTTACGTGGCAAGGGTTTGGTAACAGGGGGGCCATAGGGGCGGCTTCCGTGAGAAGAATCTAGAAGCTGCCCCCATGTTAGTTAAGGGCCCCACTGCTGACCAGAGCTGAGCCAATAATCACAGAATTTCTAGGTTGGAAGAGACCTCAAGATCATCGAGTCCAACCTCTAACCTAACACTAACAGTCCCCACTAAACCATATCCCTAAGCTCTTCATCTAAACGTCTTTTGAAGACTTCCAGGGATGGTGACTCCACCACCTCCCTGGGCAGCCCGTTCCAGTGCCTCACAACCCTTTCAGTAAAGAAATTCTTCCTAACATCTAACCTAAAACTCCCCTGGCGCAACTTTAGCCCATTCCCCCTCGTCCTGTCACCAGGCACATGGGAGAACAGGCCAACCCCCACCTCTCTACAGCCTCCTTTAATGTACTTATACATAGCAATAAGGTCACCCCTGAGCCTCCTCTTCTCTAGGCTGAACAAGCCCAGCTCCTTCAGCCGCTCCTCATAGGACTTGCTCTCCAGGCCCCTCACCAGCTTCGTCGCCCTTCTTTGGACCCGCTCAAGCACCTCGATGTCCTTCTTGTAGCGAGGGGCCCAAAACTGAACACAGTACTCGAGGTGCGGCCTCACCAGAGCCGAGTACAGGGGGACGATCACCTCCCTAGCCCTGCTGGTCACAGTGTTTCTGATACAAGCCAGGATGCCGTTGGCCTTCTTGGCCACCTGAGCACACTGCTGGCTCATATTCAGCCGACTGTCCACCATCACTCCCAGGTCCTTCTCTGCCTGGCAGCTCTCCAACCATTCCTCTCCCAGCCTGTAGTTCTGCTTGGGGTTATTGCGCCCCAGGTGCAGGACCCGGCACTTGGCCTTGTTGAACTTCATACAGTTGACCTCAGCCCATCGGTGCAGCCTATCCAGATCCTCCTGCAGAGCCTTCCTACCCTCGAGCAGATCGACACACGCACCTAGCTTGGTGTCATCTGCGAACTTACTGAGGGTGCACTCAATGCCGTCATCCAGATCATTGATGAAGATGTTAAAGAGGACCGGCCCCAGCACCGAGCCCTGGGGGACGCCACTAGTGACTGGCCTCCAACTGGACTTGGCTCCATTTACCACAACTCTTTGGGCCCAGCTATCCAGCCAGTTTCTAACCCAACGAAGTGTGCGCCAGTCCAAGCCAAGAGCAGCCAGTTTCTTGAGGAGAATGCTGTGGGAGACGGTGTCAAAAGCCTTGCTGAAGTCAAGGTAGACCACATCCACAGCCTTTCCCTCGTCCACCCAGCGCGTCACTTTGTCGTAGAAGGAGATCAGGTTCGTCAAGCAGGACCTGCCTTCCATAAACCCATGCTGGCTGGGCCTGATCGCCTGCTTGCCCTTCAAGTGCCGCATGATGACTCCCAAGAGGATCTGCTCCATGAGCTTCCCTGGTACTGAGGTCAAACTGACCGGCCTGTAGTTCCCCGGGTCTGCCCTCCGGCCCTTCTTGTAGATGGGCGTCACATTTGCTAGTCGCCAGTCAGCTGGGACCTCCCCCGATAGCCAGGACTGCTGATAAATGATGGATAGGGGCTTGGCCAGCTCCTCTGCCAGTTCTCTCAGTACCCTCGGGTGGTACTAATAAGCGATGCTGTTTGCTCCTCTGTGAAAGCATATTTAAGACAGGGAAAAAAAAACACTGCCACACAGCTGGGAGAGTGAGAGGAGTGAGGAACAGCCTTGCAGGCACCAAGGTCAGTGAAGAAGGAGGGGGAGAGGTGCTCCAGGCGCCGGAGCAGAAGTCCCCCTGCGGCCTGTGGTAAGGACCATGGTGAAGCAGGCTGTCCCCCTGCAGCCCATGGAGTACCACGGTGGAGCAAGGTTCCACGCTGCAGCCCGTGGAGGAGACCACGGTGGAGCAGGTGGCCCTGCACCGACAGAGGCTGCTGCCTGTGGAAGACCCCTGCCGGAGCAGATTCTGGGCTGGACCTGTAGCCCATAGAGAGGAGACCATGCAGGAGCAGGGAGTCTGGGGGGAGCTGCTGCCCACCCATGGGGGACCTGTGCTGGAGCAGTTTTCTCCTGGGGGATGGACCCCGTGGTATGGAGCCGTGTGGGAGCAGTGCTTGAAGAGCTGCTGCCTGTGGGCAGCCCCCGCAGGCTCAGTTCACTATGGACCGCATCCCCTGGGAGGGACCCCACAGCACAAGGGACAAGAGTGATTGAGAAGGAGCAGCGGCGAAGAAGCACTATGGGCTGACCATAACCCCCATTCCGCTGTTCCCCTACGCCACTTGGGGAAGAGGAGGTAGAAAAGGGGGAAGGTGCTTTTGGTTTCTTTCCTTTGTTTCTCACTTCTCTAGCTTGTTAGTAATAGGCAATAAATCTTACTGTCTCCCTATGCTGAGTCTGTTTTGCCTGTCACAATAATTACTGTGCGATCTCCCTGTCCTTATCTCAACCCTTGAGCCCTTTACCATCATATTTTCTCCCCATTCCTCTCTAGTACAATTAATGAGAAGAGCAACTATAGCTATTATAACAACCCAGCCCCCAAACCAATCTATCAGTTTTCCAATTGCAGATGCAATGTAACCCACACAAGTTATTACGAACTTATAATAACTTAGGGTTGTGTTAGCCCGAAGTTCAGAACTGCCAAGGTCATCAAATAATTTCTCGTTAACATTTCCAGGCACCAAACAAAACTTATGTTTGAAATAAGTCTGCATTCAAAGTGCTGGTCGTAAAGCCAAAGCAGCACATTGTTCAAATTCTCATTCCTCAAAAGTTTCGTGAAGAGTAGTGACCCTCACAATCATTGATAGGTAGAATACTTTAAGGTACATTACCAATAAAAAAAAAATCTAAACAAATCCTAACAAGTCGATTTTATGCAGCACAAGATGGAGCTCAACAGTATATATTTACAATCAATGTAAACAGGCAGAGACCACTTTGCCACAAAAAAGGTGTCTCTCGTCTTATAACTTACCCAATCCTGATCTTCACACAAACAGAACTGTAAACTATTCAGCAGGGGTTGGTGGAGTAATACAGAGTTCAAAGAGAACTATTTTGCTTTTATTTTCATTTTTTTTGTTGTAATTTTGAATCCAGTTGAGTTTGTGTTCACTACACAAGTGCTTATGCTGTCACTACAGAGACAAGAATAAGGACAGGAATAAGTGGCCTGAGTAAGCAAAAACACTTCTTTAGCACTGATGACAACCTAACTAAATCATAGAACAATAGCCCTTGCCCTCCTCCTCCACAATTCAAAAGAGTTGGAACATTAAAAAATAGAAGTATTACAGGTATCTTGTCTTAGGGAAAATGACAGACCAGAGCTTGGGAATTGAGAAGGCAGTCATCTAAGTGATCCTAAATTTGCACTAAAATGCCTGTTTAAGAGATTAAGGACAAAAATATTAGACCATCTAATCTTATTTCCTGTCTTTCCACAGGTTACAGAATTTCATTAGGCTCTACAAAATTTGAGAAAACATGCTGAGATTTGACCCTCACGTTTTCAGAATTGAAATAAAAATAAAATGGTAGATATTTTCCTGTTATGATTCAGATTTTTTAATTAGAGGAAAAATCTCAAAGAATTGTTCCTTATTTCTGCATTTGAATTTGGATCTTCACATTCCTATCTGTAACTTCCTAGTATACCTTCCAGATTTAACCACTTGCACTCAGCATTTTCCATCCATGAAGGTTACAATACTTATCAAGTTTCTTAAACTCCTTTTGGAAAAACTAAACCAACTAAGTTCATGAAGCATTCTCCTAATCTCCAGTCATTTTTATGGCAACATCCTTTCCAGTTTTTAAGATATATAAGAAAAATACAAACTCTAAAAATCAAATACAGCCTTCTACAGTCTCATTTGTGCTATTTACAGAAGTATAATAATCACCTTTCTGCTGCAAGGATCATGCTCTTTACCACAGCATTAAACCAAGATCATGCTCTTCTATTCCAGTCTGACCCCTAAATCCTTTCCAGATTCACTGCTTCCTCGCTGTTCCACACCAGACCTGTCACATACTGTTCACATTCAAGAAGTAGTCCCATTTGCCTTTGTATTCAAACAAATTTTGTCCAAACAAGTCCGTATGGCAAGCATCTATGTCTCCTTTTATACTGCAACAAATTAACATTAATCTGAGAAAAAAAAAAGCAGGTTATTTTTTAAATGGCAAAAGAATACAGCTATTTCTCACTTCTCTGAAAACCATCTAAATTGAACCACATGGCCACAAATCAGCTTGGCCTTGATAAGTCCTCTAACAAACTAAGCAACAGGTACATTTAAAAAAAAAAAAAGACACTACATTTTCAAATGGCAACTCTTAATCACAGCCCATGTATGTGCATTGAAGTAGGATCTGGTTAGCAAGGTACAATGATCTTTCTAATAAAAACTATGATAGGCATTTCATGAAGTTAGTATTGGGTTGTATTAAGAACAAACCACTATACAACGAAAACATGAAGGTAAGATCCTGTTTGTAAAAACAGGAAAAAAAAGCATCTATTGTTTATGTAAATAAATGTTTTAGGGTTAAAAAAAAAAAATGAGAAGTCACTTAAATGAAATATCAAAATGTCATGTTGCCTGTGGCAAAAAGCATAAATTCCATCTTCTTCATGATGCATATTTACTTCCTGTATGTCTTTTTTTTTTTTTTTAAATTAGCAGGCAATAAAAGGACTCAGACAATCTTAAAATTAGATTTCTCACCCCTCCTACTCCAAAAACGTATAGAAGTATTCTCTGGAGTGTTAAAGTAAACCCAAATTTTTCAAAAACAATTGCCTTACTTAAATTCCAATTAGGAAAAGACATCAATAACTTTGTTTCAACACAGCTTCACCAGCACAATTTTTTTGTTTGTTATTTTTTTTACATTGAATGGGCTTAGGAAGTCAGTGCAATCTACTTCATTTCAAAGTGATACTTTTAAAATAAGTGTCTACATATTTTTAACAAATCACCTAATTTCTTGCATTATCACCACCAATGACTAGTACAATTTAAGCTTCCTTGAAAAGCAGTACATGACGTACTTAACCTCCTTGTAAACCCCTTCATATAATGGAGGATGCCAGTACTGCATCCCTTCCCTTATCAACATCACTAATTTTTTTCATTTTCCTTTACTTAGGCTATTATAATTAAGCATAGTGTCATTCCAATGAAAGCATACTAGAAAGACATTTTATAAGTTCTTCACAGGACAGCTATAAGTATAGAACCTGATACTTAACTGAAATAACCATTACAACACAATACTGCATATATAGAGACTCACTTGGATTTTGCCCACTTTCTTCATTATCTTGCTCATTCATAATTAAAGTAAATCAAATCATTCTTCTCTGCTGATTCTTCATGCATCAGGAATGGAAACAAACTGACAGTTACCTCTTCCCAGCTTTGCTTAAGACCTCAAATCCTGTTTCTTACTAGTAAGGGATTAATCCTGAAAGAAGTCATTAAGGTTTCATGAACTGTAACCAGGCACATGACAAAGCCAAACTATATGACAGTCACAAACTCTCTGATCAGAATCCAGCTGCAGGATTTCTGTTAGCAATAAACACTGTGCTTAGTGAAATGGGCAGGATCAAGTTAATAAAAAAACATCTCTTTACCTAATAATAGCTACTGCTTAAGGTTTTCTTCACATCAAATAAATTCACCTCGAGAGACTTATAAAAAGATTGGTAAACACTAACAAGTAGTAGTAACCTATTTCACAGATTTATGTAGTATCAAAAAAGTTAGTTTTATGCATTAAGTACATATGAACAGATCTTATGCAAATGTAGTTGCTAAAGAATGGTTTTATGTAGGAAGAGCTCGTAGTTTTGTACTTAAGATGTAACAGATAAATAAAACACTTTAAAATATAATCCTAGCAACTTTGGAAGCACTCTTTATAATTTCAAAATACTTGTCTTAAAAAGGGGTCCCCTTTACAACTTGGGTTAGAAGTTGTATATCTAATTTGAAAGAGTATTAACCATTGTTTTCTGGTTTATGCATTAACTTATTTTACGCATTCTGCACTAGCCTCAAGCAACTTCATACAAACTATTTCAATTCTATTAAACTGATGTTATTGCTTAGAACAGACTATTCTTCCTGTGGTCTAACCTTTGCATCAAAGCTGAAATCTACTTTTCCCTGTGACCTTAACGCTTACACTAAAAAAAAAAAAAAAAAAAAAAGGTCACCTGTGGAAAGGCTAGAAGGCTCCTTCCAGGAACATTTCATAAAGCTCCTCTTGCAAGACCTGCTTTAAGTGAGTGATACTGCAAAAAGCCTGGCTCTTGTCACTCCTCGTTTTGACTCCTACACCTCTCCCATCCCATCAAAAAAAAAAAAAAAACAACAAAAAAACACACAAAAGCAACAACAAAAAAAAAACAGCTTGTGGACCTGAGGAGCACTGTACAAGTTGTGCCAGCAGAGGGAGATAGGACTAATCAATGGCAGCGAGCGATTCGATTGCTCCTGTCCTGGTAAGTTTCTATCAGGCCAATTCTAAGGTAACAAAGCCAAGTTCTTACTTCCATTGAAAATATGACAGCTTCCCATTCTTCAAGATAGAAATAATCTACTAAAAGGTTTTACTCACTTCAAGCAAGCAGGCTTGCAAGAAGAGGCTTTCAGTGTTACAAGGCACAAACGTGTCCCCCTGTTAGAAGGCAAGAAACAGAGTAAGTTTTTCCTTTCTTCTTCCAGAAAGAGTGAGATCTTAATTTGTTCAGATACATACTAATTTTCATAATAAATGTTTTTTAAAGCAGCTGCAGCTATACACATCATAGTATGCACAAAACATCCTCCTTATTGAACTGGTACATCCAATACAGTAAAGTAGGAAAACAAATATTACCCAATTACACAAGCACCACCACATGAACCAGGAAAGGGTTATGAGAACCTATTTGGAGAGTAATTACAAGAATCTATTTTTGAACAATGGAACCATGCTGGGTAAAAGGGGAAAGAAATCCTTAGAAGTTCATTATTTCTACTCAAATCCAGAAAATAAGTTTTTGATAAAACTATAGTTCATCAGTTTAGAGAGCAAATAAAAATAATTTGCATTATTATTAAGGTGGTGATGTGCATTGAGATGGCAGTGGAACAACGCTGCTGTTCTACAGCAAGCTGACTCACGGAAATAAAGCCTATTAAAAAAAACCTTCATGTTCCTATTATAGCCAGTTTCTTGCTGTTTTGACTCCCTAAAACAGTCCACAAACAGTAATACTGGAGACAGACCTAGTTTATTCAGCAGCACCTATTATGATCTGCTATGCTTTAACATCTTGACTACATATCCCTTACCAAAGGCAGCCTTTACAATGCTTGAGATTTTAACACATGGGTAACAATAATCTTAAAAATTATACCATAATAAAACATTACGAGCAAAGTTTTGCTATGAAAAACTAATAAAAAAACAGTTGCACCAGAAAAATTTTGTTCACCATATTCTGATGACTGCAAATATATCATTAAGAAAAGAAAGCCAGATTTCCAACAATAAAATGATCAAGAGATCTCAGTAACAATATTTTCATTACTGGATCAGAGAATTTAACATTATGAGGGTTTTTATCACTATATCTGATAGTCTCAAATTGTTTTAGAACTAGAATTTAGCTCTTGGGCAGTAAGTCCTATATGGGAATGTCAGCATTTAATTTACATGACATCAACAGAATTGAATAAAAATAATAATTTGTAGTCCGTATCAAGCAGTTACTTATGGTTCTCCTTCTGTAGAGGAGAAAACACTGTAACAGTCTAAAAACATTTAAACAGTTACAAAAGTGAAATTATTTAGTTCATTATCCTTAACTCTCTCTCATTCCAACTTACTTCCCTTGTAGCTATTAATAGAGCAGAAACACTTGAATTAAATTGGCTACATACATCATTTTGAAATGGTGAATGGACCAATTAGTCTCTTGGCATAGCTAGGCATACATCTGGAGATGACCTGGACAGCCAATGCCCCTTGCAGCAGAGAAAAATCCTACATGCTTCAACCACACCTGTGGTCAATTGTCAGATGTGCCTTTCTCTGCAAGAGGAACAGCACTCTCCATTCCAAAACTGCATTATTCAGCACGCCAAGAGGCAGGGGGAAAGTAACCAATAACTTCTCTAAAGGGAGACTGCCTCACAAAGCTGAAAGTGCTTGTTGAGAGAATCAATGAGAATGGAAATTGAATTAATGTAGTCTGCCATCAGGATCTCTGACTCAGTCTGCCAAGACATTTGAAATGAAATTCACTGAACACACTTAAAGAAATAAAATGACCATGGACTGAAAGAGAAGATCTCAGATAAGACATCAGTAAATGAGTAAGAAAAAAGACAAGCATGGTCTACTCAGACAAGGGTAATAGTCAGATGGCTCTTTAAGTTGTGCTGAGACACATACTGTTCCATATATTAATAAAATGCAACAACAAAAATAATTAGGTGACCAGAGATATGACAGTTGGAAACTCTTTCAAGTTATTTAGCTTAGTCAAGACACTAGGTAGTTGTGAAGTGCTGCAGAGGACCTTTGAGACTAAATGGACATTAACACAACAGGCAAAATTCAACATAGTACTGTAAAAGTCGGTATTTACATACATGAAGGAAAACAACCCTAGATAGTATGGCTCCGAGCTAGCTGATTCTTATCTTTCATAAATGAGATGCTCTGTTTAAGACTTTCATAAAAAACACCTGTACAATGATTGTTTTTCAAAACACAGCTTGAACATTGGGAATGAAAAACAAGAAGTCCATGTTAGACAAAGGTATAAAAAGCAGAGTCCATTCAAAACATGATTACTGCACACTGTTCTTGAACCTCCACCTTTCTGAAATGAACAGAAGTAGAAAAAGTTCAAGAGAAAGACAGTAACGGGAACAAGTAGTAAGCAATGGTTCCCACATAGAATGACTTACATGTAAAATACTCCGTTTGTAAAGTGAGAGGGTTGAGATGGGAATAGGTTTATAAAATCATGAGTAGTCTAGAAAGGGATTGGCAGGCATTAGCTTGGTTCAGAAACAAACAAAAAAGAGGTAATATGCCACTGAGCAGCAGAATTTACTGCCGGTTTCTGATATACCAAAACCACATTATCGTCCTGACAACATAGGAGAGACATGCTGGGTGTATTTAGAATAAAAATAGAATTAGAATTTGATTCATTTTTCCTTATTTTTGTGTTTACATTTTAAATCAAGTTTTACAGAAGCCTCAGCTATATCTGACCCACAAGTGGTTGGAGTCTGGAAGAACACGGAAACAGTATCACATTCACCAGCCCATGCATATCCCTAGACAACAGCATCAGCCTCTGGCCAGTACTGGAAACACCGTGCACACCGCTGATTCTTTATCCCTTTCTATCCTGCTTACGTATTTAATCTATGGAGATTTAAATAAGTGTGAAGATATGGAGAAACCGCAAGGGGATGAAGCAGAACACAAAAATGTAATGTATTTTTCTGTGCAGCAAGTTATGAACTGTAGACTGGTCCTGTGTTTAAGCAGAAGCAGACAGAAAATCAACTACAAACATCAGTGAGATTAGCCTGTCTTCCCTCCATTGCATATATGCACCCTCAACTATCCCTTTGTTTTCCTGGAATTAGCATTTTTCAGAAATTAACAGAATCCCCACGTAAGTACAAATGCTATGACTTCTTGGGAACCGATCAAGTTTGTCATTGATATTCCTTGTAATTGAGGTTCTTCAATTTAAGTTTTTTTTTTTGTAGGAGTTATTTGTCATATTGGTTTCTAAATAAGACACTGCTGTGGCTAGGTACATAACACTAGAGGATGCTAGTTACGTTCCAAAACATCTGATGTGTTGAACTTGTAATGAAAGACAAATTTGATTGATTTCAAAGTTTTTACAGGTCTATACTGTAGGCAGTTATTACTGACACATGTGAAGAACAAAAAACATAAGTTCTTGTAAAACTTCATCCATTACTCCCCCCACAACAGATCACTCTTTCCTTCTGTTCTTTCACTAATTACTATTTCCTAAGCACTATTCCCTTACAGGGAACTATAAGATCACTGAACAAGATAGGTACACATAAATATATACAAAGTACCAGGAGGAATCTGAGTCAGTAAGGCCCCAAACTTCAGCTGTATCGTTCAATCCAAATGTTAATTTCTGCCCTTCCCCATTACTCTTCATCACAAATCCTACTGAAGCCAGTACTATAATCCAGCCAAGCAGCCACTCATGTAAGCTTCCACCTCCTATGCACGCATATAAGCATCACACAATCAGAAAATACAAGGCTAGAATTTCAAGTGTTTATGGATCGAAGAATGTAGAGAGTAAGAACATCCCAGTTTACTCTTATCACATAGATGAGTATCAGATGAGAATGTATGAAAAAGGGAGACTACACAGAAAAGTTTATAATAAATCAACAGAACTATTTTACTTGCAATACACACTTTGAAAAAAAAAAATGACTAGCATAGTCAAGGCAATTTCAGAACCATTATTTATACGTTAGCCATACAATTCAGTTAAAACTGATAAAATTCTAGATAGCCCAAACAATAAGATTATATGCTGAGCTATATAGGCTAAGGGTGATCTCAAGAAGGTCTTATTCCACCTGTTTTCTTACTCCAACCTCTACTCCCAGCTGTACCCTTCTTCCACCTTTTTACAACAATTTAGCAACAATGAGAATTTTAGCAATTCTCACTTTTTACAGCACTCATTCACTTCAACCCCCAAACCAGAAAACGCATGTTTTTCCCCACTGCACTAGTTCTGTTTTCTGCTAGTTTTAACATAAGCCTTTAGATGGGCTTAACCACAGTATCTTTTAGCTGATGTTAATATTAACAAATCCAATATTTAGGATTTCTTAAAGCTCTCAGAAGACTGAATGAGTTAAGGATAACTGTTTGATTACAGAGCATTAATCTAACGATCTCATGCATTACAGGTTTACATACCACAGATACCTGTATAATACCTAAGGCAACAGTACGTATGCTGTTTATTTCCTCAACCTCTGTATCCAAGTATAGCATCTAATCTCTCTTACTGAACTTAGACCTCTCTGACTGTACCTCATCTACAGGTCGAAAAAGCTTTTTCAGTGCTTTCCTCTCTACTTGCTATTTACAGATCCATTAACAGGAAAAAATATATTTAAATTCATCAGCTCCGGTGATGGATTTCTAGAAGACTATAATCTAAACAATGTGCAAATGTAACTCTCAGGCCCACATAAAATCTCCTTAATTATATGAAAAATTAAGAACCCTTACACCCTGAAAAGATTATAAATAAACCATTACAGAAGCACCAGCTCCACTCTTCCCTTTTCCAACCCTGCAAGATTTCTTTCTGAATGTTCCAGACTTTCCAGATGCTTCATATATATGCACACTCTAACAACACATGTCTAGCCATACTCATATTTATGTTCAGTATTTTGAGATGTGATATGGCCTAACACCACACTCTGTGCCTTTCTAACTACCTTATCACTGTAAGGAAAGCCGCCTAAACAGATTAATTCTGTGTTGCAGTCACTCTTCAGAAACTCACTTTTTTTCTGCCTTTTATCCAGCCAGTATAGGAATCAAACTGCTCTCAAAGTTTATACTGTTTATGACTTCCTATTCAATTTAGTTTAAGAATAACAACAACAAAAACTTTAACAAAAATTGCCAGTTGCTCGTTATTTCAACATACTGAAGGAAATGCAACTACAAATAACATGAGACTTTTTCAGGGAGGTTGGGGGGCGAGGGGAGCAAGTGCTGTGGGAAAACAAATGAACAAGTGCTCAAACACGGATGGTGTTGGACTAGATCATTAAAGTTCCCTTTCAACCAAACCATTCTATAATTCTGTAACAAACAACCCAGTTTTGTCAGCTTGTTTTTCTTGACCACCTTTCCAAGAAATCTTTATTTTCATTCATTTGTGCATAATTAACTTTGTCAAATATTTGTTTTCACATCTTCGTTTTCACATCCTGCATCATATGGTATTAACCTTATTTTATCTGTGACCTATATCACCAGCAGGAGAAACGACCATTATGACAAACTTCCTTTTTACAACTTGTCTTTTCACCTGTAATCATCTAACATCTAAATAAAAAAAAATAAAAAAATAAAAAAATGTATTAGGAACATGTTTTGACTGCGATAGAGCATCCAAAATAATATGCAAGATTCAACCAGCTTTCAGTGCTAGCCTGTTCAGGGACCACTCTCGGCACTGCTGCTGCAACACACTTTGGAAAGAGGAAGTGTTGAGGGCTTTTGAGCCAAAGGAAAAAAGAGTTATTACTTCCCTGGAAGGGCCTTGCTATCCGAGCAACAAAAGCTCTTATTTTCCCACCACTGCTTGCGGACAAGCACCCATTCTGTCACGGAACAGGCTGCCCTGAACAGAGTCCTGCCCTGTCCAAGCTCCACCTCGGGCTCGATCCTCCTCACCTCGATGGCACCGTGAGTGAGGCCTAGTAGAAGCAAACCGTCCCTCACGCACTTCCATCAGGTAAAAAACCTACAGATGCTGATGCACAGGCACACAGCCAGCCAAACACCTGAAACGATCCAGGTACGGTTACGCTCTTCTTCACAGTCAGAAATCTTTCCTCCTCTCTCTCTCTCGAGCTGACCCGGGAGTACTTCCTCGTCGGGACCAGCGTGGAAACAGAGCGAAACAAACTCTCAGCCACCCCAAGGCGCCGGACTTTCGTCCTCTCCCGCACTTCCCCCACCTGAGCAGGGCAGGCGGACCCCGCCGCCCGGCGGGACCAAGAGCCTGGCTCCCCGCACGCAATCACACCAACACCCGGCGCCCAACCCCCCCCCTCCCCTCCATCCCCCCCCTCCTGTCTCTCTCACTGGAGCCCCGCTCCCCGTTGTCCTCTTCCTCCTCCTCCTCCTGCTGCTGCTGCTGCTGCTGCCGCCGCGCATCGCGCTCCGCCGGGTCCCGCTCCTCGCCCTGCGCCTCCACCGGCACCACGGTGAAGTTGGTCGGCATGGCCCCGCCGCCCCCCGCGAAGCTCCCGCAAGGCGCCGGCACCTCCCCGAGGGAGGCAGCGGGCAGGGGCAGGGGCAGGCGGGCGCCACCGCCTCCTCTTCTCACGTGAGGGCCATTTCCTCACGCAGCGGGAGGGGGGGGCCGGCACCAAGCCGCCGCCTCCTCCTCCTCCTCCTCCTCCTCCTCCTCCTGCCAGCGCTGCCAGTTACAGGCGGCCTAGGCGCCGCCAGGGGAGGGGAGACTCCGCTGCGAGGTCGCCTGGTGCGCCCAGGTGGGGAGGGGAGGGCTTGTTTGCGGGTATGCGGCTCCCCAGGTGGGAGCTGAGGCAGCCTGCATGGAGCTGGGTTTGTTCTGCTGCAGAAGTGGGTCCAACTAGTGCCATTGGGTAAACACTACACGCAACACACCTTCTTCTCCTCAAATCTTGCCTCGCACATCTGCCTGCAGCACCAGGACTGCCAGGCTGCTGCTGCTCCTCTGATCCCAGCAGATGGAAACCAACTTCCAAAGGAAACCAGAGCCAGACCATAGTGTACTGAACCTCCAAGGCATGACAGCATCCAGAAGCCCCATGCAGAAGCTCTGCAGGTCACCATTTAGACGAGTAGAAGAGGAAGACCTCTGCGCACACTGGCATTACCAAATGCAGATGGTTCTCAGATACCTGCTCCCCTACACAGCGGCTGTGGGTTGTAGAGGACAGCAGAAGCCTCCACGTTCCTTGCTCGAGTAAACGTGTGAACTCCAACGTAGAGTGAAGCAGATTCCGAGAATCAGTGGATGGCCTGATTAAAAAAAAAATTAATGATGTAGCATTAGTGATGAGCTCTTGATTATCCTAAACATCCTTCCCAGAGTAGGATTGTAGCATCTCCACTCCAAAAGTGGGAAAAAAAGGCTTGGAAACTAAGGTCCTTTTTTTTTTTTTCTTCTCCTGCTCTTCTCCCTTCCCAGCAAAGTGTTAGAATAGAGCAGGACTCTTATCATTTTGGTGCATATCTATGCATTTTTGAAGAAGACTCTGAATGGTCTGCAAGTCCCATACCTCAGTGGGATGGAAGATGTCTACTTAATGCACTGTCTGATGGAGTAGACGCTTCCAAAGAAGGGGGATTCTGGCCATCAGAGATGGCAGGGAAGTGTACCCAGATATGGTGGGATAGATGGCAGGTCAGCAACAAAAGGAGAGGGAGAGAGGCATGGTAACTGATGTCTGGTATGGTCTTGGCAATTTGCCCTCATTCAGTCTGTAATATAACTACAGTAATGAGAAGATGGCTGCATGAGAAAGGACTTTCTTTCTCAGAGATGTGTCTCCTCACCCTTTCCCTGGGTTTTCCAAGCTACAGAAAACTAACTGAAATGGTATCTTTGTTGGCAACACAGGATTTACAATGTTACTGATAGTACTGCAGAGACAAGGATATTTTGGGGCACATTTTACTTTAAATTTAATTTCATCATGGTAAAGGCTACTATCAAAATTAACAGTACTGTGGAACCAGATATAATGATAAACTAGAATGGCAAATGTAATTTTAAAATATATTTGAAAAATGATAATTCTCTCTTCAAAACAGACTGAACAGTCTGCATGGTGTCATGTATAAGCATTGGGAAGAGAATCTGAAATATGGTTATTTTTCAATACCATCCATCCGGTGCTTAAGAATGCCTGAAATAAATTTATGTATGAAGAAGATGAAAACTTCACATCTGTATGCACAGAAGGTGGAATGGGGAGAAATCAGGACTAGAGTGTTCAATTTTGATTCAACATGATACAACTTACACACCTAGAAATGCTAAGAGCAAGAGAAAGCAAAGCTATGGACCAAAAAAACTACTGAATGAAGAGGGAATCATAGAATCATTAAGGTTGGAAAAGACCGCCAAGATATAACCATACCCCTACCACCATTACCAATGACAATCATGTCCCTAAGCACCAGGTCCAACCTTTTAAACACCCCCAGGGACGGTGACTCCCCACCTCCCTGGACAACCCATTCCAATACCAGACTACTCTTTCTGTGGAGAAATGTCTACTAATTTCCAAACTAAACCTCCCCTGGTGCAACTTGAGGCCATTCCCTCTAGTCCTGTCTCTAGTTATCTGCAAGAAGAGGCCGACCCCCAGCTCCCCACAGCTTCCTTTCAGGTAGTTGTAAAGAGCACTAATGCCTCCCCTGAGCCTCCTCTTCTCCAGACTAAACAACCTAAGTTCCCTCAGCTGTTCTTCACAGGACTTGCATTCCAGACCCTTCACCAGCTTCGTAGCCCTTGTCTGGGCATGCTCCAGGACCTTGATGTCTTCCTTCTAGTGAGGGGCCCAAAGCTGAACACAGTACTCAAGGTGCGGCCTCACCAGAGCAGAGTACAGGGGGGACGATCACCTTCCTGTTCCTGCTGGCTATGCTGTTCCTGATACAAGCCAGCATGCTGTTGTCTTTCTTGGACACCTGGGCACATGGTTGGCTTGTTCAGGCGAGCGTTGACCAACACCCCCGGATCCTTTTCCTCTGCACAGCTTTCCAGCCACTCTGCCCCAAGCCTGTAGTGCTGCATGGGGTAGTTGTGGCCAAAGTGCAGGACCCGGCACTCAGCCATGTTGAACCTCATCCCATTGGCCTCTGCCCATCGACCCATCCTGTCCAAGTCCCTCTAGCAGGGCCTCCCTACCCTCCAGTGAATTGACACTTCCTCCCCAACTTGGTGTCGTCTGCAAACTTACTGAGGGTGCACTCAATTCCCTCAACCAAATCATCAATAAAGATATTGAAGAGGGTGGGCCCCAACATTGACCCCTGGGGAACACCACCTGTGACTGGTCACCAGCTGGATTTCACTCCATTCACTACTACTCCCTGGGCCCAGCTGTCCAACCAGTTTTTAACCCAGTAAAGAGTGTACCAATCCAGGCCATGGGCTGCCAGCTTCTCCAGGAGAATACTGTGGGAGACCATGTCAAAGGCCTTGCTGAAGTCAGGCAGACTACATCAACAGCCTTTCCCTCATACACCAGGCAGGTCACCCGGTCATAGAGGCAAATGAGGTTGGTCGGGCAGGACTTGCCTTTCACGAACCCATGCTGACTGGGCCTGATCCCTTGGTTGTCCTGCACATGCTGTGTGCATTCAAGATGACCTGTTCCACCGCCTTTCCTGGCACTGCGGTCAGGCTGATAGGCCTGTAGTTCCCCAGGTCCTCCTTATGACCCTTCTTAAAGATGGGTGTCACATTAGCAATTCTCCAGTCATCTGGCATCTCTCTAGATGACCACGACCACCGATAGATGATGAAAAGTAGCCCAGCAATCACATCTGCCAACTTCCTCAGCACCCTCAGGTGGATCCCATCTGGCCCCATGGACTTGTGACAGTCCCAGTGGAGCAACAGGTCTGTTTGCACCTGAACTGCAGGGGGTTTCTTCTGCTCCCTGTCCCAAGCTTCCAGTTCAGGACGCTGAGTACCCTGACTGGTCTGACTAATAAAGGCAGATGTAAAGAAGGCATTAAGAACCTCAGCCCTTTGCTTATCCTCACCAGTCATGTTCCCCCCCCATGCATCCTGTAAAGGATGGAGATTCTCTCTTGGCCCTCCTCTTGCCATTAATATATTTATAAAAACATTTGTTGTTATCCTTAACCATAATGGCCAGGCTGAGCTTGTGCTGAGCTTTAGCCTTCCTGATTTTTCTCTCTGCATATGCTGGCAACTTTCTTCTAGTCTCCCTGAGCTGCCTGTCCCTTCTTCCACTGGACACAAACTCTGTTTTTCTCCCAGACACTCAGTAAAAGTTCCCTGCTCAGCCAAGCCAGTCATCTTTCCTGTCAGCTCGTCAGCTCGGCACAGAGGGAGCAGCCTGCTCTTGTACCTTGAAGACTTCCTTCTTGAGGACCATCCATCCTTCCTGGACACCTTTGCCCATCAGGACTGACTCCCGAGGGACCCTCCCTACCAGTGTCCTGAACAATTCAAAGTCTGCCCTCTGGAAGTCCAAGGTAGAAGTTTTATTGACAAATGTTCCCCCTCATCTCCCAACTTGACCAAGAATAGACTACCAGTGCGTGGTCACTCTGCCGAAGACAGCTCCCAGCTACCACATCTCCCACCAGTCCTTCTCTGTGAACAGCAGGTCTAGCGGGACACCCCCCAGTAGGCTCACTGACCAGCTGATTCAGGAAGCTGTCTGCCACACACTCCGGTAGCCTCCTGGACTGCTTCCTCAGGGCTGTATTGTATTTCCAGCATATGTCTGGAAAGTTGAAGTCCCCCGTAAGAACAAGAGCTGTTGACTGCATGACTCCATCATGACTACTCCCCCCACCCCCAACAAATATCCCTGAAGCATCAATGCCTAAAAGAGGGGGAAAGAATAACTTGGGAAAGTTGAGCTAAGTGGCTCAATGGCAACTTTGTTTTGAGGAAAGGTGATATATACATTTTGCAGAACAAGGTTACATATCTGAACAGTTAAAGCTGTTCTAGTATTACAGCCCATATGAAAATAGAAAAGGCATTTGGTTTGGTTCTAGTTGAAATTTGGTTGGAAACTTCCACGGAGTTCACTACATATGCCTTCCATATATTTCAAAACAACTTCCTGACAGCGTTAAGAGGCAGAAAGTATCAATACATAAAGCATGGAGTAACACAGATTAGGATTTGCTCTGACAATTTAATTTTCTTAATCATTTAGATTTTTCTAGTAATGTCTGTGGGTGACAATGATTGCAGTAAAAAGTAATGGAGGGAAATGTTTTTATCTGTTCAATTCAGATTAAAGACATACTGCCATAAATAAATCAGAGGATCAAGACTACAGGAAGTGAATATTTATCATGGGAAGAAATATCTCTATCTTTTTTAGAATGTAATCCAAATTTAGCATGACACCTTTCCAGTCTGACATTTGCCTTCTTACAGCCAGATCTTCCCCACTGTTGCCATCTTGTGTCTAAAAATGTAGGCCAGCCACTGTGCTTTTTATTCCTGGGCATTCCCAGAGTCCCATGCACCATGCCAAGTGGAACTGTTCTACAATTCAGTTTGACTACTTGTGTCTCATCAGTGAGAGAAGGAGGAGCCCCATACTCTGCCATCACCTGGGTCCTTAGTCCATTGTCACTGCAATCTAGACTACAGTTCAGTTTAGCACATTACAGTGGATGTCTTGAGAGTCAGAGCTTCCATTGTCCAGGTGGTCATAGCAAGGGCATTTCTGTAGACATGATACAGCACCTTGTTGTGTCTGAAGCGAAGTGTCTGACTGTATGTCTGTCTTGCAGGCAGACCATATCGGAATGGAAGCTTGTGAAACCTGATGCAATTAGTCACTGCCAGCATAGTCAATGCGAGCAGTAAACTGGCATTTTCTAGGCAGCCTGAACAAAACCACAGTGGTGGAATCACACGGTTTTGGGGATACAGAATACTGAGCAGCAGCTCCAGAAATCCTCAGTGACACCTCTGTTACAGAAGAAGTTAGCTATGGTCTCTCATGGTCAGAGCATGCTGATAGAAGAGCACATACCTGTATGAAAATGGAACGCTACTGAAATGTGGCATCTGGCAGCACTCTTTCTAAATAGCAATATCATTGATAGAGACCATTCTGGAGGATCCTTTGTTGGAATTATTTAAGAAGGTGCATTCACCACAGTATGGAGCATGTTAGGATATTGGTACAAAAAAAAAAACAACAACTTATATGTGTGATTATTGAACAGTATCTGCAAAACTAGTCTTTTAGTTTAAGACCATTCCCCCTTGTCCTATCATTATCTACCTGAGTAAAGAGTCCTTCTCCATCTTCTTTGTAAGACCCCTTTAAGTACTGAAAAACTGCAATGAGGTCTTCCTTGAGCCTTCTCTTCTTTAGACTGAACATCTCCAGCTCTCTCAGCCTTTCTAAATAAGAGAGGTGCTTCAGCCCTCTCATCATCTTTGTAGCCGTCCTTTGGACTTGCTCTAACAGGTCCACATCTTTCTTGTGCTAGGGGCCCCTGGATGCAGTAGTGCAGGTGAGGCCTCATGAGGGCAGAGCAGAGGGGGACAATCACCTCCCTTGACCTGCTGGTCACACCTCTTTTGATGCAGCCCAGGATGCAGTTGGCCTTCTGGACTGCTAGTGCATACTGCTGGCTCATGCCAAGCCTTTTGTCCACCAGAACCCCCAAGTCATTCTCCTTAGGGCTCCTCTTAATGAGTTCTTCTCCCAGTCTGTACTCCTGTCTGGGATTGCCCCAACCCAGCTGTAGCACCTTGCGCTTGGACTTGTTGAACCTCATGCGGTTCACATGGGCCCACTTCTTCAGCCTGTCCAGGTCCCTTTGAATGGCATCTCTTCCTTCTTTGCTATCAGCTACACCACTTAGTTTGGTGTCATCTGCAAACTTGCTGAGGGTGCACTGAATCCCATTGTCTATGTCATTGATGAAGATACTGAAAAGCACCGGTCCCGAGACAGACCCCTGAGGGACACTGCTCATCACTGGCCTCCACCTGGACATAGAACCATTCACCACTATTCTCTGGGCGTGGCCATTGGGCCAATTCCTTGTCCACCGGATAGTCCACCCTTCAAATCCATGTCTTTCCAATTTAGAGATTAAGATGTCATGTGGGATCATGTCAAACGCTTTACAGAAGTCTAAGTAGATGGCTTTCCTTTGTTGACTGATGCAGTCACTCCATCATAGAAGACCAGCAAATTGGTCAGACTTGATTTATCCTTGGTGAAGCCATGCTGGCTGTCCCAGATCACCTACTTGTCCTGCAACTTTGCCTCCAGGAGGATTTGTTCCATGATCTTCCCAGGCACAGAGGTGAGGCTCACCGGTCTGTAGTTCCCTGGGTCTTCCCTTTTTAAAAATGGGAATGATGTTTCCCTTTTCCCAGTCTTCCCAGACTTTGCCTGACTGCCATGATTTTTCAATATGTTGGAGAGTGGCTTGGTGATACATCAGTCAGTTCCCTCAGAAGCCTGGGATGCATGGCATCATGTGTCATACAGTGTCAGCATGTGT